CCCCGTCGTTGGGATCTATGTACACTACCAGCCAAAAGTTATGGGACCAGGTTTTCTAATTAACACTAGAACTACCAACGATAAACGCATATCTTTTTCGATCGATCGATAAATATGGCAAACTTTTGAAAATTTATAAATTAACTAACTTCTTTAATGTCGTATCGTAAAAAAAGTTACAAAAGATGTGAGAAAATGTATTGTTACAACATTTTAATCAGCGTTGTAAGAGTGTATTGGCAAGTCATTTTGACCTGCTTGGCAGTTCTAGTGTTAAAGAAACATTATAAACTATAACAGTATAACAGCAATAATATTTTCCAACAGAGGAAAATATTATTCTACTAAAGATTTGATGAAAGTATTGTGCCAAAACCGATTGGAAATGATTTGTATATGTACTGATTCCATGCCTTTTATTATATCGTAACAGAATAATGGAATTTTACTTGTTGCATCGATATTATAGCGTTTCTTGTGCGACCCATTTCTATCGTGTACTACACTTCTAGCGACGAATGGTCTTGCATATACAGTAAATCTTCGATGAGTGTTCGATGGCTCCGCATCACTGGCAACGAGAGGTCCCCAATTGTAACGCTAACTTTTTAATGAGGTGCAGCTCAGTGATAGAGCTTGGAATTTTGAAGTAATGACATTTGTTTCAGCCCCATATGGCCATTAGTTTATAAAATATTTAATATTCAGAGCCACGAGAAGCTTTCGAGCACTTATCCACGATTTACTGTAGTCGGTATTTTTTTTTATTATCTTACACTGTATACAAAGAAAATAATCGAAATCTTTTGAGATATATACTTGCTTTTTGTTTCGAAACCCAGCGGAAGCACTTCGTCGCTGGATAAGTAACCTGCGGATGTTGAGGAAGTTCCCGAAGAGAAATTGTTTTTCTCTATTCAGAGGTGGATTACATATTATTAGACTGCGGATGTTTATGCAAATTCAAAATTGGACAGAACTCTGTTTTCTGTACTAGGGGGTTTAATACGTTAACTATATTAAGCATGTATTATTAAATTTTCTGAGAATTTTTACTTTTCAACATTTTACAAGTCGGGGATGGTATAAAAGCATAAAAATCCGCTGTCTATACATTATAAATAATATGAAGATTTTATACTAGTTCTTGCGAAACGATCCATTTCGCTGTACACTTTAAATCACCGTCAAATTTTGCTATAAATGCATAAATATCCGCCGTTCACCAAGGATAAGTTAGCACGTAAGGCCGCGCCTTCTTCCCTAGTCGAGACTCACTCGCGATCACACACACATATACACATTCGTCGCCTTCGTTTGTCCGTCGTCTTTTTTATCGCTGCTCGTGTTGTGTAATTGTAATGACAGAATAAAAATCATGCTTTGCATCCCTCCTCCCATATCACATTTTTCATTTCATTGCCATATCACCGGTTTTTTTTTTTAGGCGTAGAGCATGTCTTCGTAACACCCTGACCTCTCTTGGGGGAGGGGGGATTGTGTTCCCTGAGATCGCGAAAAATATTTAAGACTGTTCCAAAACTTTCATTCGTAAACTTTCGATATTTCATAACACACGGCGATTACAATTTTCATATTGAGTAGCCATGGGAACGGGTAGAGATTTAGTGGACATAGAAACTAAATTCGATGCTACTGAGAAGCACATACAGACTCCTATCGATTATCGTCCCGAACTAGGATCCGAGAAATGCTTCAGATCCTCGTAAATTCGTTTTCTGTCCGAAGTCCGAGCCTCGATAACAAAAGTGGAGGAGCAACAAAATATCCCCCAATGATGGGGATAATGCATGGACAATAATCGAGAGAAGTCTGTATTTCATTCGTAAGACTGCAAAGAAAATGGAGGCTGGTCCACGATAGGTGTCCGCCATATTGTCAAGGGATATATTAACACTTTGTGGCCGCCAGGAGGATTTCCATGTGTTGCAAATATACAAACGTTCAGGTGTTCTAAAAATATTTCGAAACCGGTACTTAATTTTTATTTGCCAAGCTTTACGTATAGGAAAAGCGATTTTTCCCTATCTTTCGCTATTCTAATTCTTATTCAAACCTTTCAGGCCCTGGTGGTCACATTTGAAGTTTCTCACAATCATTATACACAAGATCCATATTTTTCTTATAAAATTGGAATTTTTTATGTTCCGAATGTTTTTAGTAGGTCTCGTGAATTCAAAATTGAATATCAAACTTTTTTTTAAATTAAAAATATTCTTTTAAACAAAATATGAGTTAAACTGTGTAATAATTTTTTAATCATTAAAGTCTAAAAAAATGAAGTTACTAGTTTAAAGCCTCTATTCTAGAGGAAGCAATAGACGAATCATCGTTTATACGAAGGATTTCCGTGTTACAACATATGGTACAGGATAAACCAACTAGCGAATGACCGAATTGTTGAATTTATTGACGTTCGAGATTAATACTCAAATGTATATGTTTATAACAACGAAACAGCTGTTGAAATTGCAGTTACATTTGTTTTTCGTGAAATTTTTATAAAAATAATTACTTATCGTCATTTTGAAAAAAAAATTATTTATACAGTGCAAACCGTGTTAAAGCTGAGTAAACGACAGCTACATCTCTAAAATATTTTTAATAAGAATCGTACTTATATTGTTTGCTTAATGCGCTAAACTCCACTTCCAAAAATTTAATAATTTTTAAATTTATAGTTTATATTTCTTTGCCTAATGGCCTGGTATGCAGTCAATTATTACTTGGTTTACCCTGTATCAGTTGGCCACATTGAAAGCTCTTCAGTGATCCATGTCCAAGAAGATTAATATAGGGGAAGAGGGGGGGAGGGTGTTGGACTTGATTGAAACCTCGAGGGCTAAGAGAGGAGGATACACCAGGGGCCAATAGAGAGAGGGAGCGCAGAGAGGCCCCAGAAATACGCACACAGATCGGTTAAATATAAAATCAGCTCTCACTGGGGAATATGGTCGGAAATTTCGGGAACAAGGTCGAATCCGATAGCGCGGCGTCGCAGCAGAACTTCCTAAACATCGGCGTATAAATATTCGACGAACGTGTTTAAATATTCATCTCGTATCGTTACCGGGCCTAGTATTACTCGCGGCTCGAAGGCTGAATCGAGAGAGTAAACGTTCGAGTTTCCTCGACCCAAGGGTCATCCGCCATATTTAATTCACGGAAATTGTCGATCGTCGTGTCAGACGTGTGTAAGAGAAATTAGATCGAAAAGAATGTCATCTCCCACACTCTGGGGCTACTTTCAATCATCGGATCACACACAAAATTTTCTTTCCATGTATCCAAAATACATATACAGGGTGTTAATTTGAACTCTAGCACCTAAATTATTTCCGCTACTATTTAAAATATGAAAAAATTACCAAATAGAATGTACATGGTTTTAAGGATTTTTTTTTATCACCATCAGATGCATGCCTTAAAACCATGTAATCATATTTAGTCATCGGTTCTGATTTTCAATAGTAGCGGAAATAATTCAGATGCTCGAGTTAAAATTAACACCCTGTATATTGTGCATTATCCTAAAAACCACACGCGATTCCTGGCTGGTGTACGCGCAGTCCTCAGTTTATTTATAACTAAGAAGGCCGACAAGATGCTTGTTATACAAGTTTAAGAAATTACCGAAACGTTTATTTTAACGGTCATAGCAGAGCGAAACGCGACAGTTTCACGACGAAATATGACACCGGAAACGCTCTATACCATGTTCCTCCAACGAAACCTGGAGCAGAATTGTTCTGTGTGTATGTAAAACTGTTCCGTCGAATGAGATAGTACTTCTCTTGAGATTTATGTTGTGTACGTATATAATCGTTTTTCTGGAGTAAAGTGGAAGAGGGAACAATATGTCGATTTTCACGGCGACTTTTCTGTCTTCAAAGGGTAGATATCTAATGATTCGAAGTTACCATTTTCACGTATCATGGTTCTCTGAGAATCAACCAGTATGGCCGACGATTGTGTAAGAAAAAAGATCAGCGTCTGATTTATCGAATTTTGTAGAAATTTTGTTTTCTTTATTTATTTGTCGAATATGTCTTGCGTCATCGCGAAGTTCGAGAGGACCAAATGGATTGAACACCATCCAAACGACCAAGAACCCTCCTCCCCCTATCCTATTTACCACCAGAGGCACAACATGGCGGAAGAAAAAAAAGAAACCTGGAATCCTTGAAAGGAAGACTTTTTGCGATTGGCATGTTGGCAGTGTGGTTAGCTGGTTGTGTGGCTGATTTTAAACACGACCGCTATCGGCACTGCAATTATATGACGATCGCTGATCTACGATCAAGAACACGGACATCGGCAAAAACTCTGAGAAACCTCCAGCAGAGCGCAAACATGGAAGATCCGTCGAAAAAGTTATTGTCCTCCGATCCTTGATTAGTAAATTCTGCGAATTATGTAAACTTAGTGACATACGAACGTTTTGTTACCAGCTCGTCCCACAAAGATTAGCGAATCGTTTGTATCACCTAAATAGGATCCTCTGAGATATTTATATTCGACATTTTGGGGAACCTTTGGCAGGCTGAAATGACCCGATCTGTTACGAAAAGAAAATAACTACGTACAGTTGAAGTAAAAAGATCTTTTTTAGATAATTAAGTTTTTTAGGTTAACACTAAACCTACCGAAACATTCGAAGAGGCAGGAATTTGGAACAGCAAAACTTGTCATTTGACCGGTCGTGGTAGGTTTAGTGTTAAGTTCTTTAGGGGGGCAAAAAGGGTAAGACGATAATGGGGAAAACAATAGCTACTTATAGTTGAACTAAGAATATTGTTTAGATAATTCAGCTTTGTAGGTTAAGTTCTTTGGGGGGCTAAAAGGGGGTCATGATATGTACACCCTAGTTCCATGAAACGGAAGTCGATTTTGCAGCGAAAAAAATAGACAACGTCCTTGTCCCGAGTGTTGTTCAATACGAACTTACACGTTCACCTTCTTTTCCTTTTCTGTTGCAGATCTGCCTACGTATCGTTCGGAGGACTGTTGATGAGGTTACAGGGTGATGCAAACAACCTACACGGTTTCGAGATCGATCAACATATGTATCTGCTTATGAAGAAACTGGCGTTCTAAATGGCGTCACGCCGCACGTTCGCAACATGACTTAGGAAATTCCTATTTTAAACAGCATTTTTTTCGTTGTTATTTTAAGCACAAGTCGTAGATGTTAAAAATTATCGTGGAATATATGATTATGACTGAACGTTCGAGAGAAGCTATTGTAATAATTGACATAAGAAGAGATAATCTACACGTGTGTGCATCCTCTATAAAAAAAAAAACGAGTTTTTAAGTTTGTCTCATTGTTCGCACTATTCATCATGGATTTCCATTCACAGCATTTTATCACTGCCAGTTTCTAAGACACGGTAATTAATAAAGATATTTTTCCACTGAACGCCCTTATGCCTTTGATCCTTCGATTATTTAAGGTTCAGCCGACAATTAAAGACTTTCTTAAAAACGTTGCAGGAATTTCGCGCTTTATGTTCAAGATTAGAACAGTACTGCCATAGTCTGGCACAGAAGAGAAAACAGGAGATATCCTAATCGGAAAACGAAGACATGTAACATATGATACACCCTAATCCTAGACCTGATCAAGACAATATCCAGAAGATCCGTACCTAATTCACACCATATTTCACAAAGGAATACCACAAACAAAGAATTGATAAATAGTAAGATACTCTAACTCCGACCTAAACCAAGATTTTCTTCGATAGTAGTACAGAAGCAAATAGTGAGAGACATATAATCAAATTCAAACCTCATATCTAGAAAATTTCAATGTACGAAGGATTTCTAAGAAAAAAAGAATCATATGATAACAAGTGACCTGATCTAGGTGACCCAGGCCTCCATAATCTCCAGAAATTCAAGAACTCTGCGATGGGAAGAAATGACTGGAAAGATTAGGTATATATACACACTGTGTGGTATAATTAATAAAACCACCCCAAATTTCTTCAATTCTTATGGTATTGCAGTATAAATAAAAACGAACCATTTTTTTTCTAAGGAATATAATTTAATCCTTTTCTAGAGGAACCTTATTTCTCAACACGATTTCAGACATAATTTTTTTTCTGTTCGTTTTTATTTGACCCACAATACATAAGAATTGAACATTTTAAGGTGGATTCATTGTTATGCCGCGCAATGTATAACACAAAAAAAAATTTATAGCACCAACGATAGCACATACACAAAAGAAGAAAAAATATTTCTTACGAGGCTTGTCGAATTCGTCTCGGTATCGGCTAGAAAGGCGTAAAAGTATTATAGATTTATCTAAAAAAAAAAACTGAAGGTGACCTGAAAAACTCTAGGGAAAAAAGGGTTGACAAAAAATTTGGTACAGTCATCTTAACCCCTTATAACATCGAGTCAGACTCGTGGTGACGATATCAAGATGGATTCAACAAACAGAAATATTACTCGTTTTCTTTGAGTCAAAGTGAAATATTAGTTTGCTGATATTAATATTTAACTTCTAGAGTAAATGTACAATTGCTATAAGTGCATGAATTCCTTTTGCTTCTGGGAAATTATTGATAAAGTAATTCTGGAGACGGCATACATCAAGAAAATCATACGGTAACGGGTTAAAGTTCTCCACGAATCATCATTATACTAGGCTAAAAATTTCCGATCGAACAGCTAGGCAGTAAGAATAATCTAAGCTGATCACGTTTTGTGGTCCACCCTGTATATGAGTAGGTCTAAAAATTCGTACTTCTGTATTTATTTATCGACCAGTTAATTCTAGTAATCCTGCTATTATTAGGGTGGGGGGAGTTGGTACAATATGCGAGTACCAATTAGTTTCTAGATATACATCGTGCTGTAGCAATCAGCCAACAGAATTGGACCAAATCCAGACACAAAGAAACAGTTCTTTCTTGTATACCTCATTATGAGGCCGGTGATTAGTACCACATATCGGAATTGGCTGCCGTTTTGTAATTGGATTACATACACGAAGTACCAACAGTTTTGATTCGTGTTGTGTCATTCGAAGTTTCTATCTCCCGCGTGAAATCGGAAAATCCCGGAATAATCACAGTCGACTGCATCGAGGATCGTCAACTAATTTCTAGTAATGAATTAAAATCATTAAATTCTGTGCGGCGGGTATAGTTTTCCGTCAATATAAAGAAATATATTTCTTTTGTTAATAAGTATAATCTTATATTTTTTACATGGTAAAAAACTGTGTTCGAGCTGAAAAATCTGTTATAAACAAAAAGTGCACAAACCGCGTTGTTAAATGTTATTGATAAACTGCAAACGTTTATAGAGATATACTAATTTAGAAGAACAAGAATCGGACTGACATTTTTGGCAAAGAATTTTAAGAGGTTATAAATAATATAAAACTTTTTATTTGTATCTTGCATGTTTGAATACGCTATAAATGTATAAACATTAACAGTTTGATTATTAGACAGCAAAATTAGGAAAAACATTAGTAGTTTATGGTTTATTATATAAAGCGCCGCGAGGGGACGCCATTTTGGAGAACAGTATAACCAAAGACGAGAAATATGGTTCAATTGGGGGGGGGGGATTGCTGTGTTTTGTTAAGTTTGCGAGAGCGAGATACGGAAAAATGCGTGATAGACAACCAGACGGGGAAGAGCCAAGAGCTAATTAATGTAATTAAACGCGGTACTCCTGACCTTGTACGGCTGAACGGTAGCTCGAACAATGTGGCATAAGTGCACTTGGCGTGGGCTTGCGTAGAGCCCCAAACATGGCGGCCCCATTGCATAACAACGTCGCTTTACACAACATGGCTGCCACTTAATAAGGGTCTGATCCTAAATAGATTGGCCCAATGACATATAATTCGCTTTTATCTAGCCGCCCGTGCGAGATTGCGCAACGCATCCAACCGCAAGGAACGTAGAAACGAAGAAAAATCGATAGACGTTGATGATACATCTGTGCTGCCACCTCTTAGAAGGATCGTATAACCAATACTACGAGCCTACAAACACTTCTGATAAATAAAATTCCGATTACAGTACAAAATCAAACTTTGGAAGTAAAAAAAATTAATAGATTTTAATTCGTTACTAGAAAATAGGTTCAAGTAAAGAAATTAAACCGAAATCTATCCAATTTAATTAAACGACGCATAAATCATTAGAAATTATTTTTTAAGAATATGGGAATGAACATTTAAAGAAAGGATGGTTTTTTAGAGCAATTTATTATCTTGTTTCTTGAGTAGTAAAATATAAATTAAGGTAAATACTAGTATGTACAGATATAGGTGACTATCAATGGCAGAGTGCCTTTTTAGCATGTGATATTAACAACGTACTGGTGATGATATATGGCCGAGACGTAAATTCTTACTGTATACGAAGTTTACGACTGTTTCGGTCTGTTTGCTTAAAAGGTATTAAGTTTTGTAGTGATTATGACTCTTAAACACTGATCAAATGCAGTACAAACCGCCAGCCCTTGTTTGTCGGGACTCCAATCCAAAGAGCTGACGGGTTGTGATGAAAGAGTAATATTTTGTAAAAGACTCAAATTACCAACGACTCCTTGATGTATGCCGTCCGTATCTACTAATTTCCTTCTCTCTGGATAATTGCTAAAATGATAAATAATATTCAACAAAGATTCACAATATTATTGACGAAAAAAAAATACATAAATTTATACTCACTATTTCCAGAGACAAAGGCTTCCACCACCGCCACAGGTGGCGAATATTTCCCTATTTTGTGGTAAATGTCTGACCAACCATACTGTTGAATTGTGAGCCTAGAACATTACTCAAATTAGACTGAGTGGAGGATGAATGTACACCGCATTAGAATTTTAGTCTTGTGATTTAAATTGTACCTTCTCAGTAAGATAGGCAAATCCTTTTTTAGGGTGTTGCACTTTTAAATCAAATAAGTAGAACTTGGATTCCAAGGTAGTTACCACCAATTTATTCATTGGGATATCTTTCCTGTCAAATTCAATGCTACAGACTCCATTATTGAGATTACTCTCCCATTGAAGGGACATTGTTCTCAAATTAAACATTTTGACATCTCCGTTATCATAACCAGCAGCCACAACTCTTTCTTCCGAATTGTAAGAGTTTCCAAATGTAACTGTCCAACAATCCCTACGGGTTTCTCCTTCTTTGGGTTCCATAGTAGCTACTGGACGCCCTTTTTGCCTGGGATCCCAAACTTTAACACTTCCATCCTTGGAGCCAGTTACTAGTTCAGGTGCACCACATCCAATACTTTGTCCAGCCACTCCATCAATGCTATTTATGATCTCATTGTGAGCATTAGCTGTGTAAATTGGTATTGAAGGATCTTCCAAGTTGTAGATATTCAGTTTACCCTAATAAAGGGAACTTTAAGTCTTCTGGATGTAGGAACAATAACTCGTTAAATTCTTGTCTGTTTCTTATTTATACCAAAAGAATACCTATGCAAGCATTCTTACAATCAGAATTACCACAGTTTTACCTTTCCATTTTAATTGTATAATACTTCGACCAATACCTGAAAATCCCCTGTTGCCAAGTATCTGTCTTTCCAACTGGAAGCTTTGAAAGTACCACATTTTATCGGCTGTGATCTTTCAATATCTTTAACAAGCTTTAATTCACCACTAGAAACTTCGTAAATTTGTATAATACCGCTACCACGCGGTCGGGAGCCCATAACCACGAATTTTGCACTGCACGGTATCCATTTCGTATCGAATAAGGAATAATTTACTGATTTTTCAATGTGACAAATTATTTGAGGCTTTTCCAATTTCTCCATAATTGTTCTAGTCAATTCTGTGTGTAAAGGACTACGGTACCGTGACTAAGGAACAGGTATCGTGACAGCAAATTGTTTGAAGTATCCATAAACAAACTCACATGCCATCTACTGCGAAATATTTGAAACAACATCGGATGTAATAAGTACGTATGACAGACGTGAATGTTTAAACATTTGTAAAAAATTTATTTTAATGAGCATTAAGTATATAATTTTTATAAATTGCTATTAATTATAACACTGTTCTCAAGGGTCAGCTTCGGTGTCTTCATCCTCTTCTGGTACATCAACGGAATTTGGAGATTCTAACTTCTGTTTAAAGAGCTCTATATGCTTCATTAAACGTTTATCCTCACCTTTCACCTACAGAAAGTATTAACCAATTTATACATATACCTTCTAAAACATTGTCATTTGTCATAGTATATTTACCATTTCTGTAATTTTGTTTACAGCCAATCGTATATTTTCTCTTGACGTATTATCCACTATCTCTACATGCAAATGTTTCAGCGATTTAATCAGAGTCTCCATATTAATGGTGCTGGCCGGATTTAACATTTCCCCTAATATGCGAAAGACGAGACTATTGTGAACGCAATAGCTCTGCGCGCCGGATTTGCAAATTCTGTCACTGGTCAAATTCAGCATGAATTTCGAAACCTCGTAAGGATCAATTTCCTGCAACGGGCTAATTGTCGGTGCGTTGCTTAAAGTGTGCAACGTTGGAAAATAGGCTTCCTCCAGCATCTCTAGCGCATCCGGCACCCGTATTGCGAAATGGTCAAAGAACCCGCTCACACATTGCCGTAGGTAAAAGTCTTGATCGTTTACTGGGTTGTAGCATAAAATTATTAATCTTGATAATAAATTCGAGCTACTGATTCGTCGGTTGATCAACAACTTGCAAAGACCTTCAGCGGCAATCGTTCTTAGTCCTTGATTCTGTTGTTTAGAAAATGTGTGTTATTTAATTACAGCAGGCCTGGCCGAACATTCGCCCGTGGGACCATATAAAACAATAATACCAGGCCCCACCACTTGCTTATATTGTGTCATTTTCGGGCAGGAGGTGCGTGCGCATGCTACGACTGTCCCACTTCCAATATATAGTCACTATGTCAACGTGTGTCGCTAAGATCAGACGAGTACGGACCTCGGGAGCATTCGGGAGTGCCGAAAATGGGAACGGTTACAGCATGCGCGTGTACCTCGTGCCTAAGGATGGCAACACAATGCAAGCTAGTGGTGTGGGGACTGGTGTTATTGTTTATGTGGCCTTTGCCATTATGTATAATGCGATATTAGGGGCAAACAGAAGTTGGTAGACAATTTTTACACGTGCATTCTACTCATTTTAAAGATGATGAAAGTCGTATACTTGATTCACACATATTGCACGTCAATATCCTCTGTACCGTTAATAATATTCAAAAGTGATAGAGACAAAAGTTGCATGGTTTCGTAATCTCTATTTACGCGAAACCTCGTTTTTGACACTGCACTGATGCACAGAGACAAAAAAAGCGTTTAATACAGAACGCTTTTAACATTTGTCAACCATATTCTGGTTACATCCTATACACTTACCGCGTTATCTAATAATCCTGCTATAATTTTGATGAAATTGCAATAGTTGTTCTCCGTCGTTGATCTCAGCGTCGACGTCAGAGAACTTTCTTCATTGACATTGGTGTACAACTTCACAGTGTGTGATCTTTCAGTCGTACCAGCAGACTCGTTTGCATTTTCTAAGATGTCAAAATGTTCGAAACCGTACAATAACAGGAGATCGAAAATTCCTTTCAGTGTTATAAGCCATATCTCTTGATTTTCTTGTTCCAGGGAAAATTGCAGGAACAACATCATTATATGTTTTTTAGCTAGTTCTTTATCCAATATACAGCAAATGCTGACTGCCTTTATTGCCAAAATGTGTACTTTATCGTCTGGATGCTGAAAATAAGAATCATGTTTGACCATTTGCAAAGTAACGATTGCAAATACTTACATCTAAACTATCAAGAGCTATTTGCATCATACTCCTAAGACTCTGTGTCAATGAAGTCACTGATTGCATCATGGTGCACATTATGCTCAGACATTTAATCATTGTTTCCGAATCATTCTTTTCCTTAATCTCTTCTACAGCTGTTGTAAGCGGAAGTTCATCTGACAATTTAGCAATCTCAACACTTAATTCATTTATTTCATTTTTTAAACTGTCAGCCTTCAAATATTGTTTCTCTTGGATGGCTTGGTACTCTTCTTCTTTCAATTCCAACAACTTCACTTTAAGTTTTGCTCTCTGTAAAGCACATCGCTTAAGTACACTTTAAATATTTAGTATTCATTATTTAGATACAAGGAACGTACTCTCAAATTAATGTCATGCTGTTGCTCTTTAGAAATTTGGGTACACTGTGTAGCTTCTTTCAGTGGTAATCTAATGTCACTTATTATATTAACTAAGATGTCCAATCTAGTATTTACATCTAATACAACTTTCTGGAAATGTGTTACTATGCATTCGATGATTTTTTCAGACCAATAGTTACTCATTAATGTGTTGCATATTAATTCGTGTAGTTTCTTTCTTCCAACTTCATCAGATAAATCATATGTAGTTACTATTTCAAATAATTGCAAGAGAATGAATTTTTGCATGTAATTCTCCCATGTTTCTTTCTCTTCTGTGGAAATTGCTACTAAGTAGTCTGAGATGTATGTACAAAATGTGGATAATTCGGGTAGAATTTTTTCCAATTCTTCTACACAAGATTCACGGTACAGATGTTTTATTAAACACTTCCAGTATAATACACTTTCACTCGCCAATTCATCTATTGGAATTAATTTCGTATCTTTATTTACTGGCAACTGTTCTATTAATATGTTCACTGGATTATTTCTAAAGCGATACAAACGAAATATTTAATATATCAGATAAATAATGTTTTTTAGACATTTTTCTGTATCATTAAAACCAACAGAGATAGCCTCTGTGTAGTTAGGTTAAGCACCATGTATAACAAGGTATAGATTAAATACTTACTTGAATAAAGTTTCCAAAGCCATACTACATACGTCTGTACCAATTTCAGCATCAAGAGCTCTCACTAAGCTGATAAAATTCCCATTAAAATGTCTTAACCACGATGGTAACAAGACATTCTGTACAAACTTTCTAACTAATTCAGACCTTTCTTTCAGTCCATCGATCAATAATTGATCTCTCTGTGTGATAGTCAAAGATCTAACTGTAACCTTGCTAATGAATTCATAAGCTGCCTTGCGTACTCTTTCATTCACATCTCTAATACGTCTTAATGCTACTTGCAAAGTTTTTTGATTCTTTCCCATGCTCATAAGGGCTGCTATGCGAACCTCTGCTTTTGGGTCTTTACTAGCATGAAATATGTACATTTCTATGACCGAACACTGATCATTTGTTGGATCTTGGAGTCTGTGCAATGCGAATATAGCTTGTGCTCTTACCTTTGGAGACTTATCTAACAAACGTTCCATCATGGTAACAGTAATTTGATCACAGAGAGCATCGTCCATAAAGGCTTGATCACCCATAGAATTCAATAAGATGTTTAAGAAATGACAAATTCGGTATCTTACAACTGGATCTTTAGCACAATGATGTGTCAGAAGAAAATTAAACATTTTAACAAGAAATGGGCACAGAGGCTCCTCTACCTCTTCGTCATCTGAAACTGTATACAAACTAGCACAAAATTTGGCAATAAATTGCAAGGTATTTAGAACTCGTGGATGGTTTTGAGCAATGGTCAGGGGAATTTTAAAACAGGACTCGAAACAATTCCAGAAATGTTTTAAGTCAGTCTAAAATAAATAGAAATCAATTAGTTTTAATAAAATCATAGTCTAATGATATTAAGATTGTAACCTATTCTGATACACTTCTGTACCTTCTCGTAATATTTCTTTAATTTCTTCAAATTGCTTTGATGACAAGTCTTGTTAAACTGAACAGTGTGAAATATCTCATTTATCATTCTATCCCTTTTCCCACTCATGATTGTAATAAATACAGCAATCGCTGTCTTAATAAAAATACATACTTAATTCTGACGCAAATAAAACGCGCCAACCTCTGGTGCTTGCTAGATGTTGTAACGTTAACGTTTCAAATGTATTACCAACAAAATAGAAAAATATTCACATAAATAAATGTCTCTATGAATTCAGTTATGTACATATAATTTCTTAAATAATGTGATACATTTTGTCGTAAAATTCCTTATAACGAGAGTAATCAATAAACGCGAACAAGATTTATAATATAATATAAGTAAATGTTAAACAATATTGCAGTTTCTATACCAATTTAGAGATCAATTCAAAGACAGAGAAGCGTCCTATCTATTTTTGATATACTTCCTGATTAAATTCTGGAGTCTAGTGACTAGGGATGAATCGGTACATGTAAATACGAGACACCGACGAGCAAACTCGGCTTCCACTAGGGGAAAAAGTAACGTAGGAGTAAAGGCGTAGTTTTGCGCGTTAATTTTGAATATTGAAGTTTGTTAATAATTTAATGATTATTTCAGATGTTCAGTTTTGATGTTTAATTTATCGATCCTAAGTTTTGTAAATAATTTTAGTAATAAATTTATCGTTGAGTTCAGCTGTGTGTACTTTTATTTATAAATCGTTGAAATTCTAATTGTACATCATACATCTCACACACACGGGGTCTCTTCAGCATGCTTCGGGGGCTCCGTGACCCCACATTCTCAGCCCACGTGATCAAAGACGCCTCCACCGGGGCCTCCGTGCAGGGTCTATGGCGCGTCCACCGGGGCTCCGTGACCCCACGCTCTCACCGCGCAGGGTCTATGACGCCTCCACCGGGGGCTCCGCGACCCCACGGTCTCTCCCCACGTGATCAATGGCGCCTCCACCGGGGCCACCGTGAAGGGGCTATGGCGCCTCCACCGGGGGCTCCGCGACCCCACGGTCTCTCCCCACGTGATCAATGGCGCCTCCACCGGGGCCACCGTGAAGGGGCTATGGCGCCTCCACCGGGGGCTCCGCGACCCCACGGTCTCTCCCCACGTGATCAATGGCGCCTCCACCGGGGCCACCGTGAAGGGGCTATAGCGCCTCCACCGGGGGCTCCGTGACCCCCGCTCTCGCCCCACGTGATCAATGGCGCCTCCACCGGGGCCTCCGTGCAGGGTCTATGGCGCGTCCACCGGGGCTCCGTGACCCCACGCTCTCATCGCGCAGGGTCTAGGGCGCCTCCACCGGGGGCTCCGCGACCCCACGCTCTCACCCCACGTTATCGATGGCGCCTCCACCGGGGCCTCCGTGACCCCACGCTCTCACCGTGCAGGGTCTATGGCGCCTCCACCGGGGGCTCCGTGACCTCACGTTCTCACTAGAGATGATGTGTGTGAACTACTACTTGTGAATCAATCGTGATTCAATCACGTTCGTTCTCAATCACGGTAATTTTTCACAGTGATTCGTGATTTCTCGTGATCGTTTCTGATTGGTGGAGAAACCTAACAGTTCTTTACATAATCTGTATATTTTATATTTTATATTAACGACATCAAAACAAAAATTCGAGTTATATCGTATAAAGTGAAAGAATAATTAGAAACAATGAAGAATAATGAATAAATTAATGATTACAAATTATAATCTACGTGTTACCTAGCAAATCATTCTTTTAGAATTTCTTGTTTTTTCTACTGATTTTTATAAACACAGTAATGTAATTCATCGTAAAATCATATTGAATACGTTTTTCTGTTTAAAGATTAATGACTTACGATTGCAGTGAGCAAATTCACTCAAGATAAAAAAATCGCAATCACCGTCGTGAATGAAGTTAAATCACGATCGTGATCGTGATTCGGCGATCACTGTGATAAATCACCGTTAGTGATTTTGCACGCCATCTCTAGTGACTACTGATGACAACCAAAGAAGTTTTCTATTGAAAAAAAATTACCTATGAAAAAAAAGCTTAGAAATAATAATTGCACTGTAATTAAGGCATCGAACATTCATATTAAATAATTTTAGCGCTAAAGTGTATGAATATAGTAATTATATCTCACATAAATAGTAAAATACGCAGTGTAATTTTAAATCTTCTTATCAAAAACTTGAAACAGTTCTCCACACGAGAACAGCAATATTACCGCCGTTATACATGTATAATAATGATTTTGCTTGATATGTAACAGCACAAGCATAAGATTCACCCACAATTACATGAAACGGTCCTCCAAATCTTTTATCTAAACCGTCTTTAATTGCTCGAGCCGCGGATTCGTAATTGTCTGTATATTTTTCTGTAGCAGTTACACACATTTCTATAGCTTCCTGTTTTATTTCTTCTGGCATATCACTGTGCTATGGAAAATTCGTCTATTATTTAATATATCTAATTTTTAAAAAATATTTCATACTCTCGTTAATCTGATCATATATACCTTACACAAAGGGTACGTGTGGAAAATTAACCGTTCTTCGGTCTTCATTACCTCCCCTGCTGACATGTTTGACCATTAATAATGTTTTCTTATATTTGATTTTTACATTGATTTGTTTCCATTAAAAATAGGTAACCCTTATGACAACTCACGTATGGAAACGTAATGTATTTTATTTTTTCAATTTAATGTGTGAAATTATCTAAAATCTTGCAATACAGGCATAATTTCATTTGTTATTTTACAAAATTGGTAAAGGACTAACAATAATACCAATTCTAATTATTTTGATGTTTCTATTTCATGACAACCTTCAAGATATAGACATCCTTGAATAATACGGGATCAATTAACTTGCTTTAATATTATATCGGTTTTAGTATGATTTTACCGACATAATACCGAAAACAAAGTAATACTGTAATCCTTGTATCCAATTAGATGTACTTAACCTTATTTAAAATTGATCAAAATAAAGTGCTATCCTTTCGGAGATTTAAAAGAACCGTGTTTTGGATTGAAAGGGGTTGTTTCGCGAAAGTAACCAATGGCTAACGAGTATTCAATGAACAGGTTCCAGTCATTTCTTAATCGTCAGAAGGATTGTAACTATAGCTTGAATAACCGCTTTATTTTTGGCGCGAAGTCACTTTATACTTATATTAAAAGAAAACAAGTATATTACGTTATATTTATTGAAATATATAGTTCACACGTATCGTAACAAGGTATATCTATATAATAATATTGAGTGTAATGTGTAGAAAACTGATAACATTTTGAAATGCTGAATACGCATTGGCAGGGTATACAATAATGACTTAAATAAAATAATAGAATGATCGTTTTTAATAGTCGTTGATTAGACAACTTGTATTGAATTTGTTTTCCGATTTTAAGCATGTCGTACTTAATGTAACATTATATTTTATAATATAAGGTGTATAACCTATGCAGGTTGGGAATTCCAATTGATCAAGGTCAAATCTATATAATTAAAAGTATAACGTACTAATTTAAGGTATTTATTTTACAATGTAAATGAGCTTATGAAATACTTTCAAGATCAATCGTTTTTATGAAAATAAATTAAATAATAATTAAAATTTTGATTAGAAGTCAATATATACATATCACTGAATTCCAATGAGTTTGTTAACATTTTTTATAGATTATGAATGTGATCTGTGTTAATTATTTTGTCATTAGAGTAAAATGGAAGATCCAGCTACAGCACGCTTAAAAGCTTTAATTGTAAACAGTAATGATGCTTTAGAATTCAAATTGATTCGTACTGTAGGAGATCTGGAAAATGATGAAACTACTTTCAAACCAGAAATGTCTCATCAAGTATTTGGAGACAGGTTTGTTGCAATTTTTATACTTAAAATACTTATTATTTGTATCACATGAAGCCCTCAAAGCATTAGCGGTATAAGCCAGTAAATATGATTTTGAGATATTTAGAGATTTAAGAGACATTTTGTAAACCTTCCACCCCCCCCCCCCCAAATTATTAATTTAATATTAATTATATTAAGTCCATTATATTTATTGACTTACTTTATTACTTATTTTCTTGATTATTTATTTTATTTGTCAGTGAATCTATATTTGGTTACCGGGATCTCAAAGTGAAGCTATACTACTCAGCAGGTTGTTTAGAAACTTATTTGGGCATGACTTATTCAGAGAAAGTAAACAAAATGATTTGCGAAGGAGTTGAAGCTGACGAAGTGTTGCCTAAAATTGTAGAAAAACTTGCGCCACAAGTACACGATAACTTAGATCTATTTATTAAATCTTTGGAAAAAGATGATACATTCAGACCTCAAGGAGAATTATTGCATTCATTTTCAGTTAATGGTAATTATTTTTTGCCATTTAAATTTCAGAATTACATGTAATAAATTGATGAACGTTTATATATATATATATATATATATGTCATAGATGAAGGTTATACAAGAAAATTTGAAGTCTATAAAGCAGATATGACATATAAAGGCTTTAAGGAGTACCACCAACGTCTCCAAACATTTGTCCTTTGGTATATAGATGCTGCTAATTTCATAGATATAGACGACGATCGATGGCATTATTTTAATATGTAAGATAAATAATTACATTTTCTTTGGCATCTAATAATTAGATGTATACTCTTCCAATTGCCTATGTTTCCTTTAAATAGGTTTGAAAAATATTACACAGCAGATGGTAATGTTCGCTATGCAACTACGGGCTTTGCTACCGTGTATCAGTATTATGCATATCCACATCATACTAGACCCCGTATAGCTCAGGTTTTAATACTACCACCGTTTCAAAACATGGGTCTTGGCGCTCATTTATTACATGCTATTTATCGCGAATATATAGGAAGGAATCAAGTGAAGGATATCACAGGTAAATGAATAACATAGTTATTATCTGTTACACTATCAGTACAGTAGATATCCTTTATAAAAAGCACCATTGGAGACAGCTTGGATACATAAAATATTTTCTAGCAACTAATCATTTCGTACAGACCTATCTCATTTGATGATCCCTTGTGAATGATCACATTTCTTTTTACTTAATTGGTACTTAACGTTCAAGAAAGAGTCAAGCAAAGGCGTGGCCTGATCAATCAATTTCGTTTCAGTAGAGCTAGTTCATTTTGGTAAGGCATTGTCATCATTTTTGTAGTTGAGGATCCGTCAGTGACTTTCCAACGATTAAGAGATTATGTGGATGCAATCAACTGCAGCACGTTACCTAGTTTTTCATGTGAATACCTGCACCAAGGTTTCAATAAAGCTATGGCTGTGGATGCGAAGGAAACATTCAAGATAAATAAGGTATTGATTCGTGGTATCCTCTTCTCATATCAACTAGTATGAAGAATATGTGTATCAGTAGCAAATTATATTTATTTTTAGAAACAATCTCGTAGAGTATATGAAATTTTGAGATTACGCGCAACAGATTTAACAAACGAGCACATGTATCGTGAATATAGATTAGATGTAAAAAAGAGGCTGAACATCCCGTATAAACGTGAACAGAACGATCTGAGAAAATTGGAGTGTGCATTAAGACACATTGATCAGAAATCAAACGTAACGTTACCAGCATTGGAGCAACGTTTGCAAACGCTCGAGAAAGAATATAGAAGCTTAGAGGAGGAATATAAAAAAGTTATTAAACGCTTGGAAGATGCAGATGAACTTTGAAATTGAATATTTTTTCATTTCTCATTTTTATTAAGTCATATATATATATGTAAATCAATTATACTATTACAATGTGAATCATTGGCCGGGACATTTCTGATTCGCTCAATAAAGATTCTTTTTATTAAATAATTAATAATGGAGTATATTCAACGAACTAAAATACTCATTTAAGTTAACACGTTTCTATAATGCCACTTAATCGCGCCAAAGTTTATGTATTTATATTCTGTTAAAATGAAAATTAAGAACCGTCGTATTTATTTCTTGAACAAAATAAAGATTTTGTGCATGTTATACATATATACAATGCACAAGTAAATTATCTAATAATTTTGTATAACATAATTGGTTAATTTCTCCCGATTTAATACCAAATATTTTTATTTTACTCGAAGAAATATTTTAATGCGTGTGTAATGAACTTAAGCGATTAAAACTTTTAATACGTTTTGTAATTTTGTAATTTTTTCAAAATAAACATTTTTTAAATATGTATCGGATGTACAGTCTTAGACAAAAGTATATGATATTTTCATCTATCTAGATGTATAAAAAATTGAAAATATTGGTACCATTTTTTCCACGTTTTTTAGTTATTTTATCTGTCAAGGTTGTCTCTTTCCATAAGAGTACGTGTAAAATCAGTGAACATTAAGAATCGTTAGAACTCAGCAACCATTTAGTGGATTCGTGTAAAACTTTTTACAGCACGTCAGGAAAATTAAAGAAACAATTTCATGAATTTTTTCTACATGCATTCTTTCAGCACGTATCTATCGTGTAAAAACAGAATTGGGTGTACTTTATTCATGTTCTCCCGAATGAAGAACGTCCTGTATTTACGTTAGTTAGATGTGTACATCATCTCCAAAAGACACAAAGGCATTTCGACTCAAAATCGTACGAATTCAAGTGTCACTAGATTCACGATTCAGCTGTTCGAGGCGAGTAGCGTATAATAACGAAAGCCTCGAGGAACACTGAACAATGTTTAAATTTTTTTTTTCTGAAACATCGTGTGTGTATATATTCGTCCCGCGAATATCACTGAAATCGGAAAGAAAGCTGCGTGTCGCAGCGGTTCACATACAATCGTGCGTCTTACAATCTTTTCTTTCTATTCCGCAATTGTTTGAAAATGATTTAAAATCTCGTTGCAATTTTCTCCGTTCTTAAAATCGATGATCATGTACATTTTATATATTATATTTATATATTCTTACAATACAGACGATCGTTTCGTAAACGTGCGAATTTTCGTCGAATTTTGTTTCGCAAACAAAAAGCAATGCAGCTGTTGCGACAACCATCGGATTATTGCTTTTTCGGGAACATTTGGTATACATATTAACATTTCATTCTGTCTTTGTGTTTATTTCTTTTACTATACGTTCTTTTTTTTTTTTTTGGTCGCAGAAGACATTGCATTAAACACGAATGAGTGACTCGTCCTAATATAGGACAACAAAAAATAAATGTATCCTTCTTCTCGTGTTTGACATAGATACAGTGTAACGCTGAAATTACAGTGAATAAAAACAGTATTGGAATACGACTTTCTTAAAAATAATTTTATAGATTTGCAGATTGTCGTTGATGTGTACAATTATGTACTCTGATAAGATTTCTGACAACGGATTTTTTTATCGTTTCACATTTACAGCTTGTTTAGTATCCTACATTCGCTATTAAGAGATTCAACCATAAGAATACGTTTTTCATCCACTGGGATCGACATATCATTGAAATTTGATTTATAACCGACGAGGTCGCATTGCTCAAGTACAACTTCCGTTTTCTATCGATTGTTCCAAGATTTTTAACATTCGTGCTCGAATTTTACATCTACGAGCAATATTTGCATATTCCTTTTGTTTTTTCATATAAAAAAACAGGCTAAAGTAATAACGTCACCGCGCGCATAGCAGGAACTATCCGATGCAGGTTTAAGAAGCGTTGAAATCACCGAACAGTGAACTCAATTTCCGCTGCTAAAATAAATTGTATTTCAATGATTGGAGCGCAAAGGGTTGAAACGTGTTACAGACTCCTCTCGATTATCGTCTGACTTGTTCTGCACGATTATTGTCCAGGCGTTATCCCCACCACTGGGGCAGGGGGGCGTGGAACCTGTCGGGCGCATACTTTGTTGCCGTGGCTTGGACTTTGGGGAAAAAACGAGGAAATTTCGGAGAAAAATTGACAAGGGTCTGAAGCATTTCTCCCTATAAGATTATTGTCCCGGCGCGGACCCGAGTTCGGGACGATAATCGAGAAGAGTCGGTACGAGGTATGTACAATAAACTCTTACTATATTACCATGGTCGGGGCTGTATGGGAGTAATATGGCAATAAGTTTAGAGCCCTCTCCATGCTAAGTTCTACCGTCATAGCCTCTAAGTCAGCGCCTGCGCAAAAGCTGGAATTTTTGTGCTCAAAAGTAACGTGTGAGGGGGAAGTACCTCACGCGGCAATATAGTTAGAGTCCACTGTAGTTGAATCAGGTGTATCGTCTTTCTGTTCGCGGAACACTAAACAACGGAGAGGATTGTCGAAGGCAAATGAGAAAAACCGTTGGGTGGATTGTTGTTTAAAAAGAAAAATGAAAGTGACTGTCCTTGATGGAGAAAAAACAAACGATTCCGCGAAATGCATCCGAGAATCACACTACTAAATGAACGAAATGATTAATCTCCTTCCGTTTATTTAATTTCACTGACTAGAGCGTCGATCGAGTTGATACATTATAAAGTTACGTTTACAACTAAAACTAAACGGACATCCGACGAGAAATTTTCCGTTCTTTCTCCGTTTTTACCGTTTCAACGAAACATCACTACCGCATTTTTAAATTCGAATTTATATACCTAAATAGCTTCCTCTTGGAATTATTATTTCAATCATTAGGTCCCCTCGTCTTACAACTGTATACAGCATTTTTTACTCGTGTATTCTAATCTTGTAGATGCTTCACATGCATTTGCCTTTGAGTTTGTTTTTCCCTCTAACTCGTCGCTGCTTCTCGATTCATCGAAACTGGCAATTTACATTTTGTTACTTTCTTGGTTTTGTTGTCGTTATTCTTTTCCAATGACGCTCCACTCAAACAAAAGAAGAATAAAACGAAAACAATTGAAACTTCCCATTTCGTCGTTTCCCCCGATCGTTCGGAATGTTAGGAGGTGTTCCTACTTCGGAGGATTGAACAAATATTTGTCATTGTACCGCGTTTGATATTTAACGTTTCTCAAACATGTATTCTCGAAAATTTTACACCGTTACAGAAGTTATACAGCTTTGAATAAGTACAGCGTATGCGTAGAAACACGTGGAAGGGAAAAGTCCTTCTGGGAACCATGATTTCCAAGATGGCGGACGCAGCGTAGAAACTGTCGAACCGATCCACATCGGTTTTTGACAATGTCGAACCGTCAAAGAAAATTGTGTTACAGAATAATCAACAGTATCTATAAGATATGAGGAACCTGCAGCTTACAGTTATTTAAAAGAAAAAAAGAAAACGTGCAAATAATGACTCGTTTTCGTAAAGTAGGAAAACCCCGTAAAGATGGCTGCCAACGTTGAGCAATTCTAGCGTGTGTATACGTTCCGTCACACGTTGTACCGAAAGCAGCAATAAATAAAAATGTTCGATGAAATTTCGATGGTTCGGAGAAATTAATTAATTAACCGTCTAATTAGAACCGTGTGCCCGGCTGTCTGATCTGAAAATTATTTCTCTCTTACCTCTGTCTACCTCTCTCTCTCTCGCTCATTTTCGAAAGAAAAAGATGTAAATGGAACTAAATAAATGACTGACACTACGTTTTGGTATACACACCACCATTCAAAGTTTGGGATCATTTATTCATCAAAAAGCGAACTACACATTTTTTTTTTAACGAGGAAAATTTGAATGGAAGTTTGAGCATTTGTGTACAGACTGGGCTGAAATTCGGGGCGCAACTGGGAAACAATAATAGCTTCCACTAGCCTTAACATAACCTAAAATAATTTCCACGGAAATGTATAATCAGTTTAAATCACGAACGATAACTTTGGCTGCGGATGGTGGACACTTGTTGATTAACAGTCTATATCAATAGATACATCGGTATAATAATAATAATAACAACAGATTAATCTTGGTTCCGCAAAGCCTCAAAAAATGTATATAATCACTTTCGATTCATTCTACAATGTAGAACCGAACGTTTCACTGAATGTACCCTTCATGTTTAGCCCACCCTGTACATTCAGTTAATATATATATGTATATATATAGACACACACACACACATATATATATATATTAACTCGAGAGAAGTAATAATACTAAAAACATAAAACACTAAGTTATATTATCTTTTATTTTCTTTCTCCAACCATGAATACTATAAGCGATCTCAAACTTGTGAGCGGTAGCGTTTATACAGGGTGTCCCACGTGTTATCACACAATTTCTGACTAACTTTCCAATAATAACAAAAATTCAGACGAATATTCTTAAGTCTGATCTCGATACACGCGCGTTCTCCGAAAATCTTTCAATCCTGTTTTCTCATTCTCCAAAAATTACGAACATTACCCTTTATTTTTCCGTTAATGGATTACGCAATCCGTTTATCACAATTTCATCGGTGCGATATACAACAAGTCCGAGGATTGCACAAAAAACGTGAATTCGTTCAACGATGACTATTTTCACGAGATTGACGGACGATCTCCGAAGATATTTCCGCGCGACAACGCATTCGTGGGACAGCCTGCACACAATAGTGGACAATAATCGAGAACGTCCCGAGGGACAACGACCACTCGAAATCCTTGACAGTGTGATCTTTCTCTCTCTCTCTCTCTCTCTCCTCGAATGAAAATCAAAGGGTGTAATGGTAATATGTATATATGATACAAGATTTCACGCTTTTGTTCAAGCGGTTACAATTAAATATTAAATAATCGTACGACTACACATTCTCTCGTTTCAACACGAAAACGGAAAAAGGAAAGAAAACCTGAACTTAGCGATTACAGTCTCTCTGTGTACAAAAATGAAACCAAAAAAAAAAGAAGAGAAAAAACAAATGAAATCCAGGATTTACAATAGCGTGTTACTAACCTCAATGTATAATAGGAATATAATAAATTTTTATCACATATAAAAAGCAGTTTGTATATGTACATGTCTGAGTAAGATTAGGTACCATTATCGTTATTATCATTATCAATATTATCATTATTATTTTAACCGATAGAAGCTATCATATAATTTGGTACACTGTTTAACGTGGATATTTGATAGATACGAACAATAATCAAATGTGTCGTTAGTTTTTTCCTGCTGTCCCGACGGGTTACTTTTTTCTTTTTTTTTTTTCTTTGTCGTTGGTTTCACATCACGTGCACGAATAATTCCTATGTATACACACCGTGTCCGCCTCCCTTTCTCAATATATTCCCCCCGCAACCGCCGTTGTCCTCATCGTGAGGCTCTCTGGTGCGGGGGGTCAATCTTTCATTTGTCCTCTTTATCCCGTTTTATCTCATCCTCGTTCCTTTCTCGCCTCGGTATTTTTCATTTATATAATTATATATATATATATAACACATTGTTATTCAAATAATAGGTCAGAGCCATGGGGCCAGTGGCATGTTCCCCAGGTGTGTGTTTGTCCCGATCACAACCGCCGTTTCGTGTCTGTCTCTATTTTGTCCAACAGAATCTCTCGAAGCAGAGGCGCGTGCAACGCACACAAGTGCTCCTTTTATCCTCTCTACCTTGAGAGAACAGTGTCACAAACGTCGCGAGAGGAAAAGACCACAGGTGCCCCCCCCCCGCCCCCTTAATGATGGATTCCCATACCATAGAACGATACGAATTACATCACCACGTGTGCACATCGCTCCCATAGCCATCCTCTTTCTCATCTCGCGTCGCTACCATAACATTTTTTCTTCCATTGACTTTGGATCATTATCAACTGTTCTCTCTCACCTCTACGATAATTTCTCCGAGGACATTAGAGATGTTCGATTCCGATTCTCTTGGGTAAACGTCACTGCCCATATACAAACACATACATTAACGGCCAAAAGTTTGGGACTCGAGTTTACGATTGATGGAACTTTATTATTTCTCTTACGATAAAATAAAACTTACGGAATCATTAGATATACAAATCATTTTTCATCAGTTTTAACGCATTACACTTTCGTTAACTCTTTCTAGAATATTTTCCTCGTTCTATTCATTGTCTGAACTGGTGTCCCATACTTTTGGACGTTAGTGTGTGTCTGATGTTTATATATTATATGGCAATGACGTGTTCAAGAGGGATCTACCTTCCGAAGAATCGAAAATCGGATTCGAACAAGACTCGCCGGTGTACACGACCGATCACACATTAAACACAAGAAGATGGACACACATTTCCGGTGCGTTCCAGTCAGGGCTGAGACTACGCGATGGAAATATCCCTTTTCTTCATTTCAACGATGGATAAATCGTGTTTTCGTGTACTATGTGCATCGAATAGTCCTCGAATTTTAACGATGGTTGTCCTCGAGAGGATAGGAACATCGAGGATTCTCTATTGTTCAGCGGGTTTATAGGTTATATACGAAACAGGGAACGATTTCGTTTTTACACGAGTGCGGTTGATGAAGGGAAGTAATTACTCCTAAAATTGATCTATGGGAATTTGACACCCTATTTTAGGTTCCCTACTGTAATTAGGAACACCCAATTTAGGGATGATTGTTAGAACGATCCGAGTACACTTTGATTTTACGTTCGAATAGTTCAGGCGTGTATTGTACAGGCATTCGGAAATTGTACAGTAATTCATTCGGAAATTGCACAACAAGTCATTCGGAATCTTCTATTTGGATAATCGAGCACGTACGGGGTGCACGCGATACGAAACTCTTTGGATCATTTGAAATTTCACAGAATGTACGATCTATATTTAACCAGCTTAGAGGATAAAAGATTGTAATACGGTTTTATAAATTAAGAACGATCTAGTTTCGTGTGTGGTTCATAAACACATGCACAGGTCCACAGAACTAGTCGAATTGTTACAGTTGCTCGAGGAACATTCAAAGCGCTTGAATACACGCAACACATTCTCGAATAGCCCCAGCCCTAGTTGACGATGTCCATCGTGTTGTCACGCCGGGCACTCAAATCAGAAAACGCATGTCATCGTTCGTTTTGTTTTTTGTTGTTGTTGTATCCGCGTGATTTAATGAATTCTACGCCACGTCCATACTTTCGACAAATCTCGTGTTTCAGTTTCAACGGGATTCCATTTTCCCTATTCGTTTTTCTTCGTTCGTTTTGTCCCTCCAGCATTCATCTCTCGTGTTTTTTTTTTTTTAAGTAGTCGAAACATAACAAGACAAGAAATTATAGAAGTAATCGAGAAATTCGAAGCAACAACTTGATCCTTAAACGTCTATCTAAAAATACAAATGGAGTCGCATAAATGTCGAAGGCACACAACCCTTTCAAATTGGATGAACTGAAAGAAAACACAAGGGGGGTGGGGTGGGGTGGGGTGGGGTGGAGGCATCGTCGGTGTGGTGTACGCGTCTTATATTCTTGGGCAGTGGGCTTCTTTTTTCTTTGATGCTCGAGAGAATTAAGTACAAGAAAATTTCCTCTTCTTGCCTCTCCTTTCACGTAAATCCGTCTTGCAGGATCTTCGAAAAGAAAACAGCGAAACATCGATGCGACGTGTGGTTTTCTTTCTTTTTTTTCTTCGTTCGTGGTTCCACTCCTTCCGATCGAAACCACCGCGTTCCTCTCAATCTATCTTTCTCTCCCTCTCTCTCTCTCTTTCTTAAAGCCTTATCCTTCGGTCGTTAGAAAGTTCCATTTTTAATTTCTCCATTTATTAGTAACAAATTTACATAGGCATACGGAAACTTATGTTCTTTCTATACCTTTGCTTCATTATTATCTTTCTTTTTTTTTTCTTTTCTTTTGCTATTCGACAGAGACGGGATTCCATAACACTATTCGCTATACATTTATACTTATGCAATTAATCGAGGCAAGTCGTCCGGACTCCCGAAATCGTGTTCTCCCTTTCCTGTTCTCGTTGTTCCCCCCCTCTCTCGTTTCTAGTCAACGCCCCCCGTATATATCCGGCCGATTTCATCCCATGCAAAGAAGTACGGTGTAAACGTCGTCTGTGCCCGAGAACCACCGATCGTGGACGCACGGGAACGAAGAATTGCGCGGAACGTGTTTTAAGCGTAAGAAAGAAAAAAAAACCATAGACGAGGACACACCACTGGGTTGCCTCTCAACCAATACATAGAAATTCTGTTTCTTTTAATCGTATATTCACCTGGCGTTCTCTCTCTCTGGTTTCTCTATCGTCGTTCTCTCTTTTTTTGCATTTTGTTTTTTTTTTCGTTTTGTTTTTCTTTTCGACGCCGCAAAAACGTGGCTGGCAACCTCCCACGCATCGTGGTGTGTGTCGTCCGTTTCTAACTGAGAATCGTGAACCGCCCCCCACACAACAGGGGTATAAAAGGACTCGACAGAATTGCAAAATGCGTGAATATTCGCGAGAGAGTACCAGTTTTTCCGCGGAGAAAACGAACGGATTCTCCGTTTTTGTTTTTGCTTGTTTTTTTTTTTTTGCGTTTAGTTTAGATCTGTACAGGTGCCTCTATCGTTCGGCGCCAAGCTGCCGGCGCAGTTACATCGACGCGGCTTAATACCGTTTCACCGGGACAGCAACTTGGCCGGAACGTCCGCGGTTAGGGTTCATTATGGATCCCGGCTGGTGTTTTGCGATGACTCACAGTTCTCTGGACTATGCAACTGGTAGGCTAAAAAAGGAGCGTGAACTGGAGACGGTCCGGGCTGCGGTTCTATGGTTCGCATTGCACGCCGAAATGCCCTTTGTGAATGGCTGAAAAGAAAAGGAACAGAATTCACGAATCGCCGCTTTGAGAAACAAGATACATCCATCATTATGAAGAGTGTCCGAATTAACGTGATCACACGAGAACCGTATCCAAGTGTATCTTTACAGAGGTGTCTTCACAAGTGTGACTTACTTGACCCTATTCACCCGTAGTTGACCCTATTCACTACGGTAGCTATTTTGGTAAGAATCGTTCGAAATTTGTCACCTAACCTCACTAGCTCAACAGTCACGAAGAATTACTGTGACAAAAAAAACGGTTAAAAATTGGAGAATAAGCTTCTCATGAGCTTTTCTTTCTACACTCGTGTCCCCCATATTGAACTCTATACGGTACGAATAGACTGCGGATTTTTATGGGACATCACATTTTAGAAGGTTGCTCACGACGACAAAAACAAAGGTAGAAATTTCGTTTTTCTACTTAGGTATCTTATTGAATTTAAAAGAAAATAGAAAACGTTCGAATAACGAATAAAACATAAAAAAAGTATTTCGTCATTTTTAATTGTTTAAACGTGGAAATTTCAAGTTTTATAATAAAATAGTACTTCTTTATGAATGAAACGACATTTGTCAAACAATTATTTAAACTCATCAACTGTTTAAAACTTATAAGTGTATTATTCGAATAAAATTCTGCCCAACTCTGACCTATAGGCTATAAATGCATAAAATCCGCAGTCTATACATCCTAGACACCCCGCGTATGAATTCAGTTATGCATCACCCGAGATACATTACAGATGACCATTAATTTCAGACACTTTACACAGTAATAAATAAGAATAATACAAGTATTTACAAAGACGCAATTGGTAGATTGCGCTCTGGCCGTAGTGCATCCCTATTCTGTGCCTGATACTTGTCGGCTTCTTCTGCGCAATCCTCGCTCGCGTCCTCCACCTCTTGTTCGACGTCGGGACAAAGTTCGCAGGCTCTCTCCAGAGTTTTTCGCGCACTGTTGCTACGCTCCAGAACGTAACCGTTCGTAGAATCGTTGGATTGTGCGGGCGGAGACCAGTTACTGAACGCATGAGTGTACGGGGCCGCAGATGCGTACGGTCTCTGAAAATCGAGTTAAAAGCTGTTTATGGATGCACAGCGCACTCGCCGAACTATAGCAATAAGATTCATTTTTTTAAATTATATTTTTCTTTAATGGCCTTGAATAATTATAGTCACTGAATTCCTAAGGAAAGGGACTATCATTGTAGGTGTTTAAAAAAGGGTGATTTCATTAAAAAACAACGAAGGTGACCTTGATATCTCTTTAAAAAATGACAAAAACAAAAACCATTCAACTTTGTCCTTTAAGACATTTGACGTATCCTTAAAAACAACGAAGATATTTGAGGTGCAAACGTTAAGTGACTCACCCTGTATACTGTGGTGTCTCGTGAGAGAAAAGTTTTTCGTTTATTCGCCGACACATACCTTTTCGAGTTCTTCGTGCAGCCAGTCAATAGCATGTATCCACTTCCTCTTTAGCTCGGGACTGTGATGTAACAGCTGATGCGCTGGTCTACACTTACTGAAAAGGTGCACCATACATTTAATGCACTGATAGGCTCTCTTTTGGTAATGGTGTTTGCTTCTCAGTATTATCTCGAATAAACCTTCCCTTTCATCTGGTACACCTACGAAATATTTTTATATTTTCAAAGACCAGTACAATCGCGAAACACTTTTGTTGGGCATATGTGTGTTGGAATTCGTGCCTTTGAGCGCATTGTGAACGCGATGCGTCTGCCATGAATCCTCCATAAGAAGCATGGCCAGCAACAGATCCGTGTGATGTTTCAGCTCGTGTGTAAACGAAAATCCGATTTGCCACAATAGTTCGCTGAGCACTGTCCGCGACAAGTGTGGATTTTCCCAACAACAATATTGAAGTAATTTCACCGTATCCTCGGTGACGTTTACGTCGGCGTCTTCGATCAGCTTCTTCATGTAACTGTTAACGTACGTTACCAATTCAATTAATTGTTACCACTCAAGTAGTAGTTGCGGATGCTCCGCCGACAATCGACTTCAAAATGTGCTCTTTAATGCTTCTTACCTGTTCTTGACAAAAAGTATATCTGCTGCCTGCGGTTGAATAATCATCACGTATTCATTCTGACACGCTGGATCACCGTGCGGATTCGGTAGAGGCGCCTCGCCAGACTGTGCGTGACTCGAGAGTGCTTTTGAGGATACGTCACAGCAACGTATCAGCATACTGACTACTTGGTGCAATTTCGTTAGTTCTGGGTATTGATATTTGATTGTGGGGCCGGGACCTTCGTCGTTTGCGACCAACATAAACGTAACTGGGACATTCAACTGTAATAAAAGTACAAAACATTAGAACAGTCCACATGATCATGTAAATAAACAAACGAGGTAGGGTGTCAGTAGCCACAGAAGAAATTTATGCACGTAAGTTTATATGCTCAAGGTGGCCCAAAAGTCACTAGACCATTTAAAAATATAACTTTTTAGAAAGAGCCACTGTCAAAAACAAAAATGGCAATTTAATTTTTTTTCCTTCGGGAAGGAGGGGAGGAGGCAAATCCAATTTTTTTCCTCTAAGGTAGGGCAAAAGCCACTTTTTTCCATTAAGTGCCTCCCCTCCGGCAATGCCCATGTCTATATATACTTCCATCTATTTTCTAATTTAATTAGCTCGGAAATTTATGGTGCTACCCTTGTATCTTAAAAAAGTTCATAACAGATTTTGCTTACCTTAAGCAACTGAGCCTTTTCAGCTAGACCAAGTGACGCGTATGTATAGAACAGAGAAAAGTAATGTGGCAGATGACGCCCGTGATCAGAAATTTCTCGATGAAGTAAAGAAAGAACAGCGTGTAATAAGTGATCACTGAGCGTCGCCGTTGGGTCCAAAAGTATGGCTGAAAATAGTCAATCAAAGATTTTGTGAGACTGGAGATTGAAAAATAATATATTACCGTACATACATACGAACATCTGTAAAAACGATTTGAATAATACTGAAGAACTTACTTGGTGCGTTTAAGCTAGGTGGCACGCATGGGCCATCCTGAAGGGAAACGTGTGCAAGAAATACCAAAATTTTGAGAAAAGCTGTTCGAACCTCTGAACTGGGACAGCTCAAAAGGTACTCGCAAAATCTAAAGACAATGAATGATTCTCGTTAAATATAGACATTTCCTACGGTCATGCATAATATACTGAAAGAAAATCGTGGTACCTATGCGGGTGATTGAATAGTACATTGTGAGCGAACCAGGATCGTACGGATTTACTACTGCGCAGATGATGGCACACGATGTCGTACCAATCCGTAGCATTGCCGCGCAACGTCTTTTTGGTATGGAAACCTGTATAAAACAGGAATCTCGATGCTAATTGAACAGACAACATCGCAAGTTCTTCCTGTTCAGGACTCTACGGATAACAAATGAAAAATATAATGACCATAACCTAATCATGAAGTTGCGTTGAAAAGAAATTGCTCGATTCACTTACAAGTTTTTCGTTCATATGTTGTCTATTGATATTATGAGGATTACAGGACACAAGTTTCTTAATAAATTGAAAATACTCTGCGCTAAACTGATTCCGATTATGCATAAACTTTATATTTTGCTTCCTGACGCTATATTCAATGGCCGGGGGCATTTTCATAACTCCTAGTTTCGTATCTACAAGTAAAAAGTATTTTTTTTTAGCATTGTAAAACCTTTCGACAAACAGAAGGTCCGAATAATTACTCACACAATGATAGTTCGTTAACACTTTTCATTAAAGAATTTTCCTCTACGTCTAGTCTGGTGTAAAATAACATATAGGCGTTCCACCATCGTTTCTGTTTCCTGTAACTCATACGTTTGAGCATATGGTCAAACACCTCTCCCAAGTAGTCACCGCCGAAGCACTGAGATTTCATTTCTTCCTCTTCCTCCATTTTACATTCCGTGACGTCACCGTCGTCGAATTTATACCACTTCGCGACACCATCGTTTTGTCTATCATTAAACCATCAAAATAAATTCTATATATAACTGCTCTCAAATATATAAGCTTCTTTATATATCGATTTATCGAGACATTGCAAGATCTTAATACCTGTGTAAAATATAAGAATAGTAATGGCCACCGCTAGCCTGACCGCTGTGCACTACAATGCCGGTCAGTTGGTATTTAGTACAAGTTGCTTTCATCGACTCCTCATAATCACAGTCTATTACTTCTCCCTCCACTTTAGCCAGTCCGGAAACAGTGTAAGGTTCCATGTCCAAGTCTCTTGGAAATTCGAAGTAATCGTTGAACTTGATGGCGCAATCCCTTTCGAAGTCATATTCAAATCTTTTCAACTGAATCGCTAACACTGGTGGTAACTTCTTCACGCATAACCTTTTCACGGTAACAACCTAAAAAAAAAAATATATATATATATGTAAAGGAGTAAAATATCACTCACTTTGTAACTCTGTCTCGTTTGTCACTTGATGTCGCTAAATTTTCACAATAATTTATCGACGCCAGGTAGTTAATTTTGAAATTTTCAAAAGCCCCTTATACCTTTTTATTACACTTGTCACAGTGATAAGCGTCTGCGCCTTCCAGTAATTCTCCTTTCACGTACTGTTCGAGGGAGTCCAATAAGTTACTGTGATTTCTGATATCCACGCTTATCAAACTGAACGGCTCCTCCTTGGAATATCTGAAGATAATGTAATGCGGTATTACAGTTTACCGAAAAGAGCCGAATTTAAGAATTAAGAAGGTACCTATGAGGGCAACCTTTGCAGATTTTCTGGTCACTATATGAACCACCAAGAATCCTGCTCATTATTTGTCCGTGTCCTAAAGCTTTGAGTGCCTCGTCTAAGCTTTCCACTAGGCTCATGAAAAACTCTACTGCGTCTTGTTGTTCCCTAAGATTTACAGGTTCACCTTGAAGCCTGAAAATAATACACAGATGGCACCAGTGAACATAAATTAGTAATTATTCGTATACTCTGCAGTCTGTTTATAACTACGTAATATTGTTAGTACTAATTTTATTCGCAATGACACAGCAAAAGATACTGGAATCAGAGTTGGGCAATAATTGGACTGCTTTGTGATTAACTCTCTAATCGATTATTGATATCAATCAGTAATTATAAATAATTTTTGTAGTCTGTAATCATAAATCAGTAATTTGTAATCTATTCGATGAATGCTTAATTTATATTTTATTAGAATTAGTGATGTACATGTGTACATGCATACAGCTCCCATAGAGAAATTAGTTTCTTATGCAACAATGATAAACGTACCAAAGGCATATAAACTATAAAATGTTTGAAATGAAAGTTATATTAAAAACAAACTATACTTCTATATCAAGATCATAGTTTTTAATCAGTTTCCACTACATAATAAATATTTATTTTCAAAAAAATAATTACGGTATTGTTATTAGTATTGTACTGATTCAATCACGATCAAAAGTGTAACCATTCCATGATTAATGGTTGCTGAGTCAATCATGTTCTTCGATCACAATAGTTTCGATTACTTCTGTTATTCATTAATCAGTGATTAGTGATTACTCAGAATTAATGTATTCTGTATTTGTTTCAGGTGACAGATTACTCATTAATCAGTAATCACTGATACTCTGACAGACCTGATCTCACGTAGTTCCCAGCTAAAACTCTGTATTTTCCATTAAAAAAAAATCCAGCTGAACGTTCAATATATAATCTCAAACTCGAGTTGTAGTATGTAATTACTTACTTGAAGTGCTTCCAGAGGCCTCTAGGTATGTAATATTGCAGTTTGCTGTAAGCCAGATGGCCGAAGATCGCTTGTACTTGTTTCAAGATCCCGATATTATATTCCTTCCGGGATTCGTCAGCTCCGCATTTCTCCTCGTTCGTATCGTTGTCGTTCGTCTCGATTGTTTGCTCTCCCTCGATTCGTTCCTCGCCGGAGAAGTCCTCGTTCAAGTCCGTCGCCGCGCCCTCCGCGGCGAGCAGACCGACCCTTATACTTTCGACCATGTACAATTGTTGTAATACTGAGTTCATGTAGCAAGTCGCGCCCGCGTTCTTCAAGCCCACGAACCCCTTCAACGGCCTGAGTCCGACCGGCGGCAGGTAATCCCATTCTGATAGCGGTTCGTCTCTCTCCGAGTAGAACATGTCAGTGAGCATTGTGACTAGAAGTTTCATGTTGGGTACACAGCCTATACAAAGACCTACAAGTAAATCAAACGCCGCGCTGGTCGACTGCGGGGTCGTGCATACTGGGCTCGCTTGCGAGGCACTTAATTCGCCCGTGCTACGAAGTTGAAGCATCAGACGTGACGCGGGAAATACAAAATCCTCGACCAGTTCTTTGACCAGATTCGCTCCGTGCTCCTCGTCGGAGCCGAGCTCGAACTTCTTACTGGCCGGCAGAAACGCCAACAATTCTTTCGTTAGACTGAGATGACCCTCGAGAACAGCCTCCTCCACTTGGCTCTCTCCGATCTCTTTCACACAGTCCCGTACCTGTTTCAACCAAGCTATCTCAAGGTTTAGCAATCCCTCGGCTGTTACAAGCGGGCATTCCGACATATGCGCGAAATTCAACAATCTGCACAACAATTGGAAGTACTCGTGGCTTTGTTTCGCGTGCTCCATAACGGTGGTGTCTAAAACACTGAAGAGCAGCGTGATGGCGAACACCGAATACTGATGATCGAGGCTGTACCATGTCGATATTAGAAAAAACTGTTCGGCGGATGTCATTCGGATCATTCTCGAAGGGCTCAGCAGTACAAGGTCGATCAGAAACGTGTGCCACATTTTGTCCCTGGGCAATGACGCCAATGCGCTCTGGTTTAGTACCAACGCGATCGTTAGTACTTCCAATGCCTCTTTGCAGACCAACACGTCGTTGTTGTCGGGATTATTCAACGGCTCCTTATCGTTCGTTTCGTGTAGCTTGTGAAGCATCTCGACAGAAGCGTTTATGTTATTCAGGCTGCCCGTGGAGGCCGCCCATGCTAGCCTAATTATGGCACGAATGGTCGCTACATCCATTATCGGTAGCTCCCACGACAAGGTTTGCATATAGAGCTGCATACACGTGTCGGATTCGGTTCGTCCGCACAGCACAAAACGCGCTAAATGTTGCGCCAATTTCGCCGCTATGCTACGCAACATGCACTCCGTGTTCTGATTCGGTACGCTCTGCAACGCTTGCTTCAACACCGCCATCGGGGTCCAATTACTTTGAACGTGATTCTCTTGGTTTTCCGATATCCCCGCTTGCACTTCGTCCAGCACACAGGCCATGACGTTGCCCACCACGGTCAGCAACAGTTTACATAACTTTAACACGGTCAGATAGGCTGCCCGTTTGGTAGTCTCGTCGGCGTTTGGTAAGAACTTGTTTTTCGTTAACATCTCCAGAATCACTTCGGCTTCACCGCTCTTGATGAAATTGCACTGAAACTCAAACGCTCTCTCGGACATTGGATCCAGAGCCGGCATTAACAGACTATATAAAACCTGAAACACAGAGACGAGTCACTAATTGTTCGTAAAGTTATACATCGTACAGGATGTAAAGGTGAATGTGAAGGTTAACACAGCGCCGGATCAAGGAAGGGCTGTAGTACAAAAAACCAAATTTTTAAATACTTTAAATACCAAAAATTTGATAGCCCTGAGCCATAAAAAATCTTAACCGGGTCTGGGTTAACACTTCCGCCACACAGTGAAAGTGAATCTTTGTTTAACACGTTCAACTTTACATCCTGCGTAGAACACAGAGATATTTCGATTTACCTCTAAATTGTATAAAACTTGGCTAGGACTTGCAGTAAAAAATAAAGAATCTACTGTAGTGTTTTGTTCATTACAAAGAGCAGTATCTACATTATCGTCCTTTTTACAGTCACCGAATAGCCACTGCAACCGTGACACAGTAAGGGTATCCGGTGGCACCAATTGCAAAAGGTTTCGTGCGCCATCGCGTAACTGCGCGTGTTGAAGTGTACATCCCAGATCGGCCAATTGAAAGAAAAACGTAGCATACTGCGATCTTTGCGATATGACCTGTAATAAATATAAAACGTGAGGCACTCAAATAATTCCATTAAACGTACTTGGAAATGTACACCGACGTGCAAACTCGGCTTCCGCTAGAGGAAAAAGTGAGGTAGGCAAAGGGTCTCTTACCAATTAGTTTTGGGAGTTACTAAAATTTATGCCAAATTAACATTCGGTTCAACATTTATTTCAGTACTTGAAATAAATTTACCATGTAGTAGAAAGCCCTTCGCCTATCTCACTTTTTCCCCTAGCGGAAGCCGAGTTTGCTCGCTATAGTACTCTGCATAGAGATTTTAATTTTAAATCGAAAAACGAAGATAACATACCACACCCGGTAAGCTATTTTCTGCCTCTACGTTTGACCCATCGTACGGTTGATGGGAAGAACTAGTAGAACTATCGGAACTACTATCCGGTGAGCTTGGCATGTTGCTGTTTACTTGACTTAATTTTGCAGATAACAACTGAAAGAAAAATATTCATTTCATTGTTTCATTAATCCGCCGGTGGTAGCTCAGTAGAAAAGACGTATTATTATCAGTCCAAACCATTTTATCTCTCAACGGAGTTTGAGAAAGTAGCTTCCTGTCATCTGCTGGATCCAAGGACTCTCCATTAAGAAATAAGTCGAGCTTCACGTTCGAGCCGTTCGCTTTAATCCTGCGCAATATTTGTCGTCTCAGTGATCCCAATGTGTCGTTACTATGCGTGAATATATCTATGTCATCTACATTAAGACCAGGATTTGCAAAACGAATGATAAGAGACAGATGCTTCCCACGAACTGCTCTGTAATACCATAAACGGTAGAACGTTGTAATTATGTTAAGCAGCGGAATTTCTCGACGAATATCGATAAACAAAAGAAAATTATACCTATGCAATGGTAATATTCTCCGCTCCAAGGGAAACGCCGAATCACACTCGTTTATATACTCTTGCAACACCTTCATCACACGACACATTTTCATAGCCTCCATTTTAATCTTATTCGACATTTGTTCTTCCCGTTCCTCTTTTCCCTCGAGGTAGACTTTACTCAAAACCGAGACGGTGTCGTAATGTGCTTTCAATCTGTCCATGCATTCCCCTATGTACGTTACATGAAACGCCAGAACCGACGAGTGAAGTCGTGGTCCTAAATTAGTGTTGACTTCCTTTAAAAGTTCTATGGCTCGATTCGCAATCTCTTCGGGACTATTAGTCACTACCTAAATGAATAAATAGTAAAACGGATACACTAACAAACTCGCGTTGTTACGTTACAATTCGAGAAAAATGTAAAGGAAATTACAATATTACTCACTCTCCATAAATAATCTGTACCGATTAGGTCAACGTCATCCATAAAAAACGTTCTTCTCTTCAATTTCAATTTCCCTTCTTTCGAATTAACGGCTTTGAAGAATCGCTCGTAACACTTGATACCACTTTCCGTGAGCAACGTTGGATCCAGTTGTAATATATTGTTTTGGAAGAAATCTTTGTTTATTGCCGGATCGAGGTCTGGTTCGTCGCCCATTAATTTCGAGAACCATTTGAAGCAAGCTTCTCGGTCTGATACAAACACGCCCTGTTCTGCCAAGCATTGCCAGATCTGTACAGCTTGATCCTCGCATAACCATAATTGACCGTCCTAGTAGAGAAAAATTTGAACGTTAATAGATCGTAATCGGCATTGCTGACGTTTACATTAGCGTTACTACCCAAGTGACTGATAACATACTTTCAATAAGAAACGTAGGAAATTAAGCCTTTCCTGCACTTGCATAATGTGATTGTATCGACCGTCGGACATGTAAGTGTTCGGATCAATGTCCGGATTCTCTTTGACTAATTGCCGCGTTTTGCTCATATAGTTCGTTAAACTGTTTGCCACGAGTATTACTATCGTATGTTCTGTTTGAAGTCGTTGTATGACATCTTGCCTTAAGTAATACAAAGAAAACGTAACGAGTTATGTACGGGCGTAGAAAACGGTGGCGCACGAGGATTTATCATTGTTTAAACGAACACACCTATAATGATGACCCCGTTGACCGTGACCTATGCTAGGATTTGGTTCGTAAAGGCAACATATTTCTCGGAATTGTTTTAAAGCCGGTAACACCCACTTATCGCCGTTCTTCAATTCTTCCACGCACTTGTCCAGCCAAATTGTCTTTTGAGCGTCCCTCTCTTGTGAGCACGAGTAATCGAGAATCTTCACGTGAGCAGTTAACGCTTGATCCATGATCTCTGTAGGCACCTCGTCGGAATGAGCCAAATTCCAAAACAGAGTTAAAACCTAGTTTCAGAGAAACAAAATACGTGCACGTTAAATATAAATGGAAAACAGAAGTTATACTTCACCAGAAACACATGGTATACAGTTGAAGAAAAATGATAAAACCTTATGCGCCATTACTCCGTCCTTATCATCTTCTGCTAATCTCCTGATTAATTCTAATAACTTTTCTCTTTGTTTCTTATTCGCAGTCTTCCAGCTCATCTATATTAAAAATACGTTTAAGTATTAATACAGACCAATGACTATTACACGTTAATAACACAACTGTAACAGCATAACAATAAACACCTGAAAACATTCGAACAAATGATCGAGTTGTTCAGGGCTAAAATCCCAAGCGAGTTTGGCTAGTAAATCGTGAACATTTTTCTCGATTGCCTCGTGTTTCTCTGCCTGAGCCGCCCAAACAGCGTCCAAATCATCTAAAGTCAAGGCTCGTTCTTTTATAATAAAGCGTAAAATCTTTTCCAACTTTTCAACGTACTGAGGTTGATGTAACGAATCTCTTAACACGATTTCTAACACACCGTTCTCTTTTATCCATTTCTAAATAAAGAAAAACAAAAGGAACGCAAATCAGTCTCTGAACTATGTACTCACGAATCACAATAGTATCACGTGAAAATTTCAATTGAACATACAGCCATACGTTCCGCAGTAAGCCACTCGTCCTCTTCGACAATCGCGTTACGATGCTGATAGAAACTAACAGTGGTAATTACTTTGTTCACTTCATTTAAAGCATTCATCTTTCCGTTGAACGAAGAAATTTGTAAGAGTCTCAATATCATCTTCAGTCTCAGAATTTCCAAGTTTTTAATCATCTCGTCCTGCAACGGCACCCGCGACACTAGACACTTGGCGGATTTGATTATGGATGATATCGCATCATTTTTTGATTCGTTCTTCGCTTCTTTCTTTAATTCTTCGTCAGTCAAATTATTCAATATTACAGGCACCATTTCCTATACATACAAGAGATTGTACAAGAAATCGAAAACCGAAATAAATAATTAAACTGTAATATTACTTACCACGATAGGCATTAAATATTTAACTATTGTGTCAACAGTAAGTAGTTCATAACATAAACCGAAGGGTCGGATTAATGCATGAATAACTGGTATTGTTAAATTTCGGCCGCTCTGAAATCTAGAGAGCAATATCTCGAATCCGTTAAGATTTCCAAACCTGTAACAAAAATGAGGGTATTTAGTACACGAAATGTAAACTGCAAAATTGTGTACAAGTGTTAATAATAGTAGTGATTCACCTATTTATGAGATCCACCAACCAACCACGAGTACTTCTTGAATCAACGGGTGGCCGTGCATAAAGTTCTTCATCAGGAATATCGCTACCAGGAGGAACAGTTTGTGAAACCCTGGCAGCATTAAATGTGTGAAATCTAAAAAAAGAATATCAAAAATGAATATAAAATGGTCCACGTAAAGAAAACTTAAAATGTTCTTAAAATGAGTAATTGACTTACTTATTACTAGGATTAAAAACCATTGCCAGCAACTCGAGAAGAGGAAACCAGTCCTCATCCAGTTTCAGGACACATAGTTCCACCAACCGTTCGCAGTTCGCGTTAATACAACATTGAATATTTAACTTCCAACCACCTACTGCATCATCAGTCAATATTTTGGTAAAAGAAATTGTGAGTCCTTCTCGAAAAAAGCGCTGACACGCTTCGCTTTGTACATCAATTCCTAGAGTAAATTACATACTCCGATATTAGTATCTGTTAGTTAAATAAAACGCTGTAAGTTTCATTATTATATATAACAACCTTTTTTACAAAGATCAATACTGGCTTGTAACAGGCACTCTAACTCTTGTTCTGGCAGAACTGGTACAATCCAACGTGGACTAGATATTTTTTCATGAAGAATATTGAGTTTCGCGATGGGAAAGTCAGGCTCCCCCTGAAGTTGATTACTATCCTCTACTGAAGTTAAGGTATCATTGGTGCATTCTGTTTGTACCACATTCTCCGTGAGTTGAAGTCCTGACATTGTGTCAGCTAATTGTTGAGGACCCGGTGGACTGTGCATCTGTTGTAGAATTTCATATTATTCAACAATTACGTCGAGTACAAAGGGATTGAATTTTCAAAGTTCTTGCAAAGTATAGCACTATTGTGAAATTATAAGAATGATATTAATCAAACATACCTGTGTACTTTGCTGGCTGTCAGGAGGGTCTATGCCTACTCCTTGGCCTCTTGCAGCAATTGTCATTTTGTGTGCTGTTTGCTATACTCCAATTGTCTCAATACCTCTTGGTCCAATAATCGCACCACCAATAACAATCATCCAACTCATTCACTGACATTAAATATAATTATACCCTAAAGGCCTTGTTTGAATAAACTATACCTACATTATCTGAAACACAAATAACAATAATCCATGATACATTCGTCAAATGAGTTTCTTAACATTCTTAAATACATTCAAAATGTTTCATGTCACTAAATGCTGTACTAATGATTGAAGAACTACAGCAAATTTAATGTAAAAGACTACAATAAATTTAATATTGCTCCTGGTGGAAAAGACATATTATAATCATTAAGTCGCTTTAGAGCTAAAGTACACATGTGCTGCGAAAAGTTTTAAATCTATATTGGGATCATCAAACCATTTTGACTCTCTTGGAGTTTAACAGTTCTTTCCTTTCGACCTCGCATTAATGGCTATTTAAATGCAGACAAGCAACACCACTACAATATCATTGTAAAAGCTAACTGAAAATCGTTGTTTACCCGTTTACAAAACGAATTGTCATTGGTTACTACTATTCTCAAGGCTCTAAACCGTAATAATGACCACAGATTCTGTGTCCTGATAGTATCAATAGGACCACCATTCCAAAGGTTCTGTTTTAAGACCACACTACATCGTTTCCACCAGGAATTTCGTTCTCACTGCATCGTGCCACTGTAATTCGAGCCTGTCCCGAGGCACGTACCGGTGTACAGGTAGCTAATACGCGAATCGGGGAAACGGCAACAGAAAAAAAAACCGAGTATTTAAACGGTGGGACTGCGTTCAAGCGCATAGATAACGAGGGACTTGTCGCGAATTCGATAAGTCGCATGACAGCATGATCTTGCTAAGGTTTCAACCGATGAATTCCGATCGTTCGCCTCAGCCCGACCGGAATTGACGAACGTATTTTAAACAATTAATGATGTCACTCGTCCGTACAAGACCAATGTCCACGGGCGAATAATTCGCATCTAACGGTTTGTATACTTTTTTTGGAATTTTGCAATCCACCAAAGGTACGATGTCATGTCGCGAATTATTCTTCTATCTCCCTCTCTCTCTCTTTCTTCCCATCTCCCTCTCCCTCCGACTCACTGGCTCTCTTTCTCTTTCAGCCGGTCCGGTTTCTGTCGACGGTACGGCATCGGTCCGGCGAACGATATCGCGAAAGATCACCGGCGAATCAGCTCGAAATTACGGAAAATACGTCTACGGCATGCTTACAAAGGACCCCAACGTTGAGGCGACGATGGAATGAAAAATATATCTCGGGTTATTCGTACGCGAAGCCACCTCTCCGACGATCGTACGATTATCGTATTGTTTACGAGAAATAGATGAAATGAATCCTATACGACCGGTACTTATGGGATTTCAACGATCCTCCGTGTTCAGGGAGCAACTATTTTCGCCCCGTTCACTCAACCGGGCCACCTCCGGACAAAATGGCGACCATCCTAACGATTAGCACTGCCGTATTAAGAAAAAACCATTTTAAATTCCCTTCGTGAACATATCCGCGCAAGGATATAAACGTACCGCGGGCACAGATTTCTCTAACTATCGGCGATTAAACGCGTGAAACTTTTAACGACGGGGAAACGCACCTTTACATAGTAAACGGTGGTAGAAATATTTGTTGCACTTTTTGACGTGACGTTATGGAACTCACTGGCGAATCTGTAAACACGGCTATCTTACGGCGCTACTGTCGTCCTCGAGTTAAAACGACCACCGTATCCCACTGATACTACTACGTTCACGGTGCTTGTCTCGTGCCCCTTTCCTCGATCATTCAATCTCGATCGCCCCTTTTACTTTTACCCCCGTTACTTGTCACTTTCCTATTTTTCTCATTTCTGAATCTCGCATTATAGACTTGTTTGATTTTTATGTCGATTCTTCTCGTTACCGTTTGTTTCTAGGTGATATGCGATTTTAATATTACGCATGAAATTTTTTTCAACCCTTTAAGCATCTTCCGCCATTGTTACTGCCCTTTTTCTAAGTAACACTACAGAAATAATCGTTTTGAACTTCTTACGGAGAAACGAAATTGGAAGATGTTGCAAGTTGTAAATTCAAATGTGGGGTACATTATGCATTAATATCCTTACACTACTAGTGTAAATTATATACCCCATAATAGGATTTTTTAGTATGAACACTAGTGATAAATTAGATACTTACCTTGAAACAGCATAAAATTTCGGATGGTAGACTAGTTACCTTTTTTTGATGACTCCTAAATTGCTTCAGAAGCTTGATAGTTCAGTAGTTATCAAGAGAAACTATATATCATTGACACTGTGTTTCTTTTTTAGTAATTTATTTTCATAAATTTCATATAACTGTACACAACATTGGCAATTGTGATTTTTCTTTTCTGATGTAATTGATTTTGGTAAAGACATTACTCGTACAAACGTCACTGAATGTACATGTCGGAATAATACATAATTCTAAAGTTGCAAAGCTCTAAACTGAACATAACTAGTATTATAGATTTTTCTCGATTGAATAAAACTAATTGCATAAATTATTAATTAAATGCGTCAAAAGAAATAAGAGCAAAATAAAGAATATATTTCTCTCTTGATTTGTACAATTTTCGTCCACTCAAAGAAACAAAGATTCTGTTGATAATAATATATATAAAACGAAACAATATCCAGTAATATTAACAGTGATTACATTTAATAAAGAACGAAAATTGCAGTTACAGTTGCAATTGAACTGAAAAACGAGTAATGGGTAACTTCGAACTTTGTTTAAAATAGTGATGCTTAAAAAATCAAGTAATTCGAAAAGCTAATTTCCTTTATTGTTTAAAAATGTTTTATCATTCGTAAAACAACGCTTAACCATTGTTTCTCTTTTCTTCTTTTTTTTGGCAATTCTTTCCACTTAATTATTAAACTGTACCCAGGTAATCCTATTCCGATTGACCAGTCTTGTAATCATCAATAGCAAGGAAAATATAAAAATTTGAACCGTTAAAAAACAAAGCAAGGCACAAAAACAAAAATATCGTGTACAACGACGAAATATATTCCCAAAGGTACCAGCAGTGTGCTAATGACTTTCATAATAATTAAGTCACAAAAAATGATATGTCCATTTCTGATCCCCGCTAAATATTCGTGAATTGTTAGATGAAAAAAAAAACAATGAACAGTAATTTCTAAACATACTAATTGAAATTATAGCACCTGCAACCAGGAACAAATTTTTCTGCGCGTTTAAATTTTACAATTACATTAGTTTTTTCATCTCGCGACCCCCATGTGATTATATACTCTATATAATCCCTTACATATCCAATATAATACCAACGAGATACTTTTTGTATTAAATCATGTTCATTCTTATTGTGTATACGCGATCTTTATCTGAGATTATGGAAGAAGCTTGATAATCGTCGGCCGACATTATCATCGTTCTTCAACATTAAAAATGTCACTTAAAATGAAAAGTCTCTTGAGAAAGAGGAAATGATTTCTCCTTCGTTATTAAGGAAAAGGCGTGATGATGGACCATTTGCATTCTTCCTGCCATCGCTTACAAATAAAATTTATGTGATCGTGTCTTAAATTCTGACAACCTCGATAATGTGGAAACGTGTCCCTTAATCCACTGTCGAAATTTATCTTGTTCCCACTATCTCTTCGCAGAATGAAAACTTTTATATTCAGCCAAACGTATCTTTCGTACGTACGATATTGTAAACGATGGACCGAGATCATTTTTCCATTTTTCAGGACAAATATTCGGACTTTTCTTTTTTTTTTCTTTTTTTTTGTTAACCGTACATATCCGCGATGTAAAATGTTCATCATAAGGCTAGCTCTTCGAATTCCTTCAACAAGTCAGCTTCTTTCTTTATCTTCTCCAATTGATTGATTTCTAACTTCTTCCCAGCCTCTAATTGTTCTTTTAATTTTGTAATTTGATCTAATTTCTACAGTGAACAGAAGATATAGAAGTTAAAATCACCGAATGTTACTTCCATTACTTACACGACTAGTTAAATGAAAATTCTTACCGCTTTAATTCTTTTGAATTTTTTACTTCTTTCCACCTCATCGATTTCAGGAACATTTCCAGAAGTTAAGCTTTGATTTTTTGTGCTCGTAGTAACTTGTCCATTTGTACTTGTGTCGATAGATGCAGAAGCTTCCGAGTCCTTCTTGTCTTTCTTTGTCTTTTGCTTCGTTTTGTTTGCTAAAAGAAATGTGATATCTGTGTCGATTCTGCAGACGACAATCATACTTTACAAGTAATCACATAAATTTTCCTTACCAGCTTTTTTCGTCTTCCCAAAAGGATAGGTAGGTACTGCGAAAGGTAAACTTTCTCCTCTGGCGGAAGGTGGTCGATATGCTTGTTTTGAAGCTTTAAGCAAATCACACGCAAAACTTTATATCCTACTTACTAAATACGTACTGTAAAACAATTGATACAATAGTCTGATCACATTGTCGAGTGTTATAAAGTATCTTTACCTTGTGGCTGGCTAGGAGCAATACCCTCAACAGCTTTATAACTGATTGTTTTCTCTGGAAATGTGCTTGATGGGAAAGTCTGCCAAAGTACTTCCCAAAGTTCCTCTTGTTCATTCCATGGTCGCTCGTATAATAATGTTCCACTGTAATGCCAGATTTTGAATCTGTAAATAAATACTGATTTTTAATTAATGTGCTTATAAAGATTATGATACAGTTATCACTTACCCGTTACCCATTCGAAGTCTCGGTGCTGTGGTTGCAGTCATAAAATGTTCTCCATCTGGAGACCACTGAAGAAGCGTGGTATCGGGAGCTTCTGCTTTAGCAATTAATTTTTTCGTATCGATATCCCATAACTCGACGTGACCACGGAGGTTACCAAATCCAGTCAATAGAAGAAGTGCACAATGGTTAAGGAAACGAATCGCTCAGTAAGTATAAAAACATTTTATATCGAATAAATAATAAAAAATATTGTAATGCGAAAAAGGATATTATTTCCCTGTGGATTATAGTAAATGCTGTTCCGATGCAAGGCACCGAACTCAAATATTTTCTCACACTTAAGATTAAATAATGTGGCTTCGGCTGGCATGAAACCATAAACTACACAGAATTCATTGTTTTTTGGAGACCATTGTACTTCGTGTATAGGACCTTCTTTACCTAATTAAAAAATTATAATAAATAATAATAATAATTATAAATATGGAAAACTTATAAGTTTATGAACTGCAATGACAAACAAATTACTAACTAAGCATAAGCATAGCAGTTTCCCCTTTTGTATTAAGATAATGTAACGTCTGTTTTCCATAGTACGAAGCGCCTGTCTTATCAACCTCTGTACTTGTCAGCAATAAAGCATGCGCTCCGGTGTTATTCCAGTAAACATTCACTCTGTCCGCCTAAAAAGGAGAATTATACAATTTCTAAGGAGAAATAAATGTTGTGAGCATTTTACGAAAGCAATACAATACCTGGAAGAAGCTTTTATTTGCCACAGCACGTGTAGGTTCAAAATCAGGGTATTGAAATAATCTGCCGAATGAAGGCTGACCAGGCTTTCCTATGATACAAATAATAGGAAATACAAAAGCAATTCCATACTTGTAGTGAAATTAAAAACATAATATGTACATTTGGTATTCAATGTGGAGAGTACTTAGTTTTACATCGTTTCATATAACGATAGAGCACAAATGTTATTCATCGCGTTAATTTGAAGCCTATGATATCAAGTTTATAATTACCTCTTGAACATTTCTTTATTCCCTATGATTTTATTTCTGTACTTACATATGAAAGTGTACACAGAATAGTCAGCAAAATTTCTCATTATTTGTCGATCCCGATTATTGTACCTAAGTACTCGTGTATATCACAAAATACCATTACGTATTAATACTCAGTCGTACTTCCTTACAATATTAAAATGTTCTACAGATATAATTGTCTTATATAATCTTCATTCCACCTGTGCGTTACACGCCTGATGCATATTTGCTTCATAATGAGAGAAACTGAAATAAAAAAGTACTTCATAAAATATGCCAATTTTTATCTCAGCTACACTTGAACTACTACTAAAGCACTTCGTAATTTATATACTTCAATCAACAAAGTACGGTATTTAGTTATCAATTGCATAGTCTCGTATTTATTTCGATGTTCATTTTGCAATAACTGGTGTAACATTTGTTAAATAGCATTGTGAAAAAAAAAAATGATGTACTCTCCACATATAAGTACCCTGACAAATTATGACTGTATTCAAAATTGTAAGATTAAATGAATACAAACAAAATGTAATTACCAGGCATATAACAGAGAATATAATACGTGGAACAAATGGGAGATATACTAAAACTAGCAACTTTGGCTATGTTTATTCTGTGAGCAACTTTTTGAAAATTGGCATCCTCGTACAGAACGACGTCTGCACCAATTATCATCCCACAGATTTTCTCGTCGCTTGACCATTGGGGCTGCCTGAATAAATGTGATATAAATATAGCTACATACTGTAAAAAATTTACCAAATAAGTATACATCCTGAACTAATCTTACGGAAATATATTGATGATCAACAAATATAATATGGTTCTCTTAAAATTATTACGTATCATTGAAACATACTACTTCGAAAATGTATAGATTATTTGTATATAAATACAATTTTCCTCAACTTATCATATATACAAAGAGTGAACAAAAAATTAATGTCACATAACAACAAGATATTTTCACAGAAGTTTAGAATATATAATTTTACCATTAATATGTAAATGTTTTTTTAGTGAACAAGTTTTAGAACAATTGTGTACATAATATATTACCAATCTGTTTGTTTCTTCTGTATAAAACCCTTCACTAATTCTCCATTCTCTGACTTCCATATATGAAGATTTGGTGATGCTTGTGGATTTGATTGTACCACTGGAATAAAAGTACTGATATATTATAAATACTGTTATTATAATGAAAATTACTTATTTATAACAAACGAATTAGCCATGAACAACTTCTTGTTATGCTATTATGATCTTATAAAATATAACAACATATATGAAATGAATCTACTACATCAAATAATATTAGACAGCAGAAATAATTAATAGAATAATAATAAATGTAATACCCATGAAAGGTTCCCATGTCATAAAATATGTGCCTTTAGTGGAAAACTGTATTGAAAAGATTTTGGGTCTTTTGATCTCCGATATAATTTTCCATGTATTACAATCCACAATTTTGGTAGTCACCCCATTGGCCCATGCAAAGTAACGTCCTTCTGGACTAAAAATCATTGCTTTACATGTTTTACTGTCATCCTTAGGAAATGATTTAACTGGTTCGTACGATGGCGGGCCTTGTCCTAAACTGACCCCGATGGAACCTCTCACTATAAAGAAAATTGCATCTTTAATTTCTAATAACAAATATTACAATAAACAATATTATCTTAACTATAGTAATATATAACAAATACAAAATTCAGAATTTTATAGGTACAAACATTTTGTATTTACATTAAAGCGTTATAGAACGAAATATTAGAAAAATACTCTGATCAGACACAAATTTAAAATAACCACAAAACATTCACGAAAATCAATTAAAAATCATCGAAGTTGTACGCATAAAATTTCTCTTAATAATAATGCACACACGTATTTATTATATTATACGTAATATGTTTATTCATCCCTATAATATATTTATGTATTTTTCAGTAACAAAATGCCACATGACATATTTTTGTGCAGTCAATTGCCGCATGTGACGAACTTTACGAGCGCATTATAAACAGACAGGTGTTTAATATTGGCGGACATTATTCGGGGAGAAAATACCATGTGAAATTCAATCTTTAATTAAGAAAAATATGTAAGAGAATAGTACAAAAATGCTTACCAGCGACACAAGGAACGGTTAACGCCATTTTACCTCCGTTACCATGTGGTACCGTAATATCAAGTATCGACCACTCTTGCCAGATTGAGGAATTTGTCCCTTGAAAAGGATTTCTTGCACATGCGTCGCCAACATCGTATGCAAGAAGCACGTGCGCTCAGGGCCGTACATACTTGTATTTATAAACTGTATTGACATTTATCTCATCAATTTGGAGTTACACATTGATATTCATTTAACGAGCTGTTTATAATTACCCGATGATGTAATTACAGCTGTTCAAATAACCGATTAATAAAGATTGTGTACCGTGTTATTTGTTATCATAATGTTCACACATTTTGCATATTATCTTTATACTATGTATAAATACACATTTCGTAGTTCATACATCGCTTAAAGTAGAGCATGGAAAAGATATATATTTCTTTAGAGAAACATCTTGTAAAAGGACTTGAAGTCCTTAGTAGACTTTCGAATTTAAATACCAATAAAATGATTTCATAATTTACGCGCTGCGATCTACAACACGGAACTTCGTGCAATACCTAGATGGGAAAGCTACTTTTCGTGGCGTTTTCTAAAACGCTAACTAGGATGCACAATTATTTTATTTAACGGCCTACAACTTTTTTATAACAATTTTTTACTGTGTTAATAACGTGAGAAATTGACTATTCACGTTGAGAATATGTAAAACTTTAATTGTAATTAGTTGTCAGCTTTAGAACTAGTAGAAATATCAATCTACATAGTTACTTATACTGGTAACTTTGATATCGATTACTTTGTTCGATCACGTACGATTATAGCATAGATAATCGATCTTTCAACATTTTCCAAGTGAACATTTTCTTTCACTGATTTTAAATACAAAACTTAGTTTTAAAATGTACAACCTACTATTCAAAATTTTCAAATAGTTTACCGACAAGTATACATTTAACAAGTTATTTGTTATCAATGCAAAATCTCATATACCAAAGGGATATATTTAAGCGATTCACGAGATAAGATATATGTCTACAGCAATTTTTTAATTAAAGATCTAAAAACGTTTGCTATAAATATACCATCGATTTCAGCTGTTTCTAAAAGTTCGAAAACACAGTACTATTGTTGTTATATATATACTATTTGGAGATTTATCGTGAGTATACTAAAGTTCTATGTAAAAGAATTAGAATAATGAAAAATATAATATTAACTTACCGTATTAAATTGAATCCAAAAATAGATTAAGAGGTTCATTTCATAATATATCAGTAATATTATTCAACACGATTTGATGATGATAATGTTCAGTAATATTAAAATCCAGAAGGGTTTGCTGAACACCCTGTATACAGCAGAAATTATATGTCAGCATCGTCTTGCGTGGGGTATGGCAAGTTCATGTTTTAGGTGAGCATTAAAGAGACCCCGAGTTGTTTTGTTATAATATTGTTACTTTTTACTCGCTTACAGATATAGGTATATAAAAAGTGTGAGCAGTATAGCTAATTTACATAAATTGTACATGTCATATTATCCTGCTTTTGTTTCAGATTTGAAAGAGGTTATGTTTTTGTAAATAAAATTTCTAAAATAAATGGGACGACTTTATCGATTACATTTCAAAAAAGATTTTATTGTTAAAATCGTCTCATTCCAAAAATGTTTCTATTTACAGTTTTTCACAATACCTTTTCGAAATAAATTAATAATTATATTTTGTTTACTAGCAATGTGGACGAGTATGGCTTCGAAAGATCTCACGACTTTGACTATGAAACTTATGAAGATTTTATGTCCGAATACCTCAAAGTACTTGCTAAGAGAGCAAAGAAATGGGCTAAAATTATTGGTGAAGGAAAGTCATTGCAACGCAATATTACAATAAAGAGATATGTCCGTAAAGGTATACCAAGTGAACATAGAGGTTTGGTAAGTAACAGTAATATCTAAAAGAGTTTTATTTTATCAAACTAATTGAATGGATTAAAATGCTTAAAGGTATGGCTTGCTGTGAGTGGAGGAGAAGATATGAGAAATGCATCCCCAGATCTGTATGAAAAATTACTACAGTCTCCGCATAATAAGGAAGTTGCAGATATTATCAAAACTGACCTACCTAGAACATTTCCTGACAATATATTCTTTAATAACACAGAAAATCAACAGCATCAGTTGTATAATATTCTGTTAGCTTTTGCGCATCAAAATAAAACAGTAGGGTACTGTCAAGTAAGTGCAATTACACTATTAGCATCTCTGTAAATTTCATTTATGCAAGATTCAAATGAAGCTTTTATTAAATCATTTTCAACTTCTCTTAGGGTTTAAACTACATAGCAGGATTATTGTTATTAGTAACAAAAAATGAAGAGACAGCTTTTTGGTTGTTAAAAGTTCTAATAGAGAAAATTTTACCTGATTATTATACACCGACTATGGATGGTCTGCTTACAGATATAGATGTTCTTGCAGAATTTGTCAAGTATGTATTTTCTTCAGTTTTCACTGATAGTTTATAAGTTACATGCGTATGTATTGTTAATATTTTTTTAGGATAAAAATGCCAGATATTTATCAGCACGTCACAGATATAGGTTTACCTTGGGCAGTTATTACAACAAAATGGTTTGTTTGTTTATTTGCAGAGGTCTTACCGATCGAGGTAAAAATTAATCATACATATTTTTGATGTTAAGATTAAGATATAGTAACGTTTTATTCATTTCAAAGATTTTATATGTAGTATGTGTAGAGTTGAAAAAAAATTTGATTGTTACTGTAACGTTTCGTATTAATAATTGAATTCCTGTTTGGATTGCCATAAACTATAGAAGTACTGAATAAAATATTTACAACTTGGCAGACTACGCTGCGCATTTGGGACTGTCTTTTTTATGAAGGCAGTAAAATTATATTTCGTGTTGCATTGACTCTGATAAAAAGAAACAAGAGTAGCTTGCTCGCATGTCAAGATTTTACTATCTTAGCAGAATGTTTTAAAGAGATAACAAAGGACAGTATTGTTTTAAAGTGTCACGATTTCATGCAGGTAAATATTCCCTTGAGATTAAATACAATTCTGATGTATTAGGAATCATTAAGGAGGAGTAGTAGTAATGAAATCTTTCTTATCCTAGAGTATATTTACAATACCTGGATCACTGCCTGGTAGTACAGTTATGAAGCTACGAACAAAAATCTCGCGACAACGCATAGAACAAAAAGAAAACAAATTAGGACGATAGTGATAACAATAAGATTCTATCTGTCGAAATGACCTAGTCAATGTATCCTTCTACTGTAACTGCAAACCGATCAAGCTGTGTAAGATTGTATCATAATAATTAGGTTCTACAGTGTTCCTGTAAATATAAATTTAGCACGAAAGCATAAGACAATACACCGACGATGATGTTTGTATTTTTCATTTATATGATTCTTTATATATTCATTATTTGTAAAAACAAAGAAAGAATATGAAACTAATCACTAGTTCCATAATATATATTCCATAAGATTGTAATATACGTGTCTTAATTATATTAATATTATATGTATTGTATTAAGTATCTTAAGTACTGTAATTATTAGCTCAATTAGTCAGTATTGAAATCACAACCACCAACAATGTATTTATAAATAATTTTATTCTAAGTTAAATAAAATACAAAATTGATTTGCGTTGCCTAGATATGTACAGAAACATTTGTTTACTAGAATTAAATTTACAAATATAGATACAATACAAATCGTTATAACTAATTATTTGTTTAACTATGACTTCCTGGCTCATTTTTCTAGTAAATCCTTTGCTTCATTAATCTTTGCTGCTATGTAAGGAGATCCACCCCTATCAGGATGATTCACTGCCATGACTTTTTTAAAATGCTCTTTTACTTTTGCTTTGTTTGCAGTCGGGGAAACACCTAATATTAAACTAGCTTCACGTCGAGTCATTTTAGATTCAAAACCACCTTTATAGTATTTGTTGTTTGCCAATGTCTGCAAATGTATATTAAGTTACAATAATTGTAATAATTAATTTTTTTTAATTTGAAATGATTTACCTGTGAATCTAACTTTGGCATATTTTTAATAGCCTCTGCCATCTTTTGAGATAAAGTTGGCATCTTTCTCATGATATAGCGCCCAGTAAAACCCATTGCAGCAAGGCCTAAACCTGCTGCAATAAGTGAACTAGCCTAGGAAAAAATACAAATCAAAGGCTAAACTATGTACTCTAGACGTTACTGATTTTTAAACTCATAAACGTATATAATTAAACAATAGACTGAATTGTATCTATTAAAACAGTAACTCTGTTCTTATAACCTCAACTCCACTACAATTAGTGAATACATCAATAATGAACATATATTCACTTTCTGTTATTGTTAAATAATAATACTTTAAAAGTAGTAACAGGGTACTCATTATTAACAAAACGATGATAACATATACGTGTGCATAAGTTCACAGATCCTCGACGTTGCATACACATTTATAAATTATGAAATATTTTACACTGTACGTAAAGCACTCAACGTCAATGATTTATTCTTACGCATATTGACGAAACAATGATTAATAATTTTACAAGTGAAAATAGTATTTTCAATTAACTCTTACCATTTCAATGAAATTGCCAAAAACGCAAAAACTAACCGCAGATACCTATTTAACAACAGTTAAAATAACTTTGTTAGGTCATCGAATAAATTACTAGAGAGATTGTTCAACGTTTGTTATAAATAGACACCTATAATATTAACTTTTAAGTATTGGAAGTTCTGGAATTAGTTCCACTTTTCGCCACCAACTGGTGGGGGCGCCACAAATGTGCAGATTATCCGCCATCTTTGATTTTGCAAAAAGCGCGGGAAAAATGGGGATTTATGGGACATTTAGTGTCGCCCCCACCACTTTGGTGGCAAAAATTGGAACTAATTCCAGAACTTCGATAGTCGATTGGAACATGCTTCTTGCAGCTGAATGACGTTACTGCGCAATTAAATATATAGTATGAAATCACAAATGTACATATCGTACATATATATATATATATATATATACTCATATAAAGTATAAATGACCAATAGTACCATCTATGATAAAAAGGTTCAAACTACTAGTTCATTAGTACAATTTTCATGATTTCAGATGGTGGTACCGTACACTCGAACCTTCGTCGCCTTTACTCGCTGTAACCCGTGACAGTTAATATTTTCAGGCTGATGATTTGTCTAGTTCGGTGGATTTTTGTTCCGTGAGGTTGGTTACACTGATCTCCCTTGAGATGGCCGTTCTCAATTCATGGTAGAATCAGGTGGAATGGGAGACGTGTCCACACTCCACAGTATATAAAAGAGCGATGCTACCGCGGATCGGCTTCTGAACTGGGGCTGATTTATTCGTTGGATTATTCCTATTGTTTCTCTAATTAGACAATACGAATTATCCTCGCAATGGCCCTCAGTCAGACAAGCGTGGTGAGTAACAAATATGAACAAAAAAGACCACCGATCAAAGGAACAGTTAATTATGATCATTTTGATGACGGGAATGACGATTTTTATATCGTTTGACTTTTCTTCTTATCACCTATATCATTTTGATCCTCGTCTTTGTCCTTTTGATTCAGCAAAAACTGTAGTTTCGTACGAAATCTGTTATAAATTTATGTGTTATTGATCAGGGATGAATAATCATATTTTCATAATTTTTTGATTCTGTCGTTAGATGTATGATACCGTGTTGACGTACAAATGAATCCTCATTTTTCATATTTCTTTTCTCATTAATTTTTAGGAAAAAAGGTTCTTGATTATTTGACTCCCTGAGCTTAGGTTAGGGTTCACTGTAATGCTTTTAAATTTGACTAATTCCAAAGAGTCATTCACAATGTTACAAATTAAAGAACGCTGCGCGAAATATGAACTATTATAAATAGAAGATAGAAATTTTCATACTTTATTAACTACCATGAAAAATAATCTGATGTTGAAATAATTATGGTTGTTTCAGCTTTGCAAATAATATAGTTTTCAAATATTTTTGTTTGACAAATACTAGTATTTTGTTCCACAAACATTATGTTAATTGTTCTTATTTTCAATATGTAATTATTAAACTGCAAATGGTATGGGGCATTGGGGAAAGGATATTTAAGGCAGACTATGGAATCAGAATGTTTACATTCAATGTTCATAATAGGTATGTTGATATATGGAGTTGAGTTGTGGGGGTTTTTTTTATTAGAGGGATGATCATATAAAAAGGAATGGGTTGATTCAAGCTGGAGTGGATCTATTCAGAAGGTAATGAAAGAAAGTGGAAGAAAAACTTAGAAGAAGAGACATAGAGATCCAGCAATACGAACAAGATAGGAAAATAAAACAATGAAAGTACAACGAAAGTTACAAATTTATAAAAACAATAGGGGTGTCTGGAATATTTAGTTAATAGCCCAAGTATGATGTGGAAGTTCAGAAAAGTTGAATATATATTGGAAGATAGAGGAAGGAAGAAATTGTGATTTATGCAGGAACAAATTTGGAATGCTAGAATATTTGGCAATGGATTGTGGGAAAATAGAGAGGGGAATTAGGATAGAAAACATGGTGAGTGGAAGAAAGGACGAGAGTATGTAGGAATGGCTTAGCGATTTGGAATGAAAAAGGAGGGAGGAGAAGGAAAGATGTACAATAAGGTGGTCAGAAATAAGTTAGGATTTAAGATAGAAAGGAAATGAAAGGAGAGAGTGAACAAGAAGAATGCATGGATTAAGTTAGGATAAGTTGTAATCCAAGTCCAAATTTCTTGGCTGTGAGGCTGAAACAAAGAATCTATTAAACTACAGATGTCTGTGCAAAATTACATTCGTCTAGATCAATTTATAAAAACAGAACTAAACAGGGACATATATTCTTTACTAAGAATTTTACTAGATCTAAAATAAAAGGAACATTGTACTGTCAAAAGTCATCGACTTTCTTATTTTATTGAGTTTTATACCTTTTCGTCTAATATACACACATAAAATCACAGTTTAGTAACCACTTATTAAAACATGTACTTTAAAATGATATACAAGCATACTTAATGAGCAAGTAACAAATAATTTGTACATAATGTTCTTGTATATCAAATTACAAAATATATATTGACGTTGCAGCTAAAATTATACAATACTGTGATAGAGGATGTTATATCAGGAGTAAGAGAATCATTTATAGACGAAGGTGTAGATGAACAAGTACTGCAAGAGCTCAAACAAATATGGGAAACAAAACTAATGTCTAGCAAAGCTGTCGAACTTAATCCAGATCCACCGGAACCTCAGGTTCCTCAAATAAATACACACAAAGCTGTGCCTGTTAATAAAGGTACAATAATAATATTCAATAGTGTCTCAGAAACATTTACTAGAATTAAGTTATACATTCACAGCAGTGCCTCGTGTACACACGACGTACTAATTTTCATGAGCTTGCTATCACACACGTATCTACATTTTTCTAAAAATATTCCGTGCACACATAGTAAGTGTAAACAGCGCAGTCTTTGTTTTCAGGAGTAAATGTAGGAAATCATTTTGTACAACAAACAGGAGGAAATACGGTTCCACAACAAGCGTCTCAACAACAGCAACAGCAGCAACAGACACAACAGCAGCCTCAACAACAAACCCAAACCCATTCAACGACGGCTGGTATGCAACAACATGCCAATACGCCAGTGCAACAATTAGTAACGTCTACATCCGCGGTAATGGATCGGCAAGTGCCTATTCAAATCACATTACCGCCACAGACGGGCGTGCCAGACGCCCCACAAAGAGTTCTGACTATACAGGTTCCTGCGTCAGCGATTCAAGGTATACTGAAACGATTTTCTGTACAGTAATAAAACTAATCAGCCCTCAAACTGCGATGCTTCAGCTGAGTCGTGGTCTGTGAATTCGGGTCATTTCGACCCATAGTAATAATCCCATCTGTAGGATAAGGTTTTATATTCAATTGTGAATGTATTATTTCAACCAAATGTATTTTTCGGATGATATTTATGGAATATACCGTTATTGTTTAAATTACTGTACTAAAATCCGATTTCTTGACAGTCGACTGTTACAACAGGCGGGTGAAAATGATCCAGTATTCGTCGAGCGAGGGTTAAGCTTTGAATAAGTAGTTAACGAAGTTGCATTTGTTGTTAGGTAATCAATTGCATACAATCCTGACGGGTCCAGTTATCTCAGCTGCAATGGGATTGCCTGCCAATTTGGCGTCTACATTGCTCCAGCAGCATGTTAATTCTACCCTTCAAGGCCAAGCAACATTGACACCCCTCCAAGTTAGTCAGCCACTTCAGGTTGTTACACAGAGTACAAATAATGTCTCTCAACGGCCTGTACAAAATCAGGTGATTAATAGAAATGTTAATTTAGAGTTAAACAAATGTACATACCCCCGTTTGTCCTTTGTTATACACCGTGAAAATGATGCGATTATAAAGATAAGACAGAGCCGCAAATATAAGGAAGGAAGATTTGTACATTTGAAAATATTCCAACTTCGCAAAACGAAAATTAATTTCTTATTTTTTCTATCGCGTGTACAGAATAATATAGCACAATTAGACGGTCCACTTGGAGATTCATCGGATGATGATGAAGAAGAGGAAGAAGAGGATAACGAAGATGAAGAGGAAGATCTTGATGATAAAGAGGAAGAGGAAAACGATGAAGCTGCTGCAAGAGAAGAGGTATTTAAAGTCTAGTAATATATATGTATTACTGTAGTATAAATTGAGATAATAATACAAAATGTTAAAGGATATTCATACAATTCGAGAACTATTATCTACATTTATTAATGTGCATAATGGCATAATGCATTCTTTTCCTCAGGAGCCATTAAATTCGGAAGACGATGTAACAGATGATGATCCGCAAGATCTTTTTGATACGGATAATGTAGTCGTTTGTCAATACGACAAGGTATTTATACAAACAAATACAAACTTCATCTATTTCCGGAACGATATTATAAATACATTATAAACATTATATCTTAACTAATTCGACAACTTTTTTAAAAATGTCCTATAAATTTAGTCAAATCGTTGGTACTGACATTATGATCTAAATGTAAACTTTTAGATAACTAGGAGTAGGAACAAATGGAAATTCTACCTCAAAGACGGCATAATGAACCTCAGCGGTAAGGATTACGTTTTTCAGAAAATGAACGGGGACGCGGAATGGTAGAGATACTATATAAAACTATGGAAATCGACCTTGATAATGTGTTCACGTGAAATTGGTATACAAATTTTTCACTAGATTTTTGTTTTGACAAACATTTCTCTCGTTTTAGACGTGACTTTTAAGGATTGAACAGATATCACTATTGTTTGAAAGTTTATTCTAATAGGCTCGAATAGAATTCTAATTTCTTTTGAAAAAAAAATGCATTGAAACCTCTATTATTCGTATTAATATAAGACATGTTCTCTGTTTATTTATAAAGATAAGATTTTATGCTTTTGTTAAATGTATATGTCGCTAGATAAAATATATTATATATCTATACATGTTATATTTAATTAGTCATAACATCGTAAGGAATTATCAAATTTAAATTGAAAATAAATGCAACATATAAATTTAATATATCATAAGACAATATAACTAGAAAATGGAAATTACCATTTGTTTAGCATTTCTGAGCAACATACGTTTACAAAGACTCGAAATTCGAAGTTGCAAAGGAAAATCATTCAGAGACTAATTAAATCGAAAAGGAAAACATTCGAGTAATCTGGGTTTCACTGCATAATTAAGAGCTCAATATTAAGGGAATATCCTAAATTATATTTTGAAGAGTCCCCATTGATGGGAGTTTTTTCACGTGAGTTTACTATGTAAATAGATTCTAAGGGATTGCAATCTACCACAAGTATGTGATGCTCTTGAAAATAAATGTGTCTTATACTGTTAAAGATCTTAATACAGAATATTTCCTACAATATTATACATCGTTAATGTATAATTGTTTTTCCTTTCATTGTTCCTTGTATGAAGGTGTCAAATTTATTTACATGTTTTCTGTTTTTTTTTATTTATTCAAATCATTAATACATACAATTCATAAATTTGTCGCTATAGACACTTTTACTTGAAAACAACAGTAATTAAGCAAACCAATAATCCCACCTGTTTAAATGCATTTATTTAATCAGATTAATGATCTTGTTAATAATTGGATGTAAACAGTTATTTAAACATTATTTGTATATTTATAACAAGAAAGAAATTATTATTACAAATAAACACTATTATTTTGAACTATTTACAACATTTATATATTCATGATGTAGGATTGAAAAACGAAGTATGGAAGTATTGCGGGGAGACTGTTATCCGGAAGAGTAGAATGAGGGGGTTATTACTCTCGAGGGATAACGTTATTAAGCTCGGTGTATAAAATATATACGAGTATTTTGAACGAAAGAATCAGATTTTCGGGGGCCCCCTTAGCTGAAAAGCATGGGAATTTATAATAATAACGCCGAACATTAACAATAAATAATAATCATATATTCATGACGTAAAAAGGGAATTAATGTTTATTTACTTAAGTAATTTAATAAAATTATATTAACGCGCAATAAAATTCTACAAACTTTAATCGATGTTGCATATAACATGTTTGGATTTTATAATTTAGTAAAAAGCAACAATTGTTTATTGTTTCCCCTCTATTTTTCTATGGAATCGCATAGCAATTAAAACAAAAAAATATGTAAACGAAAAATGCAAATATTTCATTAAAACTATTTATTTGTGTTAACAACTGTCTTCTATTTCGCTGACAATTCGAGGAACTTCGCGAAGCAGTTCTTCTGCGGTTATTTCAAAATTTCTATTCAACCAAATGTCTTTCAGTTCTTTTATGACTACACCAATAATTTTTTTGTTTGTAACGTCATTTTCCAGCATATGCCCATTAATTGGAAATCTGAAAATAAAGAAAAGTTTGCATATACAACAGAGCTCTTGATACACGGTTACCCGGGTTTGCGAGTAATCAAGAATATTGTATTTCGTAAAGTATTGTGTAATAGAAATGTAATATCAAAAAGGCTCAAAATATTTTAATTCGAATAAGTCGGGGAAACATATGTTACTAAACTGTTTTATTCTGCTGTTAAATAAAATTAACGCAACTGAACGCATTAAACGGTACTTTATTACACGCAAACCTGGATAACTAGTTACCCGGTAAAAATCACAAGCCCTAATATACAACAGTATAATAATAGCGGCTGTTAACCATGTAATTACTGTACCTAGGTAGCACAACGTTTTCAATCTCTGCAGCAAGACTGAAAAGTTGTTTACATTTAAGTAATTCACAAATGTAACTTTTCCCAATAGTATTTCCACGGTTGAATTTCCAATGAATCAGCATTCTTTTATAAAATTTCAGAGGATTGTCTGTTAGTTTGTCTTCTCTTGAACAAACTAGAAACAATGCTAGATCTCTTTCAAACGCAGATAGCTTTAGTCTTCGATGAAGCTTAAGGACTTCTTCTTCATTTTTTAACATTACAGTAAGATAGGAGATTGAAAGTAAAGAAACATTGTTCTTTTTACATGCGTCATGAGTGGTTACAAAACTTTTTATGTTCAGATTTTCTGGTAGTCCAACATATCTGAGTAAACAGTGCTTTATGTATTATTCTATTATATTATCATTATTATTATTATAATGATAAATGTAAACATTACCTTGCAATATCGCATTCCAACATTTTTAACGTCAACTCCTTCACGTAATTTCCGGAAAGAATCTTTGTCCATTCACTCCAAATTCTTTCACCTGATATCCTTTGCAAACCGTGTACATTATTTTTTATTGCTGTTATTGTCTCTTCGTCGTGAACATCTGGTTGTTCTGCAATTCTTCCGTAAAATCGGAAATACCTATAACATAATGAAAAGTTGTAATTGATGAAACATTTAAATTTAAATATGAATTTATATATATACTTCCATACTCTTTTCAAGTGTACTACTATTAAGAATTATAGTTCATATTAAAATAACAACTGACAAATACCTGAATATCCTGAGGAAATCTTCTTGAATTCTAATTGCTGGATCTCCCACAAATACAACTCGTCTTTTTTGTAAATCATCATAACCAAAAAAGTAATCATAGACTCTTCCCTCAAAATCAAGAAACATCGAATTTATTGTAAGATCTCTACGAAGAGAATCTAGTTTCCAATCTGTTGTAAAGATGACCTCGGCATGTCTACCATCAGTAACTATATCAATTCTGAGTGTAGTTACTTCAAAATTTTCTTTATCGTTAATTCTCGAAGTAACTGTACCTGCAGAATTTTTCAATGAATTCATTTAATTTCATTGAAACATTTCGATTTAATAATCATAAATAGACTGCAGATCTTTATGTAAAACTACATTTCCTGAAGTTACTTACAAAGACATGAATTGAACACAACTTAATTTCTTCCCTTAAAGATTTTAGTGTATTAGAAAGAAAGTGAAAATAGTGCAAAATTTTATTACAAATCCTATTTGATTATATTTTATGAAGTCTTGCTAACACAAATAATAACAATGTATGTTCTATTTACCATGTTTCTCTCCTTTATCATTAATCATTCTGATTTCTTCTTCTTCAAACATTTGCTTCATTTTATCGGGGGTTGCATCTGTTGCAAAATCCAGATCCACTGGTTTCTTACCCATCAAAATATCTCTAACAGCTCCACCAACAATTCTTATTTCATAATTTCGCTTCTTAAATACTTTTGCTAGGATTTTTAGTTCTGGCGTAAATAAGGAATGAAACAATGGATTGTCCAATTTTTTAATCACTGGATCATCCCTGCTAGGTGGTATCTGTTCGTTTTTCATTTTAATTCTTATCCAATCGTGGTATATTTTCTTAAAATTTCAAAACATGTTAATTATAATATAGATCCTTTGTAACATAATTATATTGAACTAGATATTAATAGGATAGCATTAAAATTTGACATATTATAATTAGACTACAGATGTTTATGTAAATCCATAATTCCATACATCAAGTTATAGAAATAAAAATTAGACAGATTTTTACTTACTCTAATAAGTATTTAATTAAGTGTGTAAGAATATATAAATAGAAGTGAACTTTATTATAATTTTTATTTTATTGTTACGTGCAACTTAGAAGATGTTATAATATTTTACAATCGTGTTTTACACATTCCAAATGATTACTGTTACAAACATAAATGAAATAAAAACATAACCTTAAAGCGGTTAGCGCTAATAATTATACTTGTCATCAAAATATGTTGACATCTATTAAAATCTTTTGTTATTCATATCATAAAAAAATTACTCTCAAATTCAGTGTTCCATTGCAACGAAATTTTAAATTCAATCGAATTTCATTAAAAAAGAATGAAGTACGCTTACTTGTGCAAAACAACGTGATGTGAAATAATTGATACGGGGGAATATAAACAACATTATTTAAAATTGTTTAACTAATGTTTTCAAACATATCACGTGATAATTTCCGTTGAACAGCAACATGTTTCTATAACCTATTCGAATATTGCGGACATTTACAACTTATACTTGGTTCCACCAGAGTCTGTACCTGTTCCGCGCATACGACGAGCTGGGAGCTGGGAACCGCCGCGGGCACCACCACTTCCACTGTACTATTCACTGCATTCATATACATAGTGAAACACTAATATGAATGCATAGCATAAGAGTGTATTTCATGATTACATGTCGTCAATGATTTAGAAACTATTCACCCGTTATACACGCTTTGAATGGTTCGCTGGCGTTTTACTTTTCGGTAGAGGGCACGCGGCGTGATAATCCAGCCAATTAGACAACCTGCGCAGAACGAACGAAAACTCGTTCGATAGCAGGTACAGACTCTGGTGGAACCAAGTGTACTTATAGTTTCCCTTTCACCTAATGATTGATGTATAAAAAATATATACTTCATATTAAAATTACTACAATATAAAATTACATTTTTTACTTGAATTATTGTTAGTTGGGCTTTGTGTTTCTCTCATAGTGAACGATTTTCAGAAACCAGACACTTAATTTTACAACACTTGTAAAATATACCAAAATGGATTAAATTCAGTTTTTACTGTAAAATAATTTCACAGTAGTTATGGTCGCTGTATATGCCTTATTTCCAATAATCATTACAGAATAAAAATACTGAATACTACTATATATCATTTTACTTAAAAAATTCGAAAGTTTCTATTGTATCGTGCTTACCTTTTGTATGTTTTACTAATATCCAATTTGAAATGTCAGTCTAACAGAACATATTAAGATAACTTTTTCCTAGTGAACCGTCCTGTATATTTAAAAGAGTAGCTTTAAGTCAACATAGGATACTTGTAATAAAAACAATTCAATTGCATTTTTTCGATAATATTAAATTCTTTATTTCTCCCTTCATTATATATACATCATTATTTAGTACAAAAGATTTCACACGCACTCGCAGGCCTACTCGTAGTTAATCACACCCAGTTGTCGCGTATTCTGTTCGTCATTCAAATTTTCCGAATATCAACTGTTAAATAAGTTCGCATTTCAATTATCGTATCTAATTTATAAGTTGGAGGGGTACAAAGTATAAAAATGTAATGACTTAGGAATATTTTGTTCGATTCTTCAATATTGATTATATAGGGCTCAAAACAGCAATCCTTACTTCTTGATTCTTATTTATAATTGGCTGTTATTAAATTTCACTCAATATCGTCAGTGAGTAATTTCTGGAGCTCTTACAATGCCATTTCATGTAACAGATATATAATATACATGCGCCATCTATACTACTTCGCGTAAAAGAACAATTACGGAATCCGTAAAGCTGACTTAGATTTAAAAGTATTCAACTTAGAAATGATGTAATTGATATTGAGAGTTACGGTAGAAGTAAAAACTACCTCTCTCTGTGAATTGAAGAGCAAAAAGATCTGTACAAAGTCTATATTAAAACTATTATACCTAGGAACATGGATTTGATAAATGAAACTATGATGTAACTAGCATACTCCAAAACCATATAAACTTACTCATAAAAGCATTCGATAGATACATTTCAGTTAAAAAGATGAACTGTAAACCATTTCTAATTAAAGTGGAATTTCGATTATCCGACAGTTTGTGTTAAATGTCAGGATAATATTTATAATGCACATATCCGATTACTCGTCATGATCTTGGTTTCGTACTATTATTGATAATCAAAGCTCCACTGTAATTTTTACTATATGGGATCATGTATTTTATAAATGGATACACAGTAGATGAGTAACATAAGTTGATATCATAGAAAATGAACAGAGACATAAGACTATTGAATAACACCAAAATAATTGCGGGAAATACGAAAATATAATTCAACCTGCATCTGCCACAGGGGATTTACTTAAGAATGAGCGTAGAAGTCATACAACAGATAGTATCTAAAAATTTTGTTTATCTTTCCCCATTACGAAAACAAGGAATGAGGATGAATAAGGGATAGAAATGGTGACAGTCAAGTCGAGACAGTTGTAAGACTGTTTAGTAGAATGAATTCAAATATAACATACTGATTAAGAGCCACATTATCCTCAACCACCCATTCAATTATTTTGGGAGGATTGGTGACGTTTTAGTTATTTCGAAATAGTTAAAAAGATAATAACAGGCAGAGCTCCAAAAAATAATCACGAACGGATTGAGCTTCCGGGTGTTGGTTCCTGCTGCCGTTAGATTTTATTACTAAACTTTTTTTCAACTGGTCTCTTTAACAATAATTTCAAAAGTTAAATAATTCTTAATCAATTATTTCATTCAAACTATTTCGTACATTCTTAAAAAAGTAAGTTACAAATACAATATAAGTACAATTCGATCGAATGCAATTATTAATTGCAATTAAAAATTGCTTATGTTGCTGATACTCAATTTAATCGGCTTTGACATAAAAAGACAAGGATTTCAGTATCTTTTGTCGTTTATAGTTGGAAAGAATCGAACATTATCCGATCAATTTCGGGAGGATACAGGTGAAACCAATTGGCTAATCATTGAGCCAATCAGATTTTACATAACTTGAGCAGTACCTACTCTCTTGAAATTCTTATTTTACAATTCCATAAGACAGGATCTTCTATCTCTTAAGGCTAATTTTCATTCATTCTCTCTCTCATTCTCATACACGTTTTATGGCTATACAAAATCAGAGTTGGACAATTTTTATTCGAATAATAATCAGTGGACCAAGGTGTCCAACCGAATTATTTCAATGAATAATTTTGATGTTGCAAATTGCATGCTTCAATCGAATAATAAATTTCAAACAAATCAATCGATAGTAATTAAATAAATATTTATACTTGTAATCATTTTACGTCAATATTGATAATTTTGCATTATATTTAATATCCTAAATGTTTTACTATAGAATTCTTTACCATAATTTGATAAATTTCATGTATAAATTTTTGGGCTATTCTTTACTTTAATGGTAGAACTAGTTCTCATATTTGAAATTCAGTTCTGAACTTTCTATAGCAAAGTTTATATATTAACACCAAATTAATTTTGTTGCACTTTAATCTTAATACAATTGTTTTGAAACAATCTTCCATACGCGGTGTTAGATTGCACGTTTATTCAAACGATACAGTAATCAAATAGATCTGTGGATAAATTTATAAATAAATAGAAAGTTATCGTGAGTAAAATTCATTCGAATAATTATTTATATATTGACGATATACACGACGGTAATAATAACAGTATAGTAAATACAGTGACAATAAGAATAATAGTGGTGATATTGATAAGAATAATAATTTATTCGAATACCGTCCAACTCTGTAGAAAGAGCGAAATTACAATATGTACGTTAGAAATGTGGCATTTAAGCATTTTTACATGTGCATTAAGAATACGAAAATGACAGTCTCTGCGGAAAAGCCAGGGATGCCAATCCTTGACACAAAAATTCTATTATAATACAAGTATCACGATTATTAACATACATCATTTTTAATAATAATAAAAAATAAGCGTTAATATTTAATTATTTGAATAAATAATTGTCAAATTATCAAGTACTTGTTAATATAAACAAGAACAACGTATGTATACCGTTTTAATTCATTTATAGAAATTAAAAATTGAATGTCTAGAAAAATTACATTAATACTATTTTTCTATAACAACAATTTCGTTTTATTTTTGTAAGAAAGTTTACTCATACGAGTTTTGATACTTTGATGTACTTTATCATGTTAGATTTCATAGTACATACGTAACGTATAAGAAATTTGAATAAGAAGTCAATTCATAGTTCGTTTTACTAACATACTCCTTGAGAAGCAAATTTCGACAAGGTCTTACAAATCTGTAGACATTAAGTGAAAAGGAATAAATCAAAATTTTGATAAATTCAAGTACCGAAATACAGATTCACGTCTCTAAATTGTGGAAAAAATGATGGTAGATAATCCATCGTATTCATATTTCTTCCTAAATGAACTTTAAAAGATCGATAAACATTGAAGTCCAAATATATTTGCTAATAAAGCATGTAATGGGTATTTTCAATTAAATATTGAATACCATTAAGTCTATAAATTGGTATATTTGTTTGAATTTTACAGTTTTTTGTGAAATTTTTACAGATATAATAAAAAAGATAATGATGAGTCTTTAAGAAGTTTAAATTCTTTGAAATTACAGAAAATTAATAAAAAAATTCTACCAGCAATGGATCTTCCGTAGAGACAGTTGGACACCCTGACGAGATAAAGGGTACTGTTTATATAAATAATAAAATGGTAGTCTTCCAAGTTAATCGATCAATCGACCAATCAATCAAGCAAGACAGCAACCAATCGACTAATCAATCAATCGACCAATCAATGAATTAATTACGTATTTACAGAGAATACAAGATACATCGCATCATCGAGGAGGAGACTAGCTGTCTCGAAGCTCACTCACCACTCATCGAGCACGATGATCGCATGAACTACGAAATTGAAGAGAATTGAACAGACGCCTAGCTGTCTCATGATCAACTCCACAGAATTTTCCTAAAACACATGAATTACAATTTTGTAAATTCTAATCTGTTTTAAACTTCTTCCTAGAGACAAATCGAATTATTGTTACATATTGTTCACATTTTGTGATTTTAATTTGAAAATTTGGTTTACCTAAATAATTTTAATATTTAAAACTGATTGACATTATAAGCTGATTTTATAGAAAAATTAATTATTAAAATATTCTGAAATATTTTTGGAGTAAGTAAATTACAAATTACTTACGTGGGTTTAGAGGCCTTCGCAGAGGAACTCTCAGTAGTCTTCTTCTTACTATTTCTGCACTTCCTTACATAAGCTTCTATTAGATGAGCGATTTTTTTCGGATTGATTTCTCCCGTCTTATTGTGGCATATCTAACAGAACAATTAAAATTAAAATTAAGACTTCAAGTAAATGAGCAAGGAATAAATATAAATACTAATATTATTTTAAGTACATACTTTCGGCACTGCTTTTCGCATGATATCTTTGTATTCTTCCTTCGTGACATGTTTCTTTGTATAATGTGGCTTCAGTACTAATTTCACCTCTTCCACCACTCGCTCTTGACGATTCAATTTCTTTAGGAACTAAAATATAATATTAATTAATTGCAAAGTGATTTCAATGCAGTTTTTATTACCAAAACTATTATCATGTATTTCTTAATCTTTCAACTGAAAGTAATTCTAGAAGATTTATAGTATTCCATTAACATTTAGAAACGTAAAAATGTTTAAATCAAGTCCAGAAGAGAACGGAAAGCATCAAACCTCAAATGAACATTATGTGTAAAATGTATCAGACATTTGAAACACTGTGTAACCGATGAAAATTTTCTGTAATGTACTAGAGTTGCCAATTTAAGAAAAACCAAACCTTATCCTTGACCTGCATCTCAACTGCGGAACTCGGTAGATCATCCAATATTTGAAGCTGATTCTCGTCCATGCGAACACCAACTTTCGGATTCGTGGGCTTCTTCTTCTTATCCTTGTCAGATTTTTTGCTTCTGGTCGGTTTACTGGCAGTCTTTGTGGCTGGTATAGTGCCGAACAGGGCGTCGAAGGTGTCCTTTTTGTCCGCGATTTTCGTCGTTTTTGAATTGTTGATCTTTGTAGGTTGTGAACCAACGGTCCCACCAGCGCCAGCTGGCCCAGCTCCGGGTGAGCTGTTGAAGTTTCCAGGACTGGGTGGATCGAAAATTCCATCGCTGAGCGTCGAACCCGGCGAGTAAGGTGACGACATATCCACAGTATCGGTGGCCTCTGCAGCGTCATTTCCATTTTGTCCGTTGTTCTTGGTCTGTCCGGACTTGGAACCTCTTGGTTTCCCTGAATTAGCAAAGACCGTTGGTGCCTGAGAACGATCCCCAGCACGTTGCTTCTGCTGATTACTCGGTGAAATACGATTCGACTGGAGCAGATTACGTTGACCGGTGTTCGAGTTCGAAGCGTTGAATACACTGCTTCTTTGTACCGCCGCGGCTACCGTGGCCAGTACAGGATTCATCACACTGAAAGGATTATTCTGATTCTGTACATTTTGTTGACTCTGCGGCCCTTCCAAACCTCCCGCCGAAACAGCAACATCCTTGTTGTTTTCGTTCTCCTTGGCATCGTCCCGTTGCGGAGACGCTCTTTTGATGGTAACCATAGAAATGATCTTCGGCTTCTCCAGTTGTTTCTCTTGACTCTGCCGTTCTTGCTGCTTCTGCATGGTCTCCTCCTCAAGGATATTACCGTCCACAGAATCATGCTTCCTCGGGGATCTTCTTCGTTCATCGCCGGAATTCGCTTCTTGGCTGGGGTCGGGCGTCGGCGATCTGGACTTTGTTGGATCGAATGGATCGTAAGCGTCTGGGCTGGTCGGAGGTGAGGTTGGCGGTTCTGGTGGTGTATTTGGGCCGATTTTTAATCGCAATTCTAATTCTTCTTGCGCCCTCATTTCTAACTCCTCTTCGACTCTTTCATCCATTTCTTCCTCTTCTTCTTCATCCAGAAGTGGGTTCAACATCGATGGTCGCAGGTTACTAGTCTGTTTGTTTATTGAAAATTTGATTTGAGGTTCCGGGGGAGTTTTCGGTCCCTGCGAAACGAATTGTTCTCGCTGCTGCGGTGAGTTCTGCGACGGTTGACACTGATCCGGTGTGATTTGTTGCTCCTGTTTATCGTCGTCGTCGCTCAGAACGATCACGTCTCTTGGAGACGGAGTTTGCTCCCTGAACGGCGATTGGTCTAAATCGATCACCGCGACTGGTTTCTTGGTCGCCGCAATCTCAGCGGCTTTTGACTTTTTCTTCTTGTCTTTCTTCGGTTTTGGCGATTTCGAACGCTTGTCTTTCAGTTTCTCTTTTTTCGAACGTTTCGGTGGCTCGGTTTGCAGAGGTTCCCTACGACGACATTTCAGGGGCGGAATCAGAGGAATCGTTTCGGGCAGTTCTGGTACCCCCGTTTGAATATTCTCATTGTCCTTGTTGAAGCACACACTAACCAAAATGTTATCGCCGCTGGCGAATACTTCCTTCGAGGGCGGCGGTGTCCTGTTTCTCTTTCCTTTCCTCTTTTTCTCGTCCCTTCCCTTCTTGCTCTCTTTCCTGCGTTCTTTCTTCTTCTTCTTAATAGCCTCCTTGTTTGTTAAAATTACCGTCAAATTTTTCGGCGGAACGTTTACGTTGTCCAACACCGGAGACCAGTCTCTGGATGTGATCTGTTCTTGTTGCACGTGTGGCGGTGTTTTTGATCTAGATCTGGACCAAGATGGCGTCCACTGACCGCTCCACGAGTCCCTTTCCTCTCTTTCACGTGGGAAATTCTGTTCAACTATTTTGTCCACTTGTTCCCAATTTCTGGAACAGGATCTTCCTCTGGATCTTGATCTACTTTGTGCCTTTCTTTTCAGAAGCTTCCTTTCTCTGGATTTCGACGACTTTCTGGGTGATTTCGACCGAGACCTCTTGCGGTTCTTCGATCGACTGCGGGATTTGTACTTCTTCTTGTCCTTACGTCTGTCACGAGATCTGGACAAGGATCGTCTGGATCGCGACAATGATCTTCTCTGTCTGGTTCTCGACAGAGATCTCCTGGACCTTGATACCGATCGCCTGGATCGTTTTCTCGACAGAGATCGTCGTTTTCGAGAGACAGACCTTGATCGTCTTCTTGATAGCGATCGTTTCCTGGACATTGATCTCCTTCTGGACGTTGATCTTCGTTTTGGTGACTTGCGTCTTCCCCTGGAGAGGGATCGTCTCCTGGAAAGAGATTTCGAGTAAGATCTACGATCTCTAGACCAAGACCGTTGAATTCTATTTCTGGATCTGCTTCTGGATCGCATTTTTGAATACGATCTAGAACGCTTCGAACTGAGACTTCTGGATCGACTTCTTTGTCTTGATTTCTCTCTAATGTCCCTTCCATATTCGTCTTTTCTGGGCCTCGACGGTCTCTCCGCAACAATTTTTCTAACATCATATCTCGGCAATTCTTTCCTTTTCTCCTTCTTCTTAACCATCTCCTTCTTTTTCTTCGGTTTTTCTTTATCCTTCGACTTCGATCGCTTTTCTTTGTCCCTGTACGATCTCTCCTTTGTGCTCTTCGAAAGCTTTTTCCATGCCACTTGATTCTCCGAGGCGATATTCTCCTTGTTCTTCTCCGTCTCTTTGCTTTTCTCTTTCTTCTCCTTCTTCTTGCGTTTCTTCTCCTCCTCTCTATCCTTCTCGAGCTTCTCACTTTCCTTGGCAGTTTTTTCTTCGATAATCTCCCCATCCTCCATCTCCTTCTCTTTTCGTAAAGTTAATAAAGTCAGCTCGTCCTCGAAATTCATTGCCTCGTCCGTTTCGGAAATCGCTTCGGTGCCCAACACGTTGTAATCCACCGGTGTCCTGCAACTTTCAAAGTCATCGGGCTTGTCTTTTGTCGGCGTGATCGGCTCCAGGCCACTTTCAATCGGGGGCAAATGTTCGGACGAAGATTTCAATTCTTTCAACGGAAGTTCATCTTTGCACGGAGTGTAAGCTCCATCGGATTCCCAGTCTCTGTTTTCCACGACAGTTTCCTCAACTGTACTTTCCTTATCCGGTTTCTCTTTCTCAATAGGAAATCTTTCTTTTTTATTTTCATCATCTTCGTCGTCCTCTTCCTCGTCTTCTTCATCTTCTTCTTCTTCCTCCTCATCTTCATCCTCCTCCTCAGCACCAATACGACGACGTTGTCCTTTTTCATCTTTCTCATTTTCTATATCCTCAGGATCCTTGACTTTTGCTTCGATACAGTCTTCCTCGACGTTCGAGATCGATGTTCCTTCGCTGACATCCGCATTTGAAGTTTTAGGAAACGATACAGGAGGAGAATGACAGCTTTCCTCCGACGCCAGTTCCGAGGGACACTCGTTGCTCAACTCATTTTCCGCCTTTTTAGAGAACAACTGAGTGGCCTCTGTGGGTACATCTACATTAGACTCTATTTCCGTTATATCAGTTACAGAAATCTCTGCCGATTCCCTTTCTGTTGGCTCTTCGTCTGTATTCTTCTCTTGGGGATCTGAAATGTCCATACGTATCACAGGTTCAAATGGGATCTCTTCCTCTTGTTTATCTTCCTCTACTTCCATGTCTTCGAATTTGTGCTTTGCAATTTTCTTCCTTTCCTCTGCACGGTCGATGGAGGTGGTTTCTTCTTCCTTTGGCTGCTGCGACATTTTTACAAAGGACATTATGCAACGATTAAAATCATGGTACGTTACATATAATCGAATCAATTAAAGTAACTACTTACCTCACTCTCAATCTTCTTTTCCTCTTCAATTTCTTTCTCTTCCTCCTCCTGTAGCCCCAACAATCTGTTATTAATCTTCAGTTTAGTCCCGATTTTGAATGTAATCTTCCCCCTGCTGTCGTTAGAGATTTTCTTCGGAGGAATTTTGCTCAAAGCCTGCCGTTCTTTCCTTAACGCTTCGACATAGGGGTCCGAAGGCTCCGGGATATCGGCAAGGTCACAAGCTTGAACGTCACCAACGATTACGTCATCGTCGTCCGGAATCGAAGGTGGAAGAGGAGGTGGTTCAAGGGGTCCTATCTGTTGCGATAATTGTTGCTCGGTGTGTCGAGCCAAATCGATGGTTTGAGAAGAATAAATTGAGAAATTGGGACAGTCTGCTTGAGAGTCCTCCTCATCTTCGTCGTCATACGCGCACAAATGCATCGACGTGTTCTGAGGTTCGGACGTTTGTGCAAGACTTTCTACCGTCTTTTCTTCCTTCTTCTCCTCCTCCTCTTCGTTCCGTTTTCCTTCACTATCGCTGTCGCTATCCACGGAAAAGGGATCGTACTTATCATTTTTCGGAGTGTCTTCTTTATGACTGTCATCGATAACTAATTCCTGATCGCTATCTTTGTCGCTTCTAGAATTTTCGTCGAAATCTAAAAGACCCGAAGGCGGTTCTGGGGGCGGTAACAACGCCACCGAGCCATTTTGCTGATCTTGAAGTTCCCCGTCAGACTTCGTTTCGATGTCACAATAAATGTCGCAATCCTCCTCCTGTCGAACCGAAACACTCTCAATATCTTGCGGTTGCTGTTCCACAGACGGATTTCCGCTGGTGTCTTCTGGTAAATTAGCTGGCATATTATTCAGAGGCCTTTCGACAGGCGGCTGCGGTGATCTAGGACGATTGAATCGTTCAGGAAAGGAATGGTGTTCGAAACCTTCGGTGAAATTGAACGGAGGTCTTCCAGGTGGCATGAAACGGAATCTGTGAATTTATTATAATGTGCACAGAACCTGATACATATAATTACAAGAAATAAATATAAAAATATATTTAAAATTATAAGTGAATACCTTTCGTTTCGAAAGTGCTGAGGATTTCGATTCCTAAATGGGGGAGTTCCTCCGAACATAGGAGGACCACAGTGTTCGAAATTTGGATTATAAAACGCTGGCGGTCCGAAATCCCGTCCGAAATTACTACCGCTCCCACCGTAACTATGTCTTCCACTTCCAGGTAGAGAGTCTCTTCCGTAATTCTGACCACCATGACTGTGTCTTGTATTCTCCCTGTAACCACCCCTAAAATTGCCTCTATTTCCTCCTCCACATGGATTATTATACATCGGGGCCTGTGTAATCAATTCTGCATTAATTCCAGTTGCTTCCTGCGGTGCATCGACCGTGGGAGTTCTATTTTCCACGACTGAAGATACTGTCTTTTCCGTTTTAGTTGGCGTTTTTTCCTCGATTTTTTCCTTTTTCAGACCATCCGAGCTTTCCTTCTTTTCGACTAACAAGAGACCGTCAGCCTTTAAGATCACATTATTATTTGTTGAATGCCATAATTCCTGATTGCTTATTATGTTGCTCAGAAGGTCAGTCTGGAATTGCTGAGGACTGGCCATGTTTTTAATACGAAGCTGTCTTCGAGAAGGCATTACAGAACGTCTGTGAATGGTTATGGTGGGACCGTTACTTGTTTGGTAATCCTCGGTGTCAGAGCTGGAAAAAGATTTCCCAAAATTTTGTATGGATTATCCGTTAATGAATTTCTATTAAATACAAAATGAAGTATCGTACTTACCCCGAGGGACTATAATTCAAACCAAGGCCATCTCCAAGAAGACTAAGCCTCGTGATTCCGGCATTGTATCGCGAACTGTTTAACGCGGATCTTTCTGGCAACACTGTACGACTTCTAACGGTAGGTACTAAAACTGGAACACCTTTGACTGGTTTACAAATACCCAAAGAAACTGCAAGCCTCTTTTTGGTACTAGCCAAAACGCTGGATACAGTTCTTGCTTGACGTCTGACCCTTCTCCTCTATAAAACAAAGTATTTTTATTTCGTCTCATTAGAAATAATATTTGAAATTATTCATTATACTTTTGTATTTTAAATTCATATGATTATGCGAACTAAATATGATCATGAATTACTTTACATTACCTTCCTCCGTTTTGTTTTCTTTTTCCGTATACCAATCGCAGCCACCTTTACATACGTCACAATTTCCTCTTCCTCCCCATCTTCATTACGTTCTGTAATTCTAACTTCCTTCAATATCGTGCCCCTGCTGGAAACATTTTTTGACCTACCCGACGATTTCCTCGACTTATTCCTACTTCCACTCTTTCTCGAACTACTCCCAGATTTTTTGCTACTGCTTTTGCGATTGCTCTTCGAGGCGGTTCCCGCTTTTCTAGAATTACCCTTCGATTTACTAGTATCAGAACGGTTCGGTTTATTTCCATCGCTGAATCTTCGTTTAGGGTTCGTGGAAACACTTTCGTCGCTAGACTCGCTCGAGCTGCTTCGAAATCGTCGAGTGTTCCGTGACTTTCTAGAACTCATATCAGAACAATTTCGATCTCCAGACCCCAAAGAATTAGAAGCAATGCTTGGGGAACGACTTCGACTGTTATCTCCGTACGATTCCAAACCAGAAGAGGTGGTGGGTTGATTTGGATCGAACGATAGTCGACGGGTTGGTTGTGGATTGTCATAAACTCTATTTCTTCTGTCAAACAATTATGTTAAATGTTTTTATATTGTCTATTGAATGTATACAAAGAAACGAAATTTTATCGTACAAAATTTAATAAAACTCGTCATATAAAACACAGCTTTATTTTATTCATCGTTTCGGTACCTGCGAATTGTAGCTCTAACACGCTCTGTATGTCTAGTACGAGGTACAATTCTTGGCTGTGCATCTTGAGGCATGCCAGCACGTGTTCGGCCATAAGAAACGCCAAGCCTGCGAGCCTCTTCCATTAAATCTGAGATCTCGTCCAAATCAATTTCCACCTTGAAAAATGGATATAAATTACGAATGTAGAGGATAGGATGGTGCAAAGTTTAATACTGACAATTATTCAGCATTCCAAATTAGTTACATGTTTTTAACAACATAAGGAGCATTTAGATAGTCATAAAAAAGAAAACAAAAAATGAGGAACCCTTACAGCTTCAGCATCGTTTTGACTATTCTGTGAACATTCTGGACAGAACCACTCTTCCATGGGTACTTCATTCATTGGAGGAGTCAAACACTCCAGATGATATCCACAGTCACAACCATCGCAGAGAAGCATACGATCTTCTCTATCGCTTTGGTGGCACATCTCGCAAAACGTAGGATCTTCCAGAGGCTCATCTTCTATACGAGCCGTCACTTCTACTGGAACTTGTCTTGTAATCTATAACAAAAATAAAATTCCGTTTATTTGTGTTCATCCGTATTATCAACGAACACTAATTATGAGGTGTATATATATACCTGTCCACCAAGTTCATCCCTAACATGGATTGTTGTGAATGTTTGACGATCTACTGGACAAGTGTTTACATTTTTACTCCATTCGAGTAGACATTCTAAACAGAAGCAATGTTCACAGGAAGAGGGAGTGCCTAGTTGTTGCATTCTAAATGGCAGTAAGCATATAGGACACTTTTCTACTTGGTCGTCACTGGTGTCTGTATCTGTGTCCGATACAATTTTCGGAGGTTTCTTGGATCTTGACCTCCCTAGAACTTTCCGTTTGACGAGACATTTCTTTTCCGATTCCGATGAGCTGCTCCAATCTGACTGCCATTCGCAAGTTTCGCTACTCTCCTCTAAAGAATAAGTTTGGTATTATTTGATGTTATTAAAGATACAGTCGTAAGTTTATTTTACAAAGGTTTACAAACTAACCAAACTGATTGAAATTGTTTGAAGCTGAGCTGCTGCCTCCATAACTTGTGTCATCTTCAGCAATGACTCTCTGAAAGTATGAAACAGATGAATACAATGATAAATATTTGATATATAACATGATAAATATATCATTTCATAATTAGTCCATTATATAGCTTACATGACTTTGTCTACGTATACTGGGTCTATGAACAACAGAATCTTCATCACTAGATTCACCTTCACTAATAACTACCTGAAAATACAAAATTACACTTCCCATAGTATAATCAATATTTTAATATACATAGTGTAATATATCAATATTTAATTATATTGTACAATCGACAGATTAATATGAACATAAATTCAAATTCTTATACATACATAAGTTTTTTTCTTTCTATGAGATTGCACAATGGATTCATCACTATCTTCACTATCAGGTATGACAAGTTTCTTCCGCTTGCCGGATTTGGGAATCTGATCGTTGTCACTAGACATTTTAACTTCACTGCAAAATCATACCCGCCTTGTCACATGTCCTATGTGTAATTAAACAAATGAAGAATTGTTAATAAAATCATTTCATTAGATTTAATTCATTAATATTTACATTATAATCAAATTCGCGCAAATTCAAGTATTATTATCAACAACTAAATTCGACAAAGAAATTCAAATTGTGCTCTAACAAATTATATGCAATATAATTGCAATAAAATATACTGAATAAAAAGTAAACTGGAATGAAAATTAATATAATAACATTACAATAATCTGAAATGAAATAAATATGTAGCATACTAATAAATTTAGTTAAAAGTCAACATTGCAATTAAACTGCATTAAATTTAGAAAATTATGTTACATTAAAGTTCAACTTAAATCATTACATGTTAAAATAATTTCTAAATCACCAGCTCGATTCACAATTTAGTCGATATAATGGTACAAAAACTCACAAAACTTGATTTAATTACATACTCAAAACTCATTGAAATATTTTGTGAGTCACTGTATATAACCACATTAACACATCACTAATGTTTTCCCCGAAAAATATCTTAAAATCGAAAATTTTCTCATCCCGCGAGAATTACGAAGTTTTTGTCGAAATAATCGTTCCTCTAGGATTGTCCGGGAAACACTTACGAAAAATGTTCAATGTATAGGATGAAATTACACAGAGAGAAAAGGACGAGGATGGAGCAGTGTCGAGGGTGAACCTAGAAAACGTCAATTTACCTTCGAAATTCCGAAGATTCCGATTTACCACTGTACCAAGGGGATTCGATATCGATCGTACATTATCAACGATTCAATTAATGACTGATTCGATGTTGATTTCGATGGAGATGCACAAATGTTGACAGAGGATACACTTAGATTTGAGAAACTGCCGACATTTTGGCTGCCGACGCCGTTCGCGACGTTGCGCTATTTTCTCGCTTCTTGACCGATGTTCCGCAATAGTAAAAATTCTTGGGTCGATTACATGAAATAAATACTAGTTCCTTTCGGAAGAAATTTGTATGCCCGTAATATTGCCTTTAAACATTTATGACGCGTATAAAGTGGACGTTTCATAAATATGTATTTGGATTCAGCAGTGAGCATCCGCCGGAAGTTCCATAGAAACAGTGAGTTTAACTTCAGTTTTTCTGAAAATTATATTTTTTCTTGGAGCTTCTTTTGCTTATATCGCACGGGGTCATTTTCTTTATACTACTATTTATTATATCTAATATAATGTATGCAATTTTTCTTGTAATATCAGCAACTATCATAAGACTTGCTAAATGGAATAAGGATAACTTGTATGCATAATTTTATTTGATAGTTTCTTCGAAACATGTTTTACGCTAGTCAAAATTGATTCAACTTTATTACAGTTTAATTTGTTAAGAATTACATTATTTTTCTTTGTCGGTAATGCTTAGCAATTTAATTTTAATTTTCCCGCGTTCATTTTGAATTAATACACGACTCTACTTGTTGAGTAGACTGAAAGAGCGCTGCTGTCTCTTGTTGAAGAAAAGTACGTAAAGATGGGTCGTATGCATGCACCAGGGTAAAGTAAATTAAATATTTGTAAAATTTACCATTTGCGTATCTTTTTGAGCACTTTATTTCAATGTTCTTTTTATTTTTTCCTATTATGGCAATATAAATTTATTAATTTCGTGTATAGAAAGGCTGACGAAGTGGCGTTTTGTTAGTGACCATGTGTTCTTTACTCAAATTATAATAATTAGGTTTTATACGCAAGACTCGGTGTGTTTTGATATTTGTAAATGATATTTTATCTGTTTTAAATTTCAAAATTTCGAATATTTGTCTGTTTTGAAAGACGTGACTCGATTGCTACTCTTTCCTTTACATAACCCCAATGTTCTCCATTTGTCTCCTTCATTTTCACACGTCTAGTATTTCAAAAACTGAACGACTAATTTCTTTTATTCGTCGTTTTACTTCATTATTATACTTACACAGTTACCTATTAAGTCGTTATCCATATTTGCCAGTAATCAAATTCTAGTGTTAAAATTAGTATTTCTTTAGGGATTATTTAAAGAATTAGTATAACATATAATACACATAATGTAAACTAATACTAAGATTTATAATGACAAAAACCTATGTTACAGAAAGGGTATATCCCAGTCAGCGTTGCCATATAGACGCAGTGTTCCAACATGGTTGAAGTTGACGCCAGAAGATTGTAAAGAACTGATTTTTAAACTAGCAAAGAAGGGTCACACACCATCTCAAATTGGTAAAAACTTTTTTATATTTAATTCGTTTCAAAATATTAGAAATAACAGCAGTAAATATTATGAACATAATTAATATTAACTAATAAAATGTATCTATTGTAGCAGATTCTAATTTTGATTAAGCAAACTAATTAAGATTCAGTACTTTATTGTTGTCTCTTATCAAAGTTTGCAATATTAAAATGGTGATGTTTGAGGTGACTGTGACTTTACGTCTTGTCTTAATAGGTAGTCACCAACACTTGTTTTATCCCTGAAATATTTAGATTTGTACTTACAAGCATATTTCGAAACAAACAGTGATCGATTATCGATTAATGAACATTCACAGGTGTAGTTCTTCGAGATTCACATGGAGTGGCTCAGGTGCGTTTCCGGACAGGAAACAAAGTTTTAAGGATTGTCAAGAGCATGGGACTTGCACCGGATCTACCAGAGGATCTTTACTACCTGATCAAAAAGGCAGTGGCTATCAGAAAGCATTTGGAAAGAAACCGCAAAGACAAGGACAGCAAATTCAGATTGATTCTTGTTGAGTCCAGAATCCACCGACTAGCACGATACTACAAGTCGAAGGGTACCCTCCCGGCAAATTGGAAGTATGAGAGCTCTACCGCCAGTGCTCTTGTCGCTTAATTCTTGTATTTCCTAATAAAACAAAATTTTAAACATACGTTCTCCTGTGTTTTACAGAACCCGTACTTTAGTTACCATATAAACGCAATAGTGTAAAACAGAATACGTTCGAAGCTAACGATATCACAACTTGTGATTTACAAGCTAGAAAAACTTATAGGCCCGTAAATAGATGCTCCTATTATGGATTGGATACACCTGAGAATCTCAAGTCCAGAACCGTCTTGAGGTCCTGTTCAGAATCGTAGATTACAACTGTATTAAATGAAAGATATATAATTTAATATCTTTGGTACAAAACACAGAAACTTATGAATCGACGAGGTTCGACCACATACCAATCCCGTTTTGTTCATGTAAAACCATCGTTCGAACCTGTCGCTCCTCGCTGTCCCAATTTTGACGTCACGGAGGGCCCGGAGGTGTCCACGAGGAGCCGATCACCACGCATGCGCGGCCTTCGTCCTCGACTTCTCCCGAGGACGGCGCATGCGTTCACCAAGATGGCGGATCGGTTCTCGCTCTCCAGTGGGCAAGGCTCTTTCGAGGCAGCGCCATATTAAAAAAACTCGTGAAATATTTCGTCGGTTTTTCGGCTGGTTGAACGGTGTCGTTTCGCGTTAAAAAACATCACCCCGCTCTGGTACTGTCCATTGTTTCCCGTGTTTACGCAGCCGATGTGAATTGACCGCGCGTGAACACCCACGGTCCTCGGAAAGTGAATTATGGGTAACGGAGGAAACGCAAGTACCTTTGACGTTTGCGAACCATATTGAAAGGCATTTGGAGGAGTTTCGTTTGCCGAACCGAGGTATGCCAACTAACCAAACGGAATAAAATAATGCGTATTCCCTGTTCGTAATTTCGAATGGACTTGCCGTGCGTCGCCGTTATTCGAATTTAAATATCGTGGCCGCACTACCGCGGTCATTTCGGTGATTTGAATGCTGGCCCTTCCCGTGTACGAACGGTGTTCCGTTGTTTCGAACGGTGAACAGAAAAGAAAAAAAAATTAACATTGCCAAGGAATGCCTTTTGTTGCACTGTGTCCATTGGTGCACTTGCTGGGCAAATTCATCGAAACGACCGTGTCGTGTAGCGGTCGTAATTTTAAAAGGTTCTTTGAACGATCGAAATTGTACTCCGAAACGCGGTGTAACATGGGATTAGCTCGTTGACATATGCGGATGTTCTCGTCCTCGCGATTTGTTTTCCACGAGAATTTTCCCTATTTCGATAGTTAAAAATGCGAATAGCATTCGTCTCGATGTCGAAGATTTTCGTGACGAGACTGTATTGTACGTTGAAATATATATCTCGTGTGTCGTTGCTTCGGTGTTTTTTTTTTTCTTTAAATGAAGGGTAAGTGTCAAACTTATAAGGAAATAGTAATAGAAAACGGAAAAATGTGATTCTATGATAATTTTGCGGGATAATATCGGGTGAGGTGTATCTCCGTGGCGATTTAAAAATATTCTTCGCCCGAAGGCTTAAGATTATTCGGCCAGTAATGAAAGTGAAAGTGCGCTGGTATCGAGGAGATATTTTCATACTAATAATAGTAGCGGCACCGATAGCAGTGGAAAATATTCGATAAAATAATAATAATCGAACGTTGTATAATACAAACTTTATTATTATTCGTTGACATTTAAATTGAAATTTCTGAATATTGTTTAACCAGTCTGTTATTTATCGAGAACGTAACTGTGTCATTTCGTTCGGTTACCAAATGGTCCATAATTTCAGAGTCACGATATAATAACGTGGATATTACTACTACATTTATCGTTAACGAAGGATCACGTATTTAACATTGCAAACACGATATCCGTTAATAAAATTAAAAAACAATTCGTTCCCTTTGTCTGAAACGAAAGATCAGGTTTCATATCCCAAACGGTATATTCGTAAATAATGTTTGTAATTCTTTAATGTAAAAATATTCCCGAGTGTATGCATAAGAAAAATCACGCATTAAAATCGATCAGTAATTTATATACAATTGAATATGTTAATCTTTTAGTTCTTTTTTTAATTTCAATAATATTATACATGGAAATCGCAAGGAAATTTTATATGTACACGAGTAGACACGATTTATTCTTTTTACTGTTGCCCAAGTAAATATTCAATGTAAATCACTTAATGTGAAATGTTTATTTATTTCATGAATTCGTGATACAAGGAGATATAGCTGAAAAGCTCATTTATGTAAAACTGCACATGATTTTTACTTATCGATGATTCGGTCACTTGCACGAATTCTGTGTTATAGGTCTCGCGTAGGGTAGGGAGATTTCAACGTCGGCGACCTGCACAAGCGATGTCGCGGGAGTACACGCGTACTCGCGTTACGTACGTTCGCGTGTTTCAAAAACACTCGATTAGATTCGGAATTCTCATAGAATATTCGATGATCCTAAGTACGATTAACCCTATCGATGTTTATGTAAAGTATACTCGTCAAGGAAAGATGACATTTTTTTATTCAATGACTTTTTAACAGAAACATGGTACCTAATAAATCATCGGTAAAAAAAAAACACGAAGATCTCTCGTGAAACTGTAAGCCAACTGAAATTCATTCGTGTTGCTTTTTAAACTTTTGCGCGTGTTCAGCAATGAATATTCATCGAATCAGAATAATCCTGTTAGTCTTCTATAACTCTTTAACTCTTAACTTTAAAATATTCTTTAACTCTTTAAGGTCGGAATTATATTTTTTTACCGCGAATTTCATTCCAAATACTTGAAAACTGTGTTCAAGTGTGTTTTTAAAAATTTGTTTTTTATTCAAACAGCGGTGTTTCTGAATGCTGGCATCGTTTTAACCGAAAGAAAAAATTCTAAATAACTCTGAAGATATTAATCTTCCCAACTATGTTTACCAGGACATTTCTTCATCATTTGACAAGCACTGTCTACCCTAGAAGTAACGAACCCTTTTTTTCTGTATCACCTTGTATAAGTAGTAAGCACATTCGTTTACGGGCAGCATTTCGTTAAATAATACAAGTGATACACTACAAAGTTTACCGTCAGTAAATAAAGGGTTTAATGTCGAATCCACCGTTTTTATTTGAACTTTATCCACGGTCAATCTTGAGGATTACCACGAACGGTTCGAGCGTCACTCGACTCGTCCGTCCGGGCTACGTACTCGAAAATATCGTCAGAGTACTCGCGGCGGTCGTTAATATGCATGCGTACTCGGGTCGCGCGCGAGGAGACGCGTGTACGAAGTTACAAAAGGGGAGCTGCATTTGTATTCGATTCGCGTGCTCGCGCAGGCGTTCGTTTCTTTAACTCTTCGAAGCGTAGTGGTAGGTATGAAAAATGTCCCACTTTTTGTTTTCAGTGCCTTAACGTGCATGGTGGGACGTTATTCGTACCACCTTTAAATTATGAAATTACTAAAAATGACAAAATAATTGAAACTACAATGTTTTATCAGGTTTTGTACAGAACAAGTTTCTGTGCAACAAGGCATTTTTGTTGTTGTAAAATCCTGTGTTTCATTGAGTTTAGTGGTGTAGATATTTCGAATATCACATTGAACATGGACCAATCACGAGCTTCCCGTAAAGTTTGCATTTGGTCGATTTCTTTTCCACACTGTTACCTGAGAATCTGTCCTTCGTAAATATTTGCTTAAATAAATGATTGATTCCCACTTTTAGATTTTATTACTTCTAATTCAATTACAAGTATCGATTATACCGATAATATCGATATTTTATACCCGATAAGTATATGTACATGTGTATCGATATACTACATCGACGACGATTCGCTCGTTGCGTGTGTATGTATTCACACGCCGCGAGAATTTATAAATACTTTCGAGACGAATATCCATTCCTCGTGTCCTATATACAGTGGTACCGCGACAAGAATCTTAGGAATTTCGTACATGAAAACCTGGCACACCTAATACGAACGTAAGTTGTATACAATTTCGTTTCTTCGTCGGCCGATTGGAAAGCGCCTTTTTGTGAACCGCCGTCGACGACGGAAGCTCAGAAAGTACCCATAATTTTGGACAAGAAAGTTCTTCTCATATTTTATTCTTTGTATTTTTATTATTTCTTAACGTTGACATTAAAACCCTAATGTACTGGGTACTTTTATACAGCCTTCAATTCTCTATCAGAATGTCACCTGTGTATTATGACTGTGACGTTGAAAAATGATAAAAATAAAAAAATCGAAGAAAGTAGTAATTTTTTTGTCCGCTAATGTATTAGCCGAATCATCTTATACCGGAATCGCGAATAAATTGAAACGGAAATTTTCTAGTGAATTTGCAACAGGTTAGATGTTAACCTGGTTTGGTCTTTTATTTCATTATTCATTTTAATTTGTTTTGAGTATCTTTGAGTAGATTTATCGGTGAAACGTGCAGTGCCTTGTGATAAATAGAAACCGAAGGAATGGTGACCGCTGTTAATAGTTTTCGTTTATAACGGTCAAACCGACTGTAACCAATTGAACCGATTGGTGGAGGTGACGTTTCAAGTGCAACGACCTGATGTTAGGTTGTCAAGTACTATATAGATGGTATCGTTGTTAACGTGACCATCATGAATATCCTTGCTGTATTTAGTGATATAAGAAATTTGGAACATTTATCGGGTCCAATACTATGACTGACAAAATGAATTCGATCGGAATCATGTGCTGTGTAGACCTTAAGGTAAAAGCTCTATCTTCTCGAGTGTTCCATAAATTTGAAATAAGAAAAAAAGAATTCGTTAAATTGAAATACAATAAAATGAATATGATAATTGAAATGAAACCTTTAATAGTGAACAATGAAACTTCAGTTGTATCTGTAATTAAAAGTACATACAATAAATTGCAGTTTGTAGTACGAGCGTAAATTTCTATACGTACAAAGAATAAATTTTAGTCAACTTTTAAAAACATTTTATTGCATTTTATCCGAACGATACTTGAATTTGAATAATTCTAATTTACACTAATTTTTCATCTCACATGTGGCAAAATTACCTAAAACAATTCTTACCGTTTTGAACCATGTACATGGTTGGTTACAGAAGTATTTGTTACTTATTAATTAATGTTCGCCCCAAGTCATTTCTATACTAATTTCGAACACGAATTAAATGAAGTCAAATAAGAATGTCAATTAGTATAAAAAGCTAGTATAGGAAGTAATGTAATGCCCTAGGGCAAACATTACCGATAAATAATAATAAAAAGTCATAATACTAATCTCCTTTACCAATTTACATTCTTGGTCACAAAAGTATTCGGCCACCTTAGACGTTAAGCGAATTTTACTTGGAATTGTAGGCTTACGAATAAAAAAAAATTATGACAGAACCTACATATATATACATATATAGGTTTATTTTACAATGAAATATTCATTAAAAATGGGTTCGATGTATGTAGTTTGTTATTTGGAAACTTACAAAATTCCACCGAAAATACTAATACTTTTATGACCAAGAATGTAAATTGGTATAGGAGATTAGTATTATGACTTTCAATTATTATTAAATTTTATTACGAATTGTGATCCTCTTGGGCCATTGCGATTTTGCAATAATTCTAGACTGTATATCGTCTGGCTATAAACGGCAAGATTCACTTGGTCAGTGTCTGATACGCGTTTCTACTATTATACAAGGATTTCTAATCCTGCTAATGAATGAATGATGGATAGCTTCGATTCTATCGCGTGAAACCGCAAGATTGATAATAAATTACTCGGGTTCATTTTTCCATCAATTTTTGTTTTTCGAATAACGCTGCAAATAACGAGCCTTCTCTCCGCAATTGCAAGAGAGAAATCTGGTCGATTCGAAACGAGTAGATAATCACGCTGAATCTCTCGTATCATTTCGATCGTCTGGCGATCAGGTTCAAGGCTCTCTTATCATAGATCATTAAATTCCTACATGCATCGGCTGCGTGTGTGATTATGTAAAAGTAAATATATACAACGTTTCACGCGGAAAGTTCAGGGTGACTTGAAGTAAAAGAAAAAAAGAAAAGGAATTACAGTTGTATTCGAAATGACAATCGATTTTTATTTATTTAAACTAACGGTTAAAAAGGGCCCTTAAATCAAAGATTGATATAATCATTTAACCCTTTCAGACCTGAAATTTCTTTTAAGAAAAAACAAAATATTTGATTACGCATTTTAACTCAGTAAATTGTTTAGATGATACTTTGTTTATAAATAATTTTTTAATTTTTTAAAACAGGTTTATTATTCAATTCTGAATTCTCTAGGTCTTCTAAGAGCATTCAGAACATGAAAAAATTCAAATTTATAAGAAAAATATGGATCTGCAACGTATTTGCTTGCCATACATCGAAGTAGAGAAGACGAAACCACTAACTGACAGGAAAATCTTCATGGGTTTCTTTCCGTGAAATTACCACAAGAAAAATACAGTAGTAATTGAACATATTTAGTACGTTAATCGTTGAAATTTCTAATGATATTAGACTTTTCAGTATTTCGACTTTCGTTCAGGGGAAATCGAAAATAATTTGCACACAGGCCACCGTGACGCTGTGTCGTAAAAACCAGTTTATTGCGGCATCACGCGGCGGCCAATTAGAACGGGAACTTTTAATGTCGCCAAAGGTTCAATATACGATTAGAACGCGTTCAATTATCGCGCGAAATCGATTGTACTGTGAAGTTCGAAGGATGTTCGAGTCAAAAGGAAGAATTCTCGTCGTGGTAAGCCGTGCCTCGTCGAGTCGGACGGAAAAGGGATTCGATTCCGCGTAGAATTTCCCTGAAACTCCTGGCTTTCACTTCTCTCCGAAGAATGCGAAGGCTGAGCGCCGTCAGAGCCGTACCAACCGCCCCCTTCACCAGCCGCAATACGTTTAGAAAATTTTTCAAGAGCCCGAGAGAGCTGACTCTCCCGTTCACGCCCCCCCACCATCCTTAAGGTGGTGCCCCGTGCAGCCGAGAGAAGGCTCGCCGCTTCTCCAAATGGCGAATTATTGGGTTGTCGCGCATGAAAACGTAGATTTTTTCTTCAATATTATGTCATCCGGAAAGTTTGTTCCGTTTGGGAACGTAGAATTGTAATCGACAATTGTCAAATTCTATTTTGCTTTAGGAGCAAATTGTCATCGAGCTTGGAATCATCGATATTTTTTCGATATTATGTCATCTGGAATAGGGCTGTTACGAATATTCGTGTAGCAGTAGAATTCGATGCTTGAAGTATTCGATATATTCGGATTATTCGAATATTCGGAGTATTCGAGGTGATCGAATTTTAAATTGTACTGTATAGGAGTGTAAACATAATACATTTTTTCACACTTTATTGTGAAATTCTTTTCACATTGGCCTTTACAATTATTTGTTCTTCAAATTCCTGTTCGAAACAATCCGAAATACGATCACTTCTATTATTCGAATACGAATATTTTATTTGAAGAATTCGAATAATTCAAATAGTACTGAGTATATAATATCCGAATACTTACAGCTCTAATTTAGAAGGTTTGTTCCGTCTCGGAACGTAGAATTGAGTCACACAATTATCAATTTCCATTTTGGAACTACGGTTTGATAAAACGATACACGTGGTACGGGTTAAAATTGACCGTAGTTCCGTCATCGAACGGTCAAGTTGCATATCCCTCATACTGGAGGTAACAGTTGATTACTCATTCATCACACCAGAACAATTGCAACAGCCGATTTTGTTTCCCTGAATCGTGATGAATCAGAATGATTTAAAAGAAAACGAAAGTTCTCCTCGTCATACTGTGTGAAATCCCGTCTATACACGTAATTCTTTGTAGAATCGTTACAGTGGATAGCGTAATATAACGGACGATGGAAGAACTATTAGAATAAGAAGCCCCCCCGAATTAGATAGAGAATTTCACTCTCTCGCTTAATGTTTCATTTATAATTGAACCACGATGAAGTAAACAGTATTACAATGAAATTTCCTGAATTCGTTAAAATTAAATTGTAAATCAAAATAGTATTCCCGCCGTTTGTAAAATGAACCGTTCAGAAGCTAAAGTGACTGACTCCAGTTTTTGATTTTTTTTTTAATTTTATGTGCCGAAGCACTTGATTGGTGCTTGACACTTTGGCTGCCATACGTCGCCCAAATATGGGTGACAAGTACATTGCAAAGAGGCTGGCCTATTTAAATACCGTTACAAAATTTTAGCGTAAAACTAATATGACAGTATAATTTAAAACAAAACCAATGGCCTGTTATATACGAATATATTTTCGACGATTCATGACTGAAGAAAACGAAATAAAGTGTGTCTGGATACGTACGATCGTTTTCACTGACAGTCGACGTGTTAACTTTGTATATTTAAAATAAATTTCTTTGTCAATTCTCGTGGACTTGATCCCTTTGGCAAATGAACGCCTTAAATATTCTTAAGAATGATTTTTTTTTATCCCGTTATCGTAGATCTGTCTACAATTTGGTCTCGCCACGTTATATCATAATGTTGCGTGCGGTGAAAGTGTCTGGGGCAGTTTCGAGTTCAAAGATAAAAGTTAAATTATTATTATTACCCGATAGATAGATCGTTACGCAACGCCGTTCGGTGACTTTCGATCGAAAATACATAAATCTCGGCCGCGAACGAACCCATTGATCGTCGATTACTACCGCGACTGATACTGACGATCGTAATTAACGGCCGTTGAACCACCGCGACCACCGCGGAAATCTATTTCCACAAGCATTAACATTCGAAATATATTGATATATAAAAAAAAATAGTAATTACATATCTAACCAGTGGCGGGAAAATTGTTTGAATATGAAACAAGATTAATCATTTGCTTATTTCAGTAACTTAATTTACTTGTTTTTATATGCAATGTTCATTTACTGATGCATCCACCCTATGTTCGTATAGTCTTCCTAATTAAACGAAAGGTTACGATTTGTTCAGGTTGAACTCCGTCTCTCGGTGGAAAAATGGTGTCGAGACGGAAGATTCTGTCTCGATCGAGGGACAATCTCGTCGAGTCACAATACGAGGACCAGGACGAAGAGGACGTGTGGTATAATCTCGATAAACTTTACAAGGTATTCGAGTTAGACATTACCAATGCATTTCTAGTGGAAATCGAAAGATCTAAATACAATAGTAAACAGCCTCACCATCCTAGGTAGCCTGTATAAGCTTCTTTATGTTATTAATTTACCTTTCAATCAAGAATAAAGAAGAAATCATTACTAGATTGCGGAAGTTTATAGAAATTTACAATTTCAAATACTAATACTTGAAAATTGAAACGAAGTAGGATTTTAAATTTTATTTTTAAAGAATTTTGCAAATTTAGCTCTTTTTGTTATATAAGTTATGTTTATCTCTTTGTTATATTAATTTTTTACCTATGTGTAAATTTTACATCGAGGGACAAATTCGATTGTTGAGCGTTAATTATTGTGAATGGTACCTTTAATGGTAACTCTACCGTTTTTTTTCCCTAAAATTGGTCAATCTATTGTCTGTCAATCTACTGTTTATCTAGTAATAATATCAAAGAGTTTCGTAACTTTTATTTTCAGCGTGTAACCATTTTAGTAGCGGGGGCCTGTCACACTGTCACTTTCGTTTTCAGGATCACATTCAAGAAGTGCTGGACAAATGGAATCAGATCGACGACGAAATTTGGGCCAAGGTGATCGTTTTCGAAAGGAATCGAAGGGTGGCGAAGGCGTACGCCAGGGCACCGGTTCTCACGATTAACGGATCGAACGACGGTTTCGATGGTTTCAGGTACATAAATTCGAAATGATTCATACCACCAAAAATGTGTACGGCTGATAAAAAGGTCGGGAATGGAACAACACGGATTTTCACTCTCTCTTTTTGGGATTCTTCGATACGAATGGAAGAATTCTTCAGTGAATCCACTTTGTCACTTATGAAAAATGCGTACAATACAATTTAGAAGTGTACGTTAATAATTTTAAAAAATTTGATACACTAGGTATCCCATTTAAGCGTGATCCTGTGAATACCTTTTTTACTTGTGAAAAAGCAAAAAATAGTTTCTACGTAATTTGAATGGTATTAAATGTTCAGTATCCTGCAAGTGTTGTTTTTCAATTATTTCTCTCTCGCAGTTTTTAAGGTCATCGATGTTTTTTTTCTACATAACTACATATTTTCTCCTATTACATGGCGTAGCTCATAAAAAACTACATTTAGATATGTACTATGATATGACCATGGAAAAATATATGTAACATATATAACAATAATTATATTGTTATATATATTGTTGTATTTTTAATTTTGCGCCATCTTCGAAAAAGTTGCAAAGTATTTAATACGCTATTTAGTAAGAGAAAATAAGTTCTCTTAACCGTTGTCGCATTTCTGTATAAATAATACAAATAGAAATTATTCTCTACTTTTTAGTGCATTTCTAAATCGGTCCATATTTTTTGAAAAAAACTTTTTTATTCACAATGTATGTGTATTAATAAGAGTCTGCGATTAATCAAAGAATTATAATCATAAGAATATTATATCTTGTGATTTATCGAAGAAAATTAACGGTGAGACACATACGTTCGTTTCTGTTATCCAGGATAGGACTGTGCGGCTTCGAGAACCCGATGAGGGACGTGAAAACGGAGGAGGCGAAGAAGCACATAAACCAGGGCGTGAAGATCAAGATGGACGAGCAGGGGAACATCCTGATAAAACGTCTCTGTAAAAATAATGTTTACATAAAGCCGACCAGTCAGGAGGACAACGCAATTGGAGCAGAAATCGCGCGGAATTCACAAGGAGCGTTGGAACACGAGAAGCCAGGGAAAGTAAGCGCTACTGCCGCCACTTAGCCCCGTTTCCACTAACGCGTCATACTATATTTTTTTTTCCTTTTTCGTTTCTGTGTCTCTATCATGATCCTCGAAATCATCCGCAATTTCCGATAACGAAAAATCACCTCGGGGTCAGAATTTCTTCGTTCGAATAGAAAGTCGTGAGAACTATTAAGATTGTGTACACAATTTATCATTACCCTATGAACATTCTCCTTTATTATTGTGAACGTTTTATATTAATCAAAACATCATTTATCGTATACATCTTATTGTTGATATCGCGTATTATTTTTCATTGTTAGGTGTTCGATATGAACAAATTTCAAACGAATCTCTCACGCGAAACAAGAAGAGCTTACCCGGACAGAAGAAGACTGGAGATGCAGTGTCTGAGCGCGATCGTGTTCGTTCGATCCGAGGCGGATCTACTTCAGTCTCCCGTTTGGGTTCTGATTGTAAATGTTGTTGGTTTAGACATGTTGAAGTCCAAATTACCACCAGGTATGACGCCCGAACGATACAATTGAGTTTTTCGTAATCCTTCTGATAAACATTACTTAAAGTTCATAGTTGAGATAAATGGTAACTCCATAAGAATATGGTTCAATAAACAAAGTTCACATTAGAGATGAATATATAAAACTGTTCGGTATAGGCAAGGACTAAATTATAGCCAAAGTTGATAAACATACTCGGAATATTAGTTCCCGTATAAACAGGAAAATAATTCCTATTCGCAAAGCTTGTTAAGTTTTTGAAACGAATTTAAAATATAGTCAACCATGAAAACTATGTTTTCAATAATGCCCGGAAAATAAATTAATTATTACCATGACAATCAATAATTGTATATAAAATCGAAAACGGTACTTATCAAAGGAATAAATTAATAATAGTGTCAAAGAATGAATACCCATCCTAAATAGCACATGACGCCTTGAAGACGCCAATTGTACGGCTATTTTAGGTCTAAGACGCCTTTAAGCCGTCTTCAAAGTGTCATTAGACGTCATGTGCTATCTGGGATAAGATTCTGAAAAGAGCAAAGTGAAAATGAACATGTATGTGCGTTTCTTATAAATAATTTTTTAATTGTAGTTTTTAAGGAACATTTACGTAGAACGTTTTGTTAACAATTATACAAATTAGTTTTAGCACTACAAAGGCCGGTGGATATAAAGAACAGACCGAGGATACCGATTCCCGACGAAGATCCCTACAGCGTGGCGGGCGTTTCGTCCTCCATTGGAGTCTCGGAGGCCTTCCAGCAGGATCGCGAGACTAGAGACCAAATTTACGCTCAGTCGACCAGCTGTAGACAAAGAAGAGCCGAGAGACCACCGAAACTACCGCCCAGGGAGAATCTCTATAGCCACGATATACCCAAAGTGCTTATTTCACTTTTTTCCAAATAATTATAGTTGTTCATAAAATCATTTGAATCATTTGATGATTCAATTGAAATTCATAATTTTCTTCAGTTTCATATTGTAAATCGTAGTATTTAACAGTGAAATACTTGTCCAATGGATATTAATAAAAAAAAATCTTTTGTTAGAGTTTGTTGATAATCTGAATGAAGAAAATTTCATATCTCTATTTTCATAATTTCAGCCCGATTACGATGACATAGAGGATGACTATGCCAGGAAACCTGTCATAGCGAGTGAAGAAAAGAGACGACACGATGATAAGAAAAAATACGGTATAAAGAAATTTCTTATTATTTTGTTGAACAGAGAATTGACGATGTATCGTAGCGAAGTGTAATTCATATATTTTATTTAATTTTCCAGATGATCCGTATTATTGCGGATTACGAGCTCGTGTTCCGAATTTTGTCAAGATGGCGAAGAACAGCAAGGTCTCGACGAGAGGATACTCTAGACCCCCACAGGGACCCACATACGCTGCCGCAGGGTATGCAAGCAGCCAGTCCTCTCAAATCTATGGCCATTTACCCGGGAATCGACCTCCAATTATGTATCATGCGAGAAGCTTTGAAAGTGGACTCGGTACTACGATTCACGTCTGATAGAATATAGAAATAAGACCAAGACCGTTATCAAGCCAAGTTTCGAGTTTTTTTTACAGATTTTTACTCAGAAGCATTCGCTTAAAGAAACATAACTGAATTCGATAACTCAATTTCATTGTATTCTGTTTTGCACACTTGAATTGCGATAGAAATGCACACAGACAGTTCAATGACAGACCATTCATACACAATTTATTTTCTGAATTACAGACTCTGATGGCAGAAACGAGTCACCGTATAATCATGTATATGGAAGGTTTCCGATACCGACTAGAGGTGTAATACCTCCGTCACCTAGAGCAATGTACATCGGAGAATGGGATTAAAACTAATGAACGTTAAGCAGATGGAAAGATTGCGTATAAACGAATGAACAACAGATGATCCAGGGGCAATGCGGGAGGTCATCACCAGAAGATCATTGTAACAAGAACAAATAGAAGAAACTCATACACCGGAAGAAGAAGAAGATGGGACAGAGAATGCTGGATGGATTAGAAATCGGAATGAGAATAATATGCAAGATGGTTAATAGTTAAGAGCAGAAAGAACTAAAACCAGGAGAGATGAAGAAAATAGATGAAGGGAGAACTAATCTTCCGTTTGTACCTATAAACTGTATATTGTTAATGTACTACATAAAATACTCCAATTTTTATTGCAATAAAATTGTAGAACAATGTGTACTGTCATTTATGAATCTTTCAACAGGAAAATAGGAAACGTTGCTAACTAGAAACCCTGATAACCAGTTGTGTACAAGTTTTGAGCAAATTACCACTTCCGGTACACTCCGACCAAGAAATTAGTGAATATCACACTTTTAATTATTCACCGCGACAATTATACTACACTACACTCTTGTATTCAACGACTGATTATGTAATATATGAATTAGCATTCACTTACAAAATCACGTCAAATTATTCTTGGAACCCATTGACTTGTATGGTAATGCTTGACCGTCTCTTCACACGATACAACTTCACCGCTCGAGTTTTATCTAATTGTAATTAACAAGCTATGAGGCCTACCTAACATTTCAGCAAACGAGATTTTTCGAACCTAGTAGCTCCTTGATTTTTGGTATCAGGTTTGTCAACTTTCTAACAGTTCCCTGATTTGCTCGTGAGAACAGAAAGAGACACAACGCGATACTTCGCAATCTGGCAACATCGCACGAAATACACAGCGCCCTCTGGGTTCCCGACACACCTCGAGACGTTTTCTTTGGAAAAACAGACTTTAACAAGATTGTGTTAATTTGATAATTTTCTTTATTTCCTTAACTTCCTATGAACTTCACTCTTATTCATTTGATAACCCATCTGCTAGTGCCTTCAATTTCTCTTCAGGAATTTTCGATTTTAACAAATTTATCGCATGATCTACAACTTCCTTCTCATTTGTTTCCAAAATTTCTATAACTTCTTCTGTTGTAGAAACCTTTGCTATTTCTACCCAATACCCTTCAAGATACTTCAACAATTCTTTCATCGTTTCTTCCGAGTCCTCTTCTTCCACTTTCATTGCTGGAAATATTTACAAAATTCATACATGTTATATTAATAAAACAGTAATTTTCAGCATTCTTACAGAATTTTTTACGTATTTCTTTCTAAATTGTTTACCTGTGCTAATGCTTAGAATAATTTTCAGAATTGTGCAATTTATATCTACTGTAGAGTCCGCCCTCAAAAATCCTTTCCACCGAAAATCGAGAATCATTTCTGCACACCTATGGACGCAAGAAGCCTTCGTCTCGTCTAGAGGATAAAGATTCCACGGATCGATGAAATTCGCTAAGATTCTCCGTGGAATTTCCACAGTTCGAACAAGATTGTCGTCTTGCGAGATTTCTTGATGAATTTGGTGTCCCTTTCGAAGATTGTAAAACAATTCTAACCAATCCTCAAGGTACTTTAAAGTGGGGGCTAAGTAGGAGGCTTCATCTTGAGGAATAACTTCTTCGAATGATTCTAACATGCCTGTAAATTGTTTATTCATCGAACAGATATTAACAATTGTTTTGTTGGGGATTTCAGGTGTAAATCCTGTACTTTTAGAAAAATCATCACTGGTATTATATGCAGAGCTGAAAAGAAGTCCAGTGGAAGGAACGCAGGTCTGGTTGGTTAAATCCCCATGGGCCCACTTTCTCTAACACAATCGTAGAGACAAAGCACACGTATTTTCATCATGGGCCGAAACGATCGGACACACAGTCGAATTATATAGCATCGTATGATGAAAAAAGCGAACAGGACACATTGGGACAGAGTGGGATAGAGCGATAACGCGAGCGATCCGACGAACTTCAAAGTAATGTCGCAGCTTCTCAGAGTGCTATCATTGACCTGCGGTAGCGAGTATTCCTCTTGCCCCTGTGCCGTCCCGCTAGACTTCTTTCCAGCTCTGTACCCTGATAAAGTTAGCAAAAGCACAATGTTACACCTAAACCCCCCAGCAATAGGCATTGTTTTCAGTTTCATGAATAACAATCAGAGAACACAATACAACTTTATACCTGGAAGAAAACTGGATGATTGAAAAAGTTCATCCAACAACGTTTTCCCATTTGGAAGATCGATCTCTGCCGAAGAACGCAGAAAACTTGTCGTTGCAATTAGAAGCTCCTCTATAATAATTCATTTCATGATCGGTAACAAACTTCCAAATTATCAAATGACCGAAATTACTTATAAGCATTAAAAAAAAAGTTTGCATTACCTAAAATATAATTAATAATTTACCGTTCGTAGAACTTTTCAATATAAAAGGAACTACTTCTCTCAAGTACGTGGAATTTCGCAAATTGACTCGCCACTTTGAATCTGGATTATTTTGAATATTCCAAAGCGCAGAACGTAAAAGCCGAAGAATTTGCACCAGCGTAGGAGTGTCTTCAGAAAAAAGGTGACGAAGAATTGTTTCCAAAAGTGCGTCTTTAGTTCCTAATATTTCAAGCGCTGATTGTTCACAAGTCATGTTGCCAATTATTCCCAAAACTATTTCCTATAAATTATATAAAAACATTATATTAATCACAAAAAAATTGAATAAACTTAAACATTTTATTTTGAGGATTAAAATACTTAGGAGGTATAAGTAAAAATAAAAATGGATACTATTCTTAAAGAAACAAAAATGTTATAGTTCTTATATTATATATTAAGTTATAGTGCAAACCATTGTACATATACATAAGAAAAACAATTTCTTTAGAAAGATGTATTGCATAATGATAAATAAATCTGAAGGAAGCAATAGATCAGAATATCATGGAATTAAGAAATTAAGGATAAGTGTTTGAAATTTCAAGATCAAGGAACTCTGCAATTTTAAAGAAATCATTGTCTACAAGGAACTGAACAATCTCTTTCTCTGTGGTTATATCCCATAAAGTACAGAGGTCAGTTTCCAATTTTTCATTCCAGCCATTCTCAGGAACCTACAGAATATACGACAATTTTAATTATGTGAAATCCAATGACATAAAACATTGCTGATAATGTCAACATATAATTTCGTGAAACTAGAAACGAACTAGAACATAGAAAACTGCATTGACACGAATTTAAAAGTGACATGATCCAAGTGAAAAGAACTTTCATAGTTACCTTTGCCACCGAAAGTAAAGTATTGATTATCCATTTGCCACTGTAAAGAGTATTTCCCACAGTGTCTCCTTTCAATTTCTCAATTTCACTTTCTCCGACATCCTGAGCTTCTAAGACGACGTTTGGTTCAACCTTCTCATTCTCGGTCTCCTCGACTTCGCTCATGTTTTCTGTTCGTGGAAACGCTACTTTCTCTATTACTGACTATTATTAAAATTGTGATATACTCGGTAACTTAATATTGGTATAACGAACACGATGGCTGAAGGTATAAAAACAAAATCCTTTAACGGTTTATACACGAATTTTTAGTTCGAACTTGCCACAGCTGATTAAGGTAAATGAAGGTAACCTAACCTTTCGCAAAATGCAGCGTTACTTCGATTATTCTGTTTTTTACATCATAATATTTACATATTTGCGAATTGAGCGGTATATATGAAAATCAGATAATTAAGAATATTTTATGTGCTGCAAATTTTATTTTGCAATTTCAAAATTGTATCGATAATGCGACATTAAATTCGATACCCATCGAGAAAATTGATATTTCGATTTTGATGATTGATTTAAATTTGAAATCCAACTGGTTTAGAATGAAAAATTTAGAAAAACTAAACTTAATTATTTAATACAAGGGTCTGTAAAGAGAGTTTATAAAGAAAGAATAATGGAATTTATTACAGACAACAATCGTATGCCACCAGATAGACAGAGAGAGAGAGAGAGAGAGGCAGGCGGTCGTACGGAAGATTGCAATATACAGAAGACGGAATTATTTGGAAGTTAAATTAACATTATTTTGTAAATCTAAATGATATTTAAGCCTATTGCAATTGAATTTATACAGATACTATTGTCAATTGTATATTGTCTTGTAATTATTTAAATAAAAAGCAATAAAGTAATTCAAGTTGTATGAAGTGTGCAATAGTTAATGTGTTAGTATATTGTATTTTGCTAAGAGAATGTTATATACCAGAAGATTAATAAAGAAATTGAATATTTTAAAGGGGTCACAAGCGTTTGAATCGAATTGATCTAAGTAGACTGTAGTGACTTCTAGTGACCAGACTCCACATTAGGCGCGTCTTTTATTAAAATTTAAATATTGATTAAAAAATTCGTAACTGACAAGAAATTAAATAAAACTTTGTAACTGACGAGTAATTTAGTAAACAACCTAATAGCAGTAGCGTAGAAAATATTTTACTGTGATTTGCACGAGTTTTTTTGGTGTTTTTCGTATGTAAATACATGCGATGGTTTGTAGCCGTTGCTATGCAACAGATTAATACAACATAAAATTCATGAAATTCACACGAAACATGCATTGAAGCTCGCAGCACGTTCCAATTGTAATTAAGGATGGCAGACGACGTGAAGCCAGAAGTAATTAAGAAGACGCAAGATCTGCTTGGAAAATATTTTAAGAAACCACCGCTTACTGAGAAACTTCTGAAGAAACCACCGTTTAGATTTCTTCACGACATTGTGTCGGTGGTAACGTATCATTCGTACATTCCATTTTGCAAAAAAAATTCAAATATTTAATATTTGTGTACTGAGAAAGAAATGTACGTGCTAGGTGATAAGGGAAACTGGTTTCTTGGATGGTTTGTACACTGAACATGAACTGAACTCTGAGAATATAAACAACAAAGAAGCAAAACTTGCCTACTTAACAAAATTGATTGATGTTGTCAGTAAGTTAATAACATTCTTTCTGTTAAGACACAAAACGCTTAATGTTCTTGCACCGATTCTTGATATTATACTTCACGATAATTTCAGAACTAACTACTGGTGCTAACTTGACTGTGAGAGCCAGTAAAATAATTTCTGGCCAGGAACCCACTAAGACGAATGAGTTACTACAGACAATTGGGAAAGCCTTAGACAAAAAGGTAACATGCAAATATAGTACGTTTTACAATGCAATTCCTTTAAGGATATAAAACTATGAATAAATACTTTCTAAATCAGATAAATAGTGCTGAAGCTATAGAGCATTATAAAAGGAACTTGGAGATAGGTAAATCAACTGTGAAAGGTAAGTCGTCTGCCAGGAAAGAAGAAAAGAAAACATCATCTAAAGAGATTTCTCAAAAGAGAGTTACACCGGGCAAGGATAGGTCTTCTGACCGAAGAAAAAAAATTTCCACTGAGAATCATGCATCAAAAAATGATCTGGAAACACATAAAAGTGAAAATCAGGAATCTCAAACAAAAGTCGAAGGTGCACAAGCTTCTGTAACTGAGGTAAGTAATCACATAATATTTAGCTTTGTAAACGTAACAAAAAATATTTGCAGTTTATCCTTTGTAGTCATCACGGGATAAAGTTTCTTCGTCGGCGCATAGAAGAAAAACTTCGTCTGCTAAACCAAAACCCAGTATATCTAATGTGCCTCCATCCGAGACAACTCCTTCACAAGAAAATGCGAATATAGATAAAAAAGTGGACGAGAACAGAAAACAAAAGGAAATTGAAACTAAATCGAAACAAACTACGTATAATGAAAATAATGAATCTCTGAAGCGTGAACAAAATGTATCGGATACAATACACTTAGGGTCTAAGTCTATAAACAACGTAGATAATAAAGTTAATGAAAGCACAGAAAACATGAAGGCGGAACGTAACGAAAATGAAGTGATAAATCATGAAATTTTCAGTCAGAACGAGGAAAAGTCGGACAGTGTAACATTAAAAACTCAAAAGTCTCAGTTGGAGAATAGTGATATTAGGTACCTTCTAAATATATTCTATATCGAGTATCCAGTAAATTGTAGTACAATCGAGAAACAGATGTCATCTATTCGGTTGTACCACGATTCACTAGACATCCTGCCTTCCCTACAAAACTTGGTAGTAATTCGATGTTTGGTACTTCCAGTCTTTCACAATCAAATAATAGACCAAAAACTTCTTTACGTCCTCCTAGTGCGAGACCAATTAGTGCCAGGCCTGCAGCACCTAGATTACGGGGAAAGCCAGAATTAATTGTTAATGAAGAAATACTGTGAGCAATATCTTGAATGTGCTCTTTTGCAAAAATGTTATGAAAAGTTTTGGTTGATAATTACAACTGCTTTTTCTAGAACACCCATGGGTAATATCAGTGTTATCGTCGAAAATTCTGAAACTAAAGAAGACGATGATGCTGAGGACATGGTAGTTATGGAAACTAGAGGTGGCGGTGATTCTCTGGAAAATAACGGTACATTCAAAGTTGACGATCAATTAACTCAAGAACATGGACATCTTGTTGCTCAAATATTAGAAACACAGAAAGAACTCGTTAATCATGAGAACGTAGATGTGATACCTAAAAAGACAAATATTGTAAGCGCGCACAGATTTTTTTCTTCTTTTTCGCGGAATTAGTGTACTTCAATATGAACTTATTATTAGGCATGGGACACAAGTACAAAGCGAGATGTAGTTATTAAGGAAGTCGATAAACTCCGTAACACAATTCAAACTTTGACTCGTGCAACTAATCCACTTGGAAAGTTGTTTGATTATTTTCAGGTACAGTTGATAGTATTAAAAAACAACAATATCGTTTTTATGACGTATTTAATAATATTATATTTGTAGGAAGATGTAGAGATAATGCAGAAAGAATTACTGGAATGGCGACATCAACATCAACAATTGAACGAACAATTAAAGATAGAAAAATTGTGAGAATGTTAGGAATATTTTATCTTTAAAACAACGTGACACATATACGATAAGTTTATTTTCTTTCAGAAAGACGCAAGAATTGATAGAACCTATGAAAGAAACATTAAAAGAAATCGATCAAAACATGAAAGTACAATTGGATAAAATATGTCAAGCAAAGGCACAAATAATGAAAAACGATCAAAGGATACAAACGTTATTAAATGGCCGGGTTTGAATATCATTCTTGGTATACGTCTATTATTAAAATATTTTTTAATACTTTTTAACGTGTGTCCTGTTAAACATTCCACTTTTTTCAACTTGTATAGGTAATGTATATATGTAAAATAATGGAACATGTAATATACATTGTAATATACTCTATTAAATATATGTGCAATGTCTTACTTTATTTCTTCGTACATAAGCAGGAACATCCATAGAAAATATGTAACTTAAAAAATTTTATTGTACAACTTAACTAGAGAACGTTAATTTCTTTTTAGATTTCAAACTTATGTTGTAAAGCTGTGATTTCCTCTAATGGTATACCCTCCACCGTTCTACAATGCTCGAAAAGTGCCTTCAAACCTAGAACACATAATAGATATTCAAACAGAAGAATAGAAAAACCTTTTACATTTAACATAATAACACTTACATTCTTTTTCTTTGTTGCTTATGAACATAATAAGAGCTCTAAATCGCTTGACTTCACTAAGATCTTTCAAGTAACGAAATACAAACTCTCTTCTCTTTACAAATTCAATCCTTAAAACTTCTAATATGTCACTAAAGATATCAGATTCCATAGAGTCTTTAAATATTTTGGGTAAACTATTCTCAGGCAATTGCTGGAATTTCAAAATACATACCGAATTATATACCTATAATGCTAAGAAGTTATAACTTTAACTGCATTATTCTTACCTTTAAGTATTTATACCTAAATTCTGATGATGTATTGGTTTTCCAGTTCATTACGAACTGTACAGCTGTTTTAGGAACTAGTTGTACTATATTATTATCATCTTCTGAAGATGAAGAAGCCTTAACTGAACTATTCTTCTTGATATTATCATCTTTTCTAGTTTCTTCTAATTGTACAGGTTTATTTTTATCACACGTTGATTCTTTATTTTTAACGTTCCATTGATTATTACCAAAATCTGCTTCTTCAACTGGTATTCTTTTTAACGATTTCTAAAAATGATGACTATTTTAAACATCCGTATTAGTTAACTTTTAATGATATATACTCTTACCTTTGAACGTAGATGTGGTGGCTTTGCAACAGGTTCTATTATTACAACGTCATTTTTTTCTGGTAACCAATCAGGAATGCGTAAATATCTTTCTTCTTTCTGTTTCAACGCAGCACCTCCCACGTCAAGTGTTTTTCCATTCTTAACATGTTTTAGATTTTCATTGGTTTTAGTATCTTTTACATTGCATTTAGTTTGCTCGAGAACCTTGTTATTTTTATTTTCAGTATCTTTAACATCTGTTGTTTTAATGCTTGGTACAATACTGGAACATAGCTTTTTTCCAATCTTCGTTTCAATTGTTAATTTCTCAGATGATTTCTCTGTACTTTCCCTCAATGTGCTAATTGACTGCACAAATTAACATTACAGCATTGTGTTTTTTACAATTCTAATTAATACTAAAAACTTCGATTTTTAATTAATACTTACATCCAATGTTTTAATCTTGTTTTCAATTTGAACTAGCAATGATTTTGCATCTTTATTAGATGGTTCCAATTTCAAGATCTTTTCTATGTCTTGTTTGGCTTCTTTGTATTGTTTTAAATTCATTCTAGCTGTAGCTCTCCTGTGATAAGCTTTCACGTAAGTTTCGTCCAATTGTATTGCTGCAGAACAATCTGATTCAGCAGCATACAAACTGAAAAAAATGCCTATTATACCTTACATGTACGGTATATAAAAGAATTAAACGAAGTTAGCTTTTACTATGTAAATATTAGACTTCAGTATAATGTTGACTACATATTATTGAAAAAAAATGTCTACTTGTCTAATTTTAATTGGCAGAGTGCACGATTTGCATAAAACACAGCATCATATGGAAAAAGTTTGATGGCTTCAGTGTAACATCCAACTGCTTTAGCCCATTTCTGTTGCTGTACCAAAGTATTGCCTTCATTTTTGTGTTTTGTCGCTTCATCATGAGCTTTCTCTAATTCTTCTTTAGACATTGTTTCACCTTCAGACTCTTCAAACTGATCTTTTTCCATATCTTTGCATGCTTTGTCCTTGTAAACAATAATGTATAAATAAGGATAATCTCTGAAATATTCTGCAATATTTATACAATGTAACATTTAATAACTTACCACATCAAATTTATCCCAAGCAGAATAATCATAAGACTTAATTCTTTTCGATTTGCTATTATTTCCATTTTTTTTTATAGGAGTATTTTTTGTCTTATTTACTTTTCTACTTCTGATTGGTGGTAAAGTGGTCTGCAACATGATAATTCCTAATAAAATAAAGCATTTTCATGCAACAAGCAATGACTTCATTATATACCTGACCACTTGTTTCCCTTTTTAGCTCCTCATCTTTCTGTTTCATTTGTTCTTCCCAATTTTTCATATCAAGAAATTCTTTCTGCATATCCTCCGCATTATCTTTCACTTGTTTTTGCATTAAAAGTGATTTATCCATTTTTCGAATTGTATTTATGGTAGTTAAAGCAAAAACGTCACTCGTGAATTCAGGTTATCTTATATGCTCCTTATAAAAATGTAAACAAATAATCATTCAGCAATTTATGTTTCTTTGCTATAACGGTTCGCTGCTTAAATAAATAAAACTTTAACTTTATCTGTACATACCGTATATCACTGTATTTTAATGGAATTATAAATACCTCGAAGAGGTTACGCTGTTAGTTGTCATAATATTAAAATTACCACACGTTCTATAAATATACACGTATTACAGTAACTTGTAGCGAATTAAAGTAATTCTCTCTACTTTATCAATTTAAAATGACACTATTATTATCAATCGCAATATGGTTTTATTTGTTCTCAAGCGGACCAAAAAACGACTTTCTCAACAATTTCAAAATAAATCTGTATGGGCGGATTCAGTCCAAACGATTCGATTAATGACGTTCGCTTTGCAATGCTATCCATTGGTCGGCGAGATATCACTATTTCCCCTATGCCGTTCAGCTTGTGGGGTTCGGCAACTTATCAGCTCCCAACCGCTCCCAATCCTCCCAACTATGTGATTCATTTGACGTAACTGAAGTGGGTGTATATACATATATCGGTGTGTATCATGTGTATGAATAAGTCAGAATCAGTAGAATAAGAGATATGTATATAAATAGGTCGTGTATAACCTATAATTTCGTGTGTAAGGACGCTTAATTTAAGGTTTGAATCAAAGTTTGAAGTATTCCAGAGAAGATACGATTAATTTACTGCTTCTGTATTGTTGTCCATGACAAATATACATACACATTGCAGAGGTACGTTCCAATGAAAAAATTCGTGTCATCTTCCTTGGATAAATACGAATCCTATAGTAGATAATATACATCATACATTATGTACATATTTAGTAGGAGGATACGTAAGGGTTACTATTGTGTGTATTAATATTATATATAGTCCTTATATAGAGGTATAGCATTGGCGTAAGTTAACATATCAAGTGGCGGCACCGTTTGATGTCATGGTATTTACTTAGGCCCATGTCCTGCATTCTGTTGTCAGTAGATAGTGTTTCGTATTAAAAAAGGACGATTTCTGACTAACGGTATTTCATTTTTAAGTAGAAAACCTAGAAATATTATAATTACTATGTAGAATGACTGACACCCAAAACATGTTTACCAATGTCCCGAAATTATTCTCGATTGCATGGCATCGAGTACCCACGTAGAAGAATCCATTCTAAAATGTTACATTTACAAAAATTTTGTACCATATATATGCACACTTTTCTACAAGATATGTATTGATATGTTATATACAGATAGATGTATGACTGTTATAAATATAAGAGGAAGTAAATACCTATCACACCCACTGACGAAATGGCGAATACAGGAGTATTACCGTTTGTACGCGGTGTAGATTTCAGCAGCAATGATTTCGGAGTAAGCGTGTAACTTTACTTCGAGATATTTTTGATTCGCTTTTAGAAACACTTCAAGTTTTCATGTTTACAGGGTGGCAAATTTCCGGAATCTGTTCGGCTCATGACCGGAATACAATGGCTGAAATTAGACAAGACAAACCTGATGGAAATCCCAGAAGAAATGGGCAAACTGTTGAAATTGGTACAAAGCACTCACAAGCGTATTACCTGTATTTTTCTCGTTGTATGTGTGCACGTTGTAAGACACGCGATAAAGCTTGACACTTTTCTATGTGTTAAAATAGGAACATCTTTCACTGGTTAAAAACAAACTGGAACGTTTGTACGGAGAACTTACGGAGCTTGGTTGCCTCAGAACTCTAAACATCAGACGTAATAATATTAAATCGAGTGGTATACCGGCGGAATTATTTCATCTGGAAGAGCTTACCACATTGGATTTGAGTTATAACAATTTAAAGGAAGTCCCGGAAGGACTCGAACGAACCCGTTCTCTGTTAAATCTCAATTTAAGTCACAATCAGTAAGTACCGACTGTGTTCTCGTTCGTCAACGTACGATTGGTATTTTTCGTCGGATAACGGCTGACAACATTTTTTTCAGCATAGACACGATTCCCAACACGCTGTTCATTCACTTGACTGATCTGCTGTTTCTAGATCTCAGTGATAATAAACTGGAGACACTGCCACCGCAAACTCGTCGTTTGGCCAATTTACAAACATTGAACTTGAACCACAATCCATTGGGACACTTTCAATTGAGGTAGACAAAACAGTTCGATTGTAGATTAACCGAACGTAGTCGTCGACTTTTCCAGGAAGAAGTACTTTTCTGTCTTTTTTTTTTTTCTTCCGATTTAGGCAACTGCCATCGTTGATGAATTTAACGACCCTACAGATGCGCGATACGCAACGAACGTTAAACAATATCCCCTCGAGTTTGGAGACTCTCACTAATCTTCAGGAACTTGATTTATCGCAGAATAACTTGCCTCGGGTACCGGATGCCCTTTATTCCCTGTTGAATTTGCGCCGCTTAAATTTAAGTGATAATCAAATAACTGAATTGTCGACAGCTATCGGTAGGTGATTCGTTCAGCGTATCGTTTTCTTTTCATACGATCGCGTAAATTGTGCGGTGACGTTCTATCGATATACGTTTCTTTTTCAGAACTTTGGACTAAGCTGGAAACGTTGAACATATGCCGTAATAAGTTAACCGCGATACCTGCTTCATTGTGTAAAATCGTTACACTCCGAAGATTATACTTGAACGATAATCAGTTGGATTTCGAAGGTATTCCTTCAGGGATTGGCAAGTTGTCAGCTTTACAAGTATTTTCCGCAGCCAATAATCATTTAGAGATGATACCAGAAGGCTTATGCAGGTATTTTATGATTCGTCAAAAAATTAAGGATACGTGAAAAAATTACTTATTCCTTCCGAGAACGCACAAGTTTGAAAACTGTTACTGACGTGTCTCTGTAGATGCGGGTCCTTGAAGAAACTGATATTGTCGTCCAATCGATTAATTACCGTGCCGGATGCTATCCATTTGCTTACCGATTTGGAACAACTAGACTTAAGGGATAATCCCAATTTAGTAATGCCACCGAAACCAACCGAGGTACAAAAAGGCTCAGGCATCGAATTTTATAACATTGATTTTTCTCTGCAACATCAACTGCGACTCGCTGGCGCCAATGTACCAGCACCGACTCAAACCGCCAGTATGTAAACACTGGAAATAGTGACGCATAACAACTATTCTAGTATACTCTAGCGTTCCATACTATAACTTAACACATTGTCGACGGTAAACGCAAATCGACGTTTTTCAGTTTTCAGACATAAGAAGACGCGACACAAGAAATCATATCTAGTGCGTATAAACCAATTTTTAATAAAAGATTTATATTTCACTTATATATGTACTGAAAATGTGCGAGAACTGAGGCTCGATTCGTTTCGCGGTACACTATCAACAATGCGTTAACTGTTTCGTTTTTCGAATTGTTCACGGCGTTTTCGTGTGTATTAGGTAGCAAAGATCCGATAGCTCGTAAAATGAGACTTCGCAGAAGACGCGATCAAGAGGAGGCAGACCAGGATCAAGCTAAAATATTGAAGGTACATATATATATATACACATATATAGGGTGACCCAAAACAATTGTAAGTCCTTGAAAGGGATGATTCCTGGGGTGATTTGAAACGGTTTTTTCCTTGGCGAAAAAGTTCTCCGTGGCTTTGTTAACGAGATATTAATGAAAAACCTCGACCAATCAGAGCGCGAGTCAACTGGCCGAGCTCTGATTGGTCGGGGTTTTTCGTTAATATCTCGTTAAAACCTCGATAACATTTTCACTAAGGAAAACTGGTTTCAAATCATCCCAGGGACCCCTCCTTTCTGGGAGTCGAGGGTATTTTGGGACACCCTGTATACGTATATGTATCTTACAATGATGATGATGTATATATTGTTGAGAAATACGGTTCAAAAACATGAAATTCTGTTTGAAATCTGTTTCTTTAGGGCATGAAGGATATAGCGAAGGAAAAGAACAAGGACAAGGAATGCGAAGAGTCTAAAGCAGAATCATTGAAGTAAGCTCATCAACCGTGTTGTAAGAAACATCCGTTAAAAATGTAACGACCGTTCGTGCGTGCATAATTTAATTATCCCTTGGTGTTCTTATTTCATTATTTTTTCTCTTTCTTTTTTTTTCTCTCTTAGACCTAAACGATGGGACGAAACTCTGGAGAAACCGCCGTTAGATTATTCAGAATTTTTCGACGAGGATGCCGGTCAAGTACCTGGTCTGTCGGTATGGGAGATAGAAAACTTTTTGCCGAACGAAATAGAAGAAGTGGCGCATGGCAAGTTTTACGAAGGCGATTGTTACATCGTATTGAAGACTGAAGTCGATGAAACCGGTTCTTTGATTTGGGCGATCTACTTTTGGATAGGGGAAAAGGCTACGGTACGATAAAAACGATTTTGATAACACATAATCAATTTAACCGTCATACGATAAAAGTAGCACGCGTACTCTGAACTGGAAATGTTCTCATTTGTTTGTTGTCGTCGCAGTTGGATAAAAGAGCTTGTGCCGCGATCCATGCTGTAAATTTAAGAAATTATCTAGGCGCGCAATGCCGTACAATTAGAGAAGAACAAAGCGAGGAATCCGATGAATTTTTAATGTTATTCGAATCGGGCATCACTTACATCGAAGGAGGCCGTACCTCGTCTGGGTTTTATACAGTTGAAGACACGGTTTGTACAGAATTTTATACGCACGTATGTTTCGTCTTGTTTCGATATTTTCGTTCATTAATGATACATTGACCTTATTTTTCCATATGAAATCCCTACACTTCATTACGTCGATTAATGCACGTGACCACAGCCGTTTATGACAAGACTATACAGAGTTCACGCCGCGGGTGCTTCGATTCATTTAGAACCTGTACCAGTGCGTTTCGATTCCCTGGATTCTGGTTTCGTATTTGTCCTGGACACAGGCACCAAAATCTTCATGTGGTACGGCAAGAATGCGAAAAGTACGTTAAAATCGAAGGCACGATTAATGGCGGAAAAAGTGAATAAAAACGAAAGGAAAAACAAAGCCGAAATCGTAACGGAAATTATGAATTCGGAGTCGGACGAATTTCTGTCGCGATTGAACGTGAAAGATTCGTCGCAACTTTTACCGATCGTTGTAAGTTACATGTATAGATATATAAATACGTTTCGTACTCTCGGCGAAATGAATCGTGAATTTCAAAGTACAACGGTTACCACGGTAACTTTGTTTCATTGCAGGAACATGTAGATCCAAATTTTGTAGCCCTCACTCCTCGTCTGTATCAAGTTCAACTTGGCATGGGTTATTTGGAATTGCCTCAGGTCGAAGTACCTCATGGAAAATTAACAAATACGCTCTTGAACAATCGGAATGTTTATATACTGGATTGTCACTTGGATGTTTACGTTTGGTACAGTAGAGCACGTCTAAATTTTTAAATCGCGAGTTAACTTTACCATATACATATATATGTATGTATGCATTAACGTTTCTCGGTTCTTGTACGAATTTAGGTTCGGTAAGAAATCAACAAGATTAGTGCGGGCAGCAGCCGTTAAATTGTCGCAGGAATTATTTAACATGATAGAGCGACCGGAGTATGCCATGGTAACCAGATTACAAGAAGGAACCGAGTCTCAGGTACAAAAATATATTGCATACAAGTTCCAAATCATTTTATCGTCTGTCCGCATTGATTTTTATAACATTGACACGATCGACTTAGATCTTCAAGTCTAAATTTACCGGCTGGGATGAAGTCATAGCTGTCGATTTCACTAGAACTGCCGAATCAGTCGCTAAAACTGGTGCCGACCTTACGAAATGGGCTAAACAACAGGAAACGAAGGTATTTATTATTACGAGCGTATGGAACGAAACAGGCAGATACAGTATGTAGTTTTTTTTTTGAAAGCTTTTATTTTTGATCGAGTGATTTTTCTTTTGCCACAGGCGGATTTGGCCGCTCTTTTCATGCCTAGACAGCCGCCGATGTCGTATTCCGAAGCTCAGCAACTTATGTCCGAGTGGAACGATGATTTAGAACGCATGGAACGATTTGTATTAGAAGGGAAAAAATTTGTACGTTTGCCCGAAGAAGAATTTGGGCATTTTTATAGCGGCGATTGTTACGTTTTTCTATGTCGTTATTGGATGGTACGTAATAATCAAGCTTTCTTAAAACGCTAAATTGAAATTAATGATAATAGAATTACGTTGTCAGTATACCATTAGATACCTTATTATCGATTCGTTTTAGCCGTTAGATATCGCTGAAAACGAGGACGGTGAAGAACAGTTCGAAGAAGATTACCAATGTACGGTATATTTCTGGCAGGGAAGAGACGCAGGAAACATGGGATGGCTAACGTTTACGTTCAGGTGGGGAAACGTAAACGTAATTAAATATTTGTTAGTTCTAAATTAGCGATTCACCTAATAATCCTGTTATACTGTTTTGGTAGTTTACAGAAAAAATTTAAATTGCTATTCGGAGAGAATCTGGAGGTTGTAAGAACTCATCAACAGCAAGAAAATCTGAAGTTTTTGTCGTATTTTAAAAGAAAATTCATTATCCACCATGGTAAGCGTAAACAACCTAAGCCATCTGATAGTAACAGGGTTGAGTTTTATCACTTAAGGAGTAATGGAAGTGCATTGTGTACTAGGCTGATACAAATACCAGCTGATTCATCATTGCTGAATTCTTCTTTTTGGTGAGATCATTATAATAACAGTAGTAATTTCGTACATTGTAATTATTATTTATAATATTCATGATAATAATGGTGATGAAAATAGCTAAATCTTTCCTTTTAGTAAAATATTTTTTTCGCTCGTTATCGAAACTTGTGCGTTTTATCTATAATGTGTAATGATTGTATACTTTTTCTAGTTATATTTTGAACGTACCGTTTAATAACGCCGACGAAACAGGAATCGTGTACGCGTGGATTGGCTCTAAGGCGGACAGCGATGAAGCGCGTCTGATCGAAGAAATCGCCGAAGAAATGTTCAATAATGTACGTCATATCTGCAAGATATCCGTGTTGCGATAATTCGCGGTAATTAACGATTCAATGTGAATCAAACGATAAATTGTATTGTTGCTTTATATTTATATTTTACAGCCATGGATAAGTCTTCAAGTTTTAAACGAAGGCGAAGAACCCGATAACTTTTTTTGGGTAGCCCTTGGGGGGAAAAAGCCATACGATACTGATGCGGAGTATATGAGCTACACTAGATTATTCAGGTGTTCAAATGAAAAAGGATACTTTACTATTAGTGAGAAGTGCACTGATTTTTGTCAAGTATGTAACGAATTAGTTAAGCGTGTTTTTCATGCGTGAGTACAATTAAGAAATTTAATAGACCATTTCATTCTATTTCGTTAGGATGATTTAGCAGACGACGATATTATGATCTTGGATAATGGTGAGCAAGTATTTTTATGGCTCGGTAGTAGATGTTCGGAAGTAGAGATCAAATTGGCCTATAAATCTGCTCAGGTAACAACTCGCTCGTACGAATCGTAGAATTTCTGCAACAAATCCGACAGAAGTAAACTATATAATTTGATTTTTAGGTGTACATTCAACATTTGCGAGTAAAGCAACCAGACAGACCGCGCAAATTGTTTCTTACCGCGAAAGGAAAAGAATCGCGAAGATTCGCCAAGTGTTTTCATGGTTGGAGTTGTCATAAAAGGCCGCTTCAATAAAGTAGATTTATCAGAATTTGGTTTTTCGATATCATTTACATCGAACGAAGGCCCAACGTTTTTATCTAGGATAACAATATAGCATGGTTTTATTATATTGTATGCATAGGCACAAAAATTAACACGTATGGATACAACATTGAAATACAATGAAATTTCGTAACATTTTAAACAAGTACAGAACTGTAATTCCATTTAAATGACACAAGTGATGCCAATATTCCTTGTTTATTTTATTTCAATATATTTATTTGTTTGAACCATATGTACAGGCCATGGAGTGACGTATTGCAGGAGTGTATTGTTGTGCACATACATTCCTGCGTAAGTATATAGGTACATGTGGCTACTATGTATGTAAATAACATATATATAGATGTCATGTTTGCAGGCAGACAACTTAAAAACATTCCCCGGTGTTCTCTTTCTAAGAGAAACACTTTGGCCCAGTAAAATGTAATTTTTACTTTTGTATATAAATGAAAAATGAAACGAGATTAATAAGATACAAATTGTTATCATAAGATTTGGTTTACATAACATTGCCTTCTTTCTCGTGTAATTCTTGTATTCGACTTTACAAAACATCAGGAACTCAACAAACACATTTTGAGAAAAAAATATTTTGAATCGTTGGCAAACATATGAATTGAATATATAATATTCTCTAATGAGCCAACTAGTTTATACAGGTTAAAACTTAACCATTAGCGATGCAAGCGTACCTCCCAAGCACAGAAAGCCACTAGGTATTTCCATATCTTCGAATCATAGGGGGTTAAAAACGTATTTAATCGTCGTCGTCATCATCGTCCGAAGGTACAAAGAGTTCTTTCTCCTCGAGAAAGTTCGCCATCATTTTGCTTAGCGTAGCGCCGATGATTAGACCAACTACGACACTGGAGAGAACACCCAGGAAACCAAAACGTGCCCTTTTCGGTTCCGGAAGAATGGCGCCGGAGGGTGTCGTTGTCCTCAGTCGAAGGTGCAATTTAGTTCCTCCGTCGATTCTCTTCAAATTACCAACGGTACGAAACACAAATGATGTACGTTGCAACGTCATTCTTCGTTGACAATTGTTACGGCTGTGATAAATACTAAAAACAGTTGTTCGCTACATACACAGTGTTGTACTGAAGAAACGTTAAATGAATATTTTGTACGTACAATTAATTGTGAATGTGTGTAAACGCGCTAGTACACGCACTGAGAGTTAAGTCACTTCCTGCGTGGCTACAACCGTAAAAATAAAAGAAGCCAATCAATAATAATAAACAGTAAATGCAGATAAGTTAACCTATTTTTGAGCACTTTGTTGTACGTCTCACTGATGAAATTGTTTAGAACTCACTTGTATCAGATAGATTTAATCACCATATTTTCTTTACCTTGCGTCTTGATTCGATAATAATCAAAGGAATGCAATACAATATCGGAATATAACCGTCATCTCGTAGAATCTGTCGAGCCGGGACACAGCGATCTAAATCCGTCTAAATCCCATGTACATATGCTATGTATGTACTTCCGTCCGAAAATTACGAAGATGAAAAAGTGATCACTCCCAGTTGATGATACGCATGCGAAAGGAAAATGAATTTTGGCTACACGCTTCAATAAAACAGTCATGAGTGACATCGTGTTTCGCTTTTGTTTGGTTTTTACCTGATTCACATTACAATCTAATTGTCTCGCGTGTCGTACGTAGGTGCGACCAGGTGCGACATGCGAGCACCGGTTTTTCCTCCGTAATGTTCGTCAATGTTCGTCATCGTGTAGTAGTGTCGTCGGTGTCGTCATGTCGTCCTTCGTGACGCATTTATACATATATACACCGATGGTAGAAGATGATTTGTATGTATTTAAGTATACACCATGGTCCACCCTCTATCTCACACAACCAATCCAGGCTCTACAGGACTAGTCGGATGAATTACAATTTATATACTGTTTCTCGTTAAATTTACCGAATTTCTCGGAATCGAAGTTACGTGCAAGTAGATCAGTTGGGTGGAGCATTTAATTGATATTTAATTTTATGATGCATAAAGAAACGTATATACTTGAAAAAAAAAACAGAAAAAGCATGTTCTGCCATCTACGGTGAAAAACGTATGTGACGAGCCAATTAGTACCACCACCGACTAGGTATAGGATAGATATTACAACAGTTTAACGGTGACAACGAACGCATGCATATTTTCAAATATCGGACTAATAGTATATTTTTATTGAACATTCTAATTTCATAGCCCTAAACTGAGTACCTGAAAGTATTTCATTGAACTTGTGTAAAAGATTTTACCACTTCCTAAAAGACTCCGTGTGATATTTGATAACGTCAGGTATTGACACTAAAATGGTAAGGGAGCTTCTGACGCCCTTGAAAAATGGGACAGAAAAAAGCATTGGATGATAGGTCTATTCTATACCTAGTCGGTGGTACCACGATGTGGTCATAGATGGTATCAGTCTTCTTTAACTACGAATACAAAATTAGAGTGTGTGTGAGAAAGTGGGGTCATCGAACCCCCGGAGCATGCGTAAGAGACCCCCTGTGTTTATGTTTTCTACTTTATATTAAATATTTAAATAAATATATAAAGTATAGTATTGTATTTTATTCTCTCTCAACGCAGGAACTCACGTTAGGAAAATATAATTCTATACAAGTAGGTATCGATTCCGAGGTTTCAATACCGAGGTTTCAATACCGAGTAAGTATCGATACCTTGGTGGTATCGATTCAACCATTCAATCTTATGCCTTACTAAGAGGTTAATAGTTATCAATGGTTATTGATGGTATCAATATGGACACAAATGGAAGCTCTGTACGTATGTGTACATACATATAATTTTAGTTTGTTTTAGCTGATCGCTCTCGTCGTTCTCGTGGATTGACGGACAGTAGTTTTGGAGAATTATTTTCACCGTGCCTCCATTTGTGTTGCGACAATTTTACTTGTCAAAACACGTGGGAACGTGTGAACAACAATTTCGCAAACTGTATAGCGAACATGTTACACGTGATTGGGTTAGGTCTTAGCGATGCAAAGGATATTACTGTGAAGGGTCTTGAGATAGTTCGAAAATGCGATCGAGTTTATTTGGAATCGTATACTTCGGTTTTATCTGCTAAATTGGAAGATTTGGTAGGTACAAGGAAATTGAAATTTTAAAGTTCGTTCATTTACCCCTTTCGTTACCGGTGGATGTCCGTCAGGGAGTGTGAATGTGACTCTTGATGAAAAAGAGCTTGCGCTTAATTAGTGCCGAATTTGCTTTTCTATTTTATTTTAGTTTGTCATTTTTATAAAAGTTATTACAGAATTCTAGTATAGAAAGGCAAGAATAATGGAATTTACATAAAAACAATATTTCTGGTAACAGATTAATAATGAAAACATTTTCATTGAATTAGTAATGAAGCTCTGTGTGGTAGATTTATAAAACATAATAAAATACAAAATGTATAGGTATGTATATAAACACTGGTACTTTGGTACTACTTGCGATGCGCATCCTTTTGACACTGGGAGCGAGAGGGTTAAAAATATACTCGATCTCGCGATATCGTATTCATCCGTGCGATCGAATAGGATATGTACCAAAGATAGTATGTTTCACAACGCATTAGGAAGAATTTTACGGACGCCCGATACTGGAGGCTGATAGAGAACTGGTCGAGAATGATGAAGATGAGATATTACCGAAAAATGAAAAAGAAAATGTGGCGTTTTTAGTGATTGGCGATCCGTTTGGAGCCACGACACACTCAGATTTAATATTGCGAGCGCGACGAAATAACATAAAGGTAAACAACAGAAAGAAGTTGTTTCTTTAATTAAGAATTTTTAATATTATGACACGTAATTCATTAATAATTAACCAAAATTGTTATTATCCCATGTTTATAGGTAAACATTGTTCACAATGCTTCAATTTTAACTGCGGTTGGTTGTTGTGGTCTTCAGCTCTATCGTTTTGGAGAAACTGTTTCCATTCCATATTGGAGCGATGGCTGGCAACCCAGCAGTTTTTATCAGAAAATAATCTCAAATAGGCACAAGAATATACATACGCTTTGCCTCTTAGACATCAAAGTGAAGGAACCCACTTTGGAGAGTATAATGAGGAAGAAAAAAGAATACATGCCGCCAAGATTTATGACCACCTCGGAAGCTGCCACTCAAATCCTGAAGATATACAAAGAAAAAACAGAAGTGCCACTGGAGGACAAATTAGGTAAGAAGTACGAAGAATGAAGGAATTAATAAATGCAGCAATGGATAAAAGTAGAGACATTTCCTATCTTTGCAGTATTTAGTGAAACCAGTATAGTAGTGGGTCTGGCGCGTGTTGGTTCCGCCGATCAACATATTGTTGCTTGTTCCCTTCGAGAAATGGCATCGCTTAATCTGGGACCACCACCACATTGTATGATTATTCCAGCGATCTCATTTCACCCTCTCGAATTGGAATTTCTAAGTCAACATGCGCTAAACGGAACCTTGTGCGAATAAAAATTTAGTCACTGTTACACGCGTTATTAATTTATTGTTCGTTTTCCTGCGAAGATTTTCCTCCGATTTTAAAGTACACAACCTGTGTGTGTGTGTGTGTGTGTGTGTGAGTAGAAATTGCATAAGATACTTGCTGCTTCTTTAAATCTTCTTGAATACTGCTTGTATGTACGTTGTATTTCCATGAAATGCGGTTCAATTTCGAAATCGAATAGATATCCGATCCGTGTCTTGATTAAGTAAGGGGAAACAATAACGAAACAATCGTTCTTCTGGTGGTTCCTAAGTACACGAAGGAAGCAATAACATTGTTGGCAAGGGTGGAAACGATCGATTAGACAAGAAGGTTTGGCGCGTCTGTCTCACGGCAGAGAGTTTCCGCGTCACCGTTGTCGTCGTTGTCGTTGTTAAAGTTCTCCCACTCAAAAAGTTCGTGTACGTTAACCAATTCCACTGACAGGATTGACTCCGACAATACGCAATGCTAGTGGAAAATGCGTGGAGGTGCGTGTCACGTAACAATACGACAAACTGAAATTGTTCGTTATCGATCCATTTTGTGTACGTCGTACCTACTTACATATTAGATATACATAGGTACAGTGTACAGTACTGAGACTAGTTTGAAGTGAAATTTGATAAAGTGTACATTGTACCTACTTCAGTACATAATAGCTTATTATAAGCTTTCTATTATTGCAATTTCATTGAACGTCCACACTGTTTCGTGAACGCGTTACCCATTCGAGTTTTCATTTGCTGGTACAAAGATATTTAAACCTGTCAAAATTTTAACTAATTATTTTGTTGTTACGTACCGACGACATTGTGGACAGTTGACAGAAAGTATATAATAGTATTGTACGTGTACAGGCGTTAAAGGTTGAAGAAGAAGCGAGGCGAGCATGGCTATGTCGGAAACAGGATTGATCGTTGCACCTCGAATACCTCGAGGTTTAGCACCCGCGGTCGAGAGACTTACAAGGGAAATTCTGAGACACCAACCACAAGATATTTATACGTTCGCGGCCCATCATTTCGAGCAATTGGTTGAGCTGAGGGACAATGAACGAGCTTCCGTCGCCGTTTCCAAAATATGCGACCGTGTGTCGTCCAACGAACAAAATCGCATCATTTTGGATTGGATCGGTCGCAACAAAGATCATCGGAACAGTGGTTCGAATGATCGTCGAAACCGTTTCTCCGATCGAAAAATTGAAGAACTACTGGTGAACGAAAGAATAAGGACATCGACGAAACTATCGAGAAAACGAGAAGAGACAGTGAATAGAAGCGGTTGGTCTATACATGAAACTGTCAAGACATTTAATAAAAAGCACACCCACAAGGACAATGTGGACAAGAGAAAGCCGAGGAATACGCGACTCTCTGGGAAATTGATCGAAAAAGAAATTCATAGTTACCCCGAGGAACGTTCGCCGAGACTTTCAAAGACTCGGCATCGATATCTCCGATCGTCATCCGTTGGTGATATATACTTCGGGGAGAAAATCAGGCGGCAACATAAAGAGAGAAGCGAAAAATTGTATAACTACGCTTTGGATGTATGCACGAGGAGCACATTCGAAAATATAAAGCGCAACGAATGCAAAGAGAACTACGGGAACGTCCCACGTTTGTTGAAACGACAAAAAAGCGCCGGTCAAATTGAAGGTAGATGCTCGTCCGAAGTTCCGAGTGAATGTCGATACCACGTTGAACCGAAAAGGGCTCTCTACTCTCCAGTAAACGCGTCATCGAGAAGAAAACAAATATTTAACGCAAAGAAAGGGTCGCAGCAATGGGAACATGTAACAGAAAGTGTTGTGAATACAACACTTCCAGAATCTCGAAATCGTCGGGGTCGACACGAGTCCTGGATAAAAGATCAACATAGGGACAAGAAGATATTCGAAGGAAAAACTCGAGATAATGCGGAAGAACTACGACATGCTGAAACTGTCGTCGTAAAGCTGAGTTCACGATCGGATAATAACGGCTCGGGAGGGTTGAAAGACAATGAAAGGACGGAAGAAACGTTTGACCGCGAATCATGGTACGATTCAAAAGGAATCGACGTTCTTGACGATACCAACCTAATCGTTGATTCAAGAATCTCTGCTGACGATGCGGTATTATCGATGAAGGGAGAGGATTCGTGTAATCCAGATTCTGTCGCCCTTCCGTCGGTGATCACGAGATCTTTATCATTTAACAAGCACTTTGACGAAAATATCGCCGAACAAAACGTTTCCAACAATCTGATTTTACCGCCTATTGTCTGCGATACTTCGAAACCAATCAAAAGAGAGGACAACTTAACATTACCCCTCCTGTCGCAGATTTCGGAAGCTGCCGAATTAAATCAGCGATCTGTAACTTCGGACGTGAATCGAGTTTCCAATGTTGAGGATGAAATAAAGGTTTCTTCGTTTGAAATACAGAATTCCGAAGCAAACGATCGTGATTGTAATTCGGCCGATCCAGGATGTCGTACGGGTTATTCAAAAGTAACGACGATTGCAGACGACCGGGAAGAGGAGAGCAAAATCGGGGACGTCGATATCGATATAGTTTCTAACACGACGACGGTGGACCGAGGTGCTGAGATTGAAGAAATTTTCGGGGAATCAAAAATGGACGAAGTCGAGGAAATTTTTAAGGACAGTTTAAACGTTACGCCCGATCTGATCGAACAACCGCAGAGGCCAGACTCGTTGGATCATCCGGACGTCGAGAACTCGACGACCACGATGATCGATACTAGCCCAAAAAGGCACGAGGAACAGAGTAACAAAGAAAAACAAGGGTCTCCGGTGGCTGGAAACGAGCTGAAAAACAAATTAATCGAGATAGAAACGGTCGAAAGAAATATCGAGAATGCATTGATTTCTTCCGGAAATACCGGCTTAATAACCGATAACGATCCTATGCTACCGCTACCGACAAACTTTCCCTCGGATTCAGAGTCGAAAGAATCGAGCGTCATACTAGATGGAAGAACCCATGCGATTCTTGTTACCGACGCGCGATCGGATGATACACGGATGAAAGAAGATGTATCGACGAGTACCGTTGGGAATCAGTGTCGATTCGTGGGAATACCACAAAACGATGACACGTCAGACGTGGAAAACGATTCGGCGGGAATCGTTGAGTTATCGACTACCGGGAAAACATCGAACGCATCGACAACATTCTCCTCCAGCAACGTGGACATAGATGCCGAACAATCGGTCGTCCGTAAAATGCCCGACATTCACACGGAAGACACAGACCTTTCCTGCTACATCCTCACGGAAGGTTCTCCGTGCGAAATACCAGAATCGGTGACCACTGTGATTATACCGGACAAAGGATTAGAAAACGATGACGAGGTTTTCCAGCGTGGCCATGAAACGATTAATGACACTGCATCTCGGCCGAGGAGAAGTCAAAAGTTTGACGAAAACTCGCTACTTGATCAAGACGATGCAAATCCGTTCGGGGAGTACGTATATCCGGAAACATTTCAATATTCGACAAACTTTGGTGTTAATTTTTTACAAGGTACAGAGAATATCGCCGATCAAACGATAACACATAAAGATTTAGGAAATATTCAAGAAGAAGAGGATAACGAGATGAATGTACGGTGTACGGAGTTATCATCCGATAGAACATCCGTTGAATCTTACTCATCAAGACAGATTGAATCGACGGGTATGATCGAAGATAAAGATGATGTAAAATTAGAAATGAAAGAAATCGGTTCGACCGGCATCGATCGCGGTGTCGTTGATGTTGTTGGTACGTCGTCGTCTGAACCCACTTGTACGGTTAGTATGGAATCGGAACCACCTGAACGACAAGACCCAAGACAAGACGAAGATGCACCTACGGAAGACGTCATTTGTTTGAACCAAGTAGGACAGCGGGAGGCAACGAATACCAATGATTGTTCCCACGATCACTCGTCTCCATCGGATGCAGTTGTACCGTACGTTCCGGAATTGAACTTGGATTCGTTTCGAGACGTAACGATATCCTCTGTCGACGATGGAAGCGGTTCGATGAACCGTGAGAATCAGTCGGAGAAGGAAAACGATTGCAATCATTTTCTTAGCGAAAGTGAGAAAAGTTTGTCCCCGTCTGATATTGTGCGTTCCGATGAGATGAAACCGACGATCGACCAGGTTTCCTTGCCGGAAGACAACTTTTTTTATAAAGATGACGCATCAACTGACCACGAAGACCGTCCTGTCGAGCACAAAGATACGAATCGTAGTGATACCATTGTCGATGTTGATGATAAAAATAGAACAAACTCTCCTAATATCGAGGAGGAGATCGCGAGAGAATTAATAGGGAATTTGGCTGGCGAAACGTTAATGCTACAGGAGACAGACGCCACAGAGACTGCTGCTTCTTCCAGTGTGAACGACTCGTCGGATTTGAATTGTAGTCGAAATGACAGAGACGATACCATAGTTTCATGCGAGAATAGACCAACAGCGTCCACCGTAACGATTGAACCTGTTGCTGATGCATTTTTAGCCGATACGTCGACTAAAACCAATTGTCAACAAGAACAACATCTTCATGGCGATGTCCAAGAAAAGGAAGAGAAAGAAGGAGGAGAAGAAGACGATGGAAAAGTGGAAGCAACAAGTGTTTACGCTGAATATAGTGCGAAAAACAATGGTGTTGCGTGCATTGTTCATTTTCTAGGAGACCATCACCACCAGTCTGAAGAATCAAAGGAGCTTCGAGTCGATTCGAATACGCAAAATGAAACATTGGATGCGGCTGCTAGAGTAATTCAATCCCGTAAGTACGGCCTACCCTACTATTGTATATGTAAATCACCGATTTCGTAGGTACATACAAGTGCAAAGTGTTTATGTACATACCCATGTAGTTTACATTGAATGTAAACTTGTCAATTTTTCGCACCGTCTGAATAGAGCACCACCAGCCGTAGTCAGAAATGATGAAATACGAACATTTTTTGCATAAGGGGTACGTGAATTTTTATTATGCCGCCGTCGCCGTCTTTCAATAGAATCCCATAAACAACATTGTCGACAGGATACTCAAAATACGACGACGAAATACGACGACGACGTAACGTCATCTTTATCTCGACAAAGTATTCAAGTGAGTAATTTTATCTTTGTTCTTATGCTCGTTTATCGATATTCTTCGCTTTTCAGAAGAAAGACGAAAATATTACTACTTCGAGCGAAGAATGCTGCGAATCTTTTAGTGACCAAGGAAAATGTAAGGAATTCGTAAAGTCTGAAATGTCTGAAGAGACGAAGGACGAAGAAGTATGGCCAATGGTTGGAACAGAGGACATGGTAGAAAACAAACAGACATTTGTGACATCGATTGCATCTGTTGGTTCAAGACACACCGGAGAATTTCATGATTCCTTGCCGTTGCCTGTTCTTGAACTTCCAAAGAACAGAGTGTTATCCCTGGAAAATCGTACTTTAAAATGTCCCCACGAAACTGCGAAACCTTTAATTACACTGAAACCCGGTACATCGTATTTCGATTCCGAATCCTCTCAAACGTGTGTCCTCTGGGCGTTTGATTTTGCAAAGTCGTTTCGGTTAGCTAACAATGAATCAGAGTGGTGTAAATGTTACGTAAATTTGCCGGCCTGCATGACCCACAACATCGAACCTGATTTCGATAGAACCAGCGTAACCGATGATACGATTCCTACGCGCCTTGCGGAACAGCCATTGAATTCTGATATCGAGGATATTCGTGAACCGTTAGCTCTCGACGGAATGACAAATCTCAAGTCCATTCTCATAGAAGAAATTTCAACGGCTGACGAAGAAAATCAACAACGTACAACCACAGATTCCCGCGAAACGGAAACAAATTCCACGGGGGATTGTTTCGGTTCACTTGAAAAGGAAGAGAATCCCTGTGATCGGTCGGTCGACGAACCAGTACGTAATACCGATGTTGAATCTAACGTGTATACAATTTTAGATCCTGACATTTCGTATTTGGAAAGCACCAAAAATACAGATGACCAGAGGAATGCTTAAGGTAACTCATGCGTTTGGTGTCGTATCTAGCTCCATATAGCGCTTTATATTTTTTATCAAGTTTACAAGCTTTTAAGAATGTTCTGTTAACTTTCAACTAAATTTATAATTAACCCTTGTGTGGGCAACCAAAATATTCACGGTTATTGAACAATCGGAACATTCCTACTCTGAGAGATTAGATAAACATAGATTATTTTACCTTTATACTTTTCCGAAAGTCGTAGTTTTCCCTTAATATAATATACCAAATGCTTTAGACAAAACCATAAAAAAAGGTGAAAGGAAATTTAGAAATGGGTACCTGAGTACTCGGTTGCCTACACAAGGGTTAAAAAACTGGCTCATCTACACCTACCGTACTAATGAAAACGTTTCTGTAATGGATGTTTGTTTGCAATTTTATCAGAGAACGAAGAAAGAGAGAAGCGTGAGAAGAGTCACGGAATTGTATGTATGTATGTACATACATAAATGTATACATATATACATATTTACGTACACACATGTATAATCGTCGTATCAAGAAATACGAGCAGTCCCAGTTGAAGTGCTTGAAAGAAAACGCATGCGCGAACGCGAAAGCAAACGCGGAACGCGAAGAAGCGACTAGGTAGGTAGGGGCTACGTGTTTTCGACGACGAGTTACGCGATTACCGGACAGTGTCGTACAGTAGCGCGTTTTGTCTATTTCGGTCTGTACAAATCTTGTGGAATAGAAAACGTTCTTTTCTTGTTTTGCACACTCATTGGTATCAATTCTACCAGAGTGTGTGTGCGCGCGCGCGCACCAGCGCGCGAACGTTGGTCGAATTGTTTACGTCCAACCATGTGAAACATTTACGACAGCAAGAGCATTCTTGTATTTTCTGTACGGAACATCCTCTTTCTTTAATTACCGACAAACGAGTGCATTGAAAAGTGCAGTCGGGTACGAAGGCGGCTTGGAAGGGTACTTTGTTCCAAGAGAACGCGATAGAACCAAGGATATATGCATGTATGTACCTACATATTTATACACACATAGAACGTATCGGCGGCAGCGAAGGCGGCGGCGCCCGACGACGACGATACTGGCAGAAGGGAATAAGAAACGTCAAGTTTCGGCTGATTATTCATCGTCATGCAGCAAGATATTGACGAAGAGATGACGAAAGCAAGTGTGGCAGCAACAAAAATTCAAGCGAATTTTCGGGGTTATCGAATTCGAAAGCAATTAAAGGAATCGAAAAAGGATACAAATTTACCGGCGGCTGATGCGATTCGTCGGGAATGTGGACAACGTCAGCAAGAATATTCGAAGGGCAGGAGGGAATTCTCGATTCCGAAGAATGCATCGTGTACGGAAAGAGTTTCCTTGGAAGAAAAATCGGCGACAAAAATCCAAGCGGGAGTGCGCGGTTTTTTAGTACGGAAGAGACAAGAAATGGCCCGAATGGCTGCGACTACGATTCAGGCGGGTTTTCGAGGTTTTAGAACCAGAAAACAACTAAAGGAAAGCGAACAATAACACACGCTCGCCCCGTCTCTGACATCTGCTCCTCCCTTCTCGCTCTGTTTCCCCTCGACTCATCTCATTCCTACGGTCCTACAGTTTTCACCAGTTTATACGAGTGGTCGAACATACTCGAACGGAACTACAGTGATTTATTATTTCAAAAGCCTCAGGTTCAATTTTACACACGAACAAGGAAGCGACCACGGCAAAGAAAACTTGGAAAATGACGGAATCTCTTGTGTAATGTTCAAAAACATAGTAACTACGACATATGTATTTTTTTTTTTCTAGATTGGCTGTGTGCTACATGTGTTTTGAACTCGATACTCTCGTTGTTTCTTCCAATTGTTGACGGGTAAGCATTGCAGTTGGTTTTCACTTCTTTTTTTTTTTTTTTTTGTTGGTTCCTCTAGCGACGCACTTGCGCCGACGACTTACGATCCCATCGCGGCAAATGGATCCATAATTATCGAGGAACAATCGAAATAGCCTCAGTGGTCACCAACGACGTTTGGCAACGACATTGACCGTGCTATTTGCTAGCGCGAAAATATTCGTCGAGCAAACAGTTAATTTTTATCCGTACTGCAGTACAGTCAAGTTCGAAACGTGTTTCATTCGAAAATCCCGAATAACATCGGACGAGACTGTTTCCTTCGCTATTTACGTCCTCAATGTGAATCTTCGAGGTATACCATATATACATATATGTACCTATATTTGTATACAGCTTTATTACATTTACGACGGACGGAATTCCGAGTTCACGAAGAACGTTATGGAAGCTGGCTTGCGATATACATACATACATGCATGCATACGTGCCTTTTCTACGCGAATTTCGCGTTTATATATGTTACTTATGTAAAACGAAAATGAATCGTCGCATCTGCACGAAAAATAAAAAAAAAATAAAAAATAAAAATTCCACGCGGTACATGTTAAAAGAGTACATTACACACGGAACAACGACGAAAGGTGAAAACGAGAAAAGAGACAACAGCGATTGACTAGGGGGAGAAATGTTACGAAATGGAGCTTTTCACGGATAAATTGCATCCTTTGTTTCATTTTTATTTATGAAATATACATAGTTTGCGTTAGTATATGGTACAATGTCTTTCTTTTTTGAAGCGTCGAACGTAGAAAAATGGTTCGCAAAGTACATTGTTAGATCGACTAGACCGATGCGTATAGATTTAACAAACATTCTTTTAAACAACGAGGCGAATTAATACATTTGATTAGACTTTTCTTTGGTTCATTCTATTTTACGTTACCCGCGTAAAATTTCTTCGATCGACATTAAAAGTGACAGGACTTGTACTTGATTAAACGAAAATAAACGTACCCCTCGGACAAATGTAACTTAATGATTGAAAAATAGTGTTCCAATAATTTGTCCGATTTTTAGAGGTCCTATCCTTCACTATCTCTCTCCCTCTTTCTTTATATATTTTTCCTGATCTGTCTTTGGTCACTTCCTTCCCCCACCCCCCGGCGTCGCCAGCAACCCCAATCATTTTAATTGAACATAAAAGAACACACGCAACGCAAACGAACATTTACTCGGTTTTTGTTGTGGTTTGTTCCTTTCGAATTTGTCTAGTTTGACAGTGATTCAGACTTTGGCATCGAATCATGATTATCATTGTGCTACGTTATGAAATATTAAATTCTATGCACTGTACCCGAGAACGACATCGTAAAATGGAAATCTATCGAGTCTTCGGTATTTTCTATAATCTAATTTAAGTTAGTCATACTTGAATCTTCCGTTTGTGTGCTCAGGTATATGCCCGGTTAAAAATAAATGTAATTTTCGTAATTTCGTTTCGCACGATGGCTCACAATCGCGACGACTGCTTACGCAAGCAGCAAAAGCGTTTTTGGCGCAAACTGAAGCGTGTGAAATTCGGTGACTTGTGTACCGCGGATAATACGCGAATTCGATTATCTCCGTGGCGAGGCCATCTATGAATATGCTCCTCACCGAAATCATACATATGTACGTATGTATGTAATACATACTCCCATTCTTCTCTCTCCAGTGACTTACTCTTGTTATCAGATTCAAATTTTTCTGCGTCCCGCGCGCGATCGCTTCTTTCTTCGAGTTTTCGCGATTTGCTGCCTACGTATGCATGTAAGTACGTATATACATACCTACGTACCACACACCTACGTACATAGCACTTCAGCCTTGTTGGTTCGTTACGGAAGACACCGGCAGTCTATTGTTCGTCGGGATAGGTGCCGAAGCTACGTATGTATACATATGTATACGTAGCATCGATATCGATATGCAACCCCGGAAAACGTCCGTTAACTTGCTTTTACACACTTTATTCGCCAGGATTCAAATCCTCGGTTTTCCGTTATCTCAATCATATCGATTACAATTAAAATTAAGTAACATATTTCCAATTATGGGTTCAATTTTCGTAAATGTGTTTACTTTGAATCAACATAGCAGTAGTAGTAATAAAGTGTGAACGTAATATAATGTGTGTCGTATCGCTTGTGTCTTGCATACTTATAAAAATTGAAAGGCACGCAAAAGTTTCTTGGGTTTCGGAACACACGTATTCTTCGTTGTTATTTGGTCTTTACAGTCAAGTCCTTTGGTACTGCAACCGTGGCACCTATTACAATTGCAATACATACCATCGCCGCAAATGCCCCAGGAATCTTTTGGTCCTCCACATACCTCGTTAAGACCCTGCGGAGAGAAAAGTACAAGTTCTTAGCGTAATGGGTACCGTTCGATTCCCGTAAAATTTATTGACACGGTGAATCGGCTAGTGATCCGATTCAATTCAAACGTTTCGATTCGATTCGATGGCTAACCTTTGCACATACTCGACCGCAAAAAGGCATCGTCGTGACACCAAATTTGCATTTGTTGCATGAATCGCCGCAGCTTTGACAGTTATGCAGTACCTCTTGCCCTAGTTTGTTCGATGGATATCCAAAACACTTGTCAAACCTAAGATATCGATTTATTAGACAGTCTCAATAATTCAGTTTATAGCGATACGGCAACGCGTAGTTCAAAATATTTTTGGGGGTTTGTTGTATAGGTACTTGTACCCAGGTAGCACATGACGCCTTGAAGACTTTACGGCTATTTTAGGTCTAAGGCGCCTTTAAGTCGTCTTTAAGGTATCATTAGGCGTCATGTGCTATCTAGGTATGTAGTACAATGTACGTGTGTCCGCCGCGTACGTTCAGTAGTGTCAATTTCAGCCTGGTATTCGAAACAGGCATTTGTAATGGAGGTTTATTATTACGGGGATACACAGAAAATGTAGAATTTAAAATTCTTACAAAAGTACAATAACTAGCAGTACAGCTACGTAAACAGTCTGGATGGCTGGCATTTCACTTTGTAGATCTGCAACAAAATTCGAACAAAATCAACATGAATGTAAAATTTTATTGTTGTGTGTGGTGGTCACGCGAGGTGGATTTCCTAAGTATATTTAAAATCTATGCTTGGACCAGTACATACAACATACTTACTTACATACATAAATATGTATATACATACGTGTACTATTCTACATGCATATGTATATAGTACAAACACCGTGTGTGGTAGATACGCCTAGGAAACTACGCTCAGGATTTTATGTACGTGTATGTACCCTCACGAGCAAACTCGGTTTCCGTTAACGGAAAAAGTGGCATAGGGCCTTCTACCACTTGGTAAATTTATTTCCAGTACTGGAATAAATGTTAAATCGAATGTTAATTTGGCATAAATTTTAATAATTCCCGATACCAAATCGTTGGAGGACCTTCCCCTACGCCACTTTTTCCCCTAACGGAAGCCGAGTTTGCTCGCGAGGGTACACGTAATATCAGGGTGAAGCCCAATGATTCTCTTAACTCAACATTACTTATTGTTAGTCACATTTTTTTGTTTCTTTATAAATAAAATAGCGATGAGTATCGTACTGCACGAAAGATGCTTTAATTTTCTATTGTTTGATCGATTTTTATTCATCGCGTGAGTTGCAGAAACACGAATGTATGATACAAATAAAAAGCCTGACAGAGATACTTGTGCTTCGTGTATCAGTTTCGCGAGGTCTTCAATGATTCTGAGGGCAAAGACTGTTGCAAACTAATTGATCGATAACTAGAAGCGAACAGACGATGTTCCTCTTGCTCTTCGACCTTTCGCCGCTTCGTCTTTTTACCGCGTTGCACTTTCACCATACGTATATACGCGACGTCTTTGCGAATTATTCTGTATAAAAGGTATACATACATAAATACATACGTACGTACATATGTGAAATGTATTTTACGTGCTACACCGTTACGTTTACGGATTACATATTATACAATTATGCACGCGCATCGATACACGATGTACACCCACGAGCAAACTCGGCTTCCACTAAGTGGCATAAGAGAAAGGCCTCCTACCACTTGGTAAATTTATTTCAAGTACTGAAATAAATGTTAAATCGAATATTAATTTGGCATAAATTTCAATAATTCCCGATACCAAATTTTAGGAGGCCCTTCCCCAACGCCACTTTTTACCCTAGCGGAAATCGAGTTTGATCGTGGGTGTACCTATATGTATAATATGTAATATTATAATGATGTAACTGTACAAGTTCGGATTCGAGTACGGATACGCGGTACAGTGATTTAAACTGCTGCCGTTCGGGAAAGCCACTGGATCAACGCGGAGATTTAATTAATATAAAATTAAACCTTATCGTTCCGTCCTTTTGGACATTGGAGTTTCAATGGGATTTTATGAAATTATCCGCACCCGTTAATTGGCGTACAAGCATGTAATCAGCGAACGTTTCAATTTGAAAAGAAACTCGAAACATTTATGAGCAAAAAGTAAGCATCACGACCAGCTCAGACAGAGACGAATACCCTGCCCCTCTCTGTCTTTCGTTGTACTAAGAATAGCAAAAGGATTTGCGTTGGTTGTGATCGATGCCAGGGTTCTCTTTCAGCATTTAGTCCTCCCATTCCCACTTCTTCTCTTCTTACCTATTCACCTGACTTTAGAATCGTAACTATGCAAGTACATATGTATGTACATATGTATATATGTTTCCTTTTCCCTTGTACTCATTTTCCGTGGTTGCTTTCTACTGCCGCTGTGTTCATTATTGACCACCTCATGCGTTAGAGGTCACACTGTGTGTATCGTCAATACGAAAATGAAAAGGAGGCTGCGGATGCGAGCACGCAAACCGCAACGGACGTAACGAACGTTTAAAGAAAACTGTACTATATGTATATGCATATAAAATAATAGTATACGTGTGTATATGTATACAATACTGCTCAGGATGTCATACTTATCGAAATCTCAATTGGTAAACAGGAAATCCTGCTATAAAATTACCGTAGACAAAACTAGCTCTGACTGATTCTAACAAGAATATCATCGTGAAGATGTTTCAGATCTTACTGTTTGAATAAAAGTATTTTAAACAATCTTGACTATTGACAACATAAAAAAAATTTTCTTTTGATCGCAATTATTCCGTGTTCCTATCGCCCTTCGCTTATGTTACATCCTCAATTCTATGTATGTATTTTATTACTTTCGCCGATAGCTTTAAGGACTTTACTACTCGCTATAAATATTAACATATATAATTCAATTATAAATATTAATATATATATACCGAACAAGTTACAATTACAGTCATAATCTGTTACAAACACGCGTTCCTGCATATTTCGTTCTGTTTTCCCATCCTTTCTCGCTCTTTTGCTGTTCAAATTCTTCAGTATCATTATTCTGTTGCAATGTGAATTAAAAAAAAAAACTTTTCATCGATACGTAAATAAAATTGACTCAATGACATGATCAACGCGACAAACAAATACCAAACAATAATCAAGATGACGGGACATGACAATAGGTACCATCGGTGCTCACCCTAAACAAATTTTTAAATAACGCAGAATTGGATGGCAAGTACGTATGCTGTTTTACCCTGAGAAACACGAAACTGTGAGAAACGCGAAGACACGACGTTCGAAGACGGATAGACGTTGAATGTGCCATTGAAGCCAACTCCGCTTTGTTTTATAGTAGAAAGAAAGAGAGAGAGGGAGAAAGAGCGCGCGCATCACAGTTCACCCAGGAAACACAATGTATACCTGGTATCTCTCCTCCACAAGAAATCCCGGTTGCCACGTGAAGTCCTTGCTTTCCGTCTAACTCCACCCATACGACGTCGTCGTAAATATTCCTCTGTGAACACGTCTTTTCCTATTTGACGGAACTTTCTTGACGGACCACAATTAATATGTAAATTTTCCCGGTTGTTATAGGTGAACGAAAAACAACGATGATCATTCATTGACGCGTTATTTGCACTTGTTACATCCTATTAACGACCTACCTAAATCACTTTGACAATTTTATTAACATAATAAACGTTTCCAGCGGATAATAGAGTCAGAAAATCCAAATGAAATCACTCGGTATTTAAATATGTATGTATATTTCAAAAGCAGGCACAACTGGCCAGAACGAAGGTCGAAGGAGGGCTTCAATTTCTTGATTTCGTTATCAAAAAATATATTTCTGGTTACGCTTATCAACTGCAAAAGAGACATCGATTAAAATGTTAATTTTCGAAATTTTCTGGTGTTTTTTCTTACAAAGGTACCATCAGGATGACCTGGCAACGTTTGACCAAATTCTTGATGCGACATTACGAACGGATTGATCAAGCCGAGACGCTTTTCCTACGAATGAACAACATTTCAACGATGATGAACCAAATTCTGTTTCTAATGATGGCCGATTTAATGTATCTGCCCAAACTTGATATGACGTATCTGTACACGTTAATGTTTTACAACGTAATCACTTACTGCGTTAGCTACATTAAGGAATTGGTCGAAAAAGAAGATTGGTCTCCGTTTATAACTCTCACAGAAAGATCAAAAATTAAACATTTAGCTATGTCTACTACGAAAATAGTACTCGAATGGACGAAAGCTGTTACCTTTATTGTAACGATAACATTTATGCTCCTCGTATTTGGCTTGGAACAGGGTCTGAAAAATTACAAGTAAGTAATGGCTAATAAAACAGAAAAGGAAAATGCTAAAAATCCGTCGGATACGAAGGGAGAGACTGATACCGATACTGATCCGGTTATTCGGTGTATCTATGTATGTATTCTTGTTATAGGCCGTCCACGTTTTACACCGTGATAACATGGTTATATTATTCAGCGACAGAGAAAGTCTTCGTTGAGACGTATGTGTCGATCTTGAAGTTCTTTCAAATGGAAGCTTTTGAGAACATGGAAGAACTTTATGTTCCGGTAATATTAAGGTCATTTACCATTGGCATCACAGTTTCGCACGTGTTTATCCTATTACCGTCGGTATCCTGGAGATTTCTGTTTGTTGCGAGCTACGTGAATATTTATTTGAAATTGAAGGACCTCTTGCAAAAATTCGGCCCATCATTGGAACGTGAGCGACAATTTCTGAATCGCTATAGAAGAGTTACACCCGAAGAAATTAAACGTTTCGACGATGTTTGCGCAGTTTGTCTATGCAACATGGCGAAAGCAAGAATGACGCCTTGTCATCATCTGTTTCATGCGGACTGCTTACGTCGATGCCTTAAAATCAGCGATACGTGCCCTTTGTGCAAAAGGGAATTAAAAGTTGAATACGATTCGATACCGGATCATTGGTGAACGATAGCATCTTAATCGTTCAGAGGAATCATACAACTGATTTTGTATCTATTATCTCGAGCAAGTAACACTTTTATATCATAAGAGCAGTAAGCAAACACTGGTATTCTCGCGTTTCGCAATTCTTTATTTGCATTATCTATCGTTTCACATTTATCACCCTTTCTATTTGCTTACGTTTCATCTACGTATTTAAGAGTAGTTTCTATATATGCACCGTCCGGACTATCATAATTCTCTATTGGTGGAGTATTTACCGGTCCTAATGCACTGTATGGCAGAAACGTTTCGTCGAACTGAAAAAGAAACATAATGTGAAAATGGCTTTGTGTAATTGACCTATGCCAACTGTCAATACGATTAAGTAAAGTCAAACTATGTATGTGTACTTGTATTGCTTCCTCATAAAGTTGCTTTGATACAGCTTTCAGTTCTTTCAGTGCTATTTTCTGTGAATGTAGGATAGATTCAATAGTGTTTATATCCCTTTTCCACTGATCCAGCTTATATCTGCTCCATTCCTTCTCCAATAACGCTCTTCTTTCTGTTTCTTGGGGAGATAACGGTGCAAGATTACGGGACCTGTCCCTAAAAATGTGCATTTGTGTCTGATAATGTCAGAAATGGAAGACAAGAAATAATAATTTGTAATCATACTCTATCTGCTCCATTAACTCTGAGGATATATCTACTTCGAAGATTGGTTTCAACTGTTGGGCAAGCTTTTCTAAACGCCTAATTTGTTTCTCCAATTTTCTTTTCCTCCTTTCTTCTCTAGCTCTGACTATAGTGGGATCAATCTTTTTCTTTTTTTTAAGCGGTTCTCCTCTAAAACAGTAAAAAATCATATTATGAAATTACATTTTGCAAAACCTCAATACTGAATTACTTACAAAAGCACATTGGTTACTTGAAAACACAACGGATTCATACATGTAGAAATATTGCGCGGATTAACGGTCGAGCAGACAGATAATCTGTATAAACAAATAATTGAAATTATAAAGCGACATCGAAATGTCTGAAAATTAAATTTCATTCATTTATCATTACCTGGAGAAAGTGTTTATTACGTATAGTACACTTGCCATTTCTTTATAATTTTCAAAATTATTTGTATCCTTAAGATCAGTGTTTGATATCTTCCAATTACTTTTTGTAAGTTACGTTTGTAACCTTTTCGTTTCTTTTCGACTTTTAACTATATACAGATAAAAGCTATACAGAAAATATTTACAAATTATTCATTAGATTAAAATTGATAGTGTTCTGTATGATTATTAGTTAGTACCACATAGTATTTACGTTTACTGGACATAGTAAGTAGGTACACAAACAAATTTGTGAAAAAATAATGATGGCATTGTGTAAAACTCAACCATAGAATAGAGTGATAAGTGCGATTGTTACGTAAGAATTATAATGTTATTTCCGTAGAATTATTTCAATTGTAATATTAACAAATGACGTATATTTGATTACAATGACGTATATTTGATTCTAATGATCTTAATCCTGAAAAATTTGGTTTACACAACATAATGTCATCAATCATGTATGCGTGTGGTGTGTGTATTTTCGCAAGAGCAATTACGTACAATATACCTAACCGATCTGCGTTATATATCAGATTACCAGAAAGAAATTTCGACTTCTGAAGCTTATCTTATAATCCAACTTCAGTTCTGAATGTAAAGTATTTTATAGAGATGGCGTGAACTGCTACTTGTGAATCACTCATGATTCGATCACGTTCGTTGCCAATCACGGTGATTTTTCACAGTGATTCGTGATTTCTCGTGATCGATTCTGATTGGTAGAGAAACTTAATAGTTCTTTACACGCGACACATAATCTGTATATTTTATATTAACGACATCGAAACAAAAATTCAAGTTATGTCGTATTACAGATAGTATAATAGTGTTACAACAAGCATGTAAATAAATGCTTGTATATTTCTTTAACCTGTGTACCTTTGTGCAACAGTACCCAGCAATAGCTGTGCATAGGGGACGTTGGGGCGACGTGCCACACGTGCGTGACAGCCGTGACTGGCCGTGACCGACTATAGAATTCATCGGAGATCGAATTTTTTTGTATTATTAAATTAAAATTAGATGGTTTTTGTATTATTATGGAATAAAAATATAATTAACAAAAGGAACAATGTGCACACTGAACGATTTTGAGTGTGATACTTTTGAAACGGACCAGACAGCATTAAATACGTGAGTGTTTCATTATTGTGTCCAAGACACTGTATATGCGTATTATATCATTATTGTTTAATTACTTTTCTAGAGACACTGCCTGTACTATTGTTTCTACATGCCCGACAAACATTAACTCATTTTGCAAAAAGTGTAAAACTCAAAAAACTGAAGTTTCGTTGAGGGGCAAATATGGCTATTGTAAAACGTGCTTCTTATCTGTGTCAATGCACAAATTCAAAGCCACTCTTGGTAAATCCAAATTGTTACGTCCAAGCGATTCAGTGCTTATTGCACATTCAGGGAAGGCAAATTCAACAGTTCTTTTGCACCTTATCAAAGATAATATGAATGAATCAGCTTCTAAAAGACTTCAGTTTAAATGTAAAATACTTTATATAGATGGTAATATTAATGTTCAAATCTATAATTATTATTGATTAAAGGAAATTACCGCTATATTTATTTAATATGTCCTTATTTTTTTATTTGTGTGCATAGATGGTATGGTAAAAGGAATATCATTGGAGGAAAGGAAACATATTCAAGATGCATTAGTTAAAGAAGCAGAGTACTTAGAAGTAACAATGTATGTAACATCTTTGACAACTTGTACCACTGATATTCTTTGTGAAAAGATTCAGTCTGTACTTCCTTTACAATCAAGTACGACTGACAATGATGGATTTATGAAGGAAATGTTCGAAAGCATGGAGAATGATACAGTGAGAGATGAATTATTAAGGCAACTGAAAAGGAAACTACTTATATCTGCAGCTCGTAAACTAAATTGTAATAAAATTTTTGTTGCCGACACGTCTGTTGATCTTGCAATAAAAGTACTCGGAGATGTGTCAACAGGAAGAGGTTCTCAATTATCTGTAAATGTTGCTTTTTATGATACAAGGTGCGCTGATGTAGCCTTACTTAGACCACTCAGAGATTTTACACAAGAAGACATACAAGGCTACTTGCAGTGCCATAAACTAAATCCCATTCTTGCACCTCCAAAGTATATTCAACCTTACCCTGCTTCAATAAGAAATATTGCAAGAAACTTTATTCACAACTTAGATTTTGAATTTCATGGTACTGTCTCTACCATATATCGTACCAGTGAGAAATTAGCAACGAAGATAAAAGGAGTTCATAATGTATATACCAATAGGGACATAGAACCTATTAATGACATGAATAATACCTGTGCACTTTGCGAATTGCCTCTGATTTCTGATAATTTACACAAAGAACAACTCTCGGTTGTGCAAGCCAAAATGTATTCCCAAGTTGTGTCAACGAATATGGATTTCTATTCAAGCATGACTTCAAGTTCGCAAAACCTGGACGATCTATTAAAAGATAAACAGACAGGAAGAATAAATGACTGTGAGAAAAAGCATTGTGAATGCAACAATACCGAGTGCAGTTCGTTCTGTGGACAGTCTCTGCAACCATCCATGGTTGAAGCAGATCTCTGTTATGGCTGCAAAATAATTGCTTTAAATTCAAATCGGAAGATTAATTTATTATCTTCTTTTATATACGACAAAATCCAAGAAAACATACAAATGACGCGTTTGCGGAATGAAATAACAGAATTTTTATTGTAGAAACGAGTAGTATTAGAACTTGTAATGGCAGTTCAAATTTTCATTCTCTACATTAAAAGTAATTGTACAATTGATAAAAAAAATATGTTTTATAATAGTGAAGACACCCAACATGTATAGTATTTTAAGTATGTATATTAGTTTTCAGTAAATTCGATGAAAAAACATTATATACTTCTAATTATAATGTAGAACAATGGATCCAAGGAGGACATGTTAATAGTGTGGGTGAAGCAAAACCTTTGAAAAGACCAACTTTTCCTAGCGTTTAACGGGACATTACTGTATATTGTATGGACATACATTACATTAACGATATAATTTGCTACAGTATCTTATAAATAAAACCACCAACAAACAAATTTTAACAATTCGTTGGCTACGCGCTGCGATTAGTAGCCAACGTTACCGCGGGAACTCGGCTGGCAGACGCGCGCTCTGATTGGTCGGGGTTTTTCGTTAATATCTCGTTAACAAAGCCTCGGATAACCTTTTTGCTACGGAAAAACCTGTTTCAAATCACCTCACGAGTCTCCCATTTCCGGATCCACCCACATTTTTTTACACCCTGTACGTACACATGTATTTAATCATATGAAAACTCCATTTACCAACAGAGCTTGACAGAAAATTTAAATTCATTTGTACATTATTCATTTATGTATTTGTTTTTTTATAAATTAGAATTCTTTTTCGGTGCTATAGGTAGTAAACGTAATTGTTAAATTTAACATACTATTACTTTATCACACTAAATTAGTGAACTTGTGAACTTATATAAACTTACACAATAACACATATGCGCACATAGCGCACGTCTAAAGTGGTTACCGTATTAAATGTATATTTGTCAGCAATCTGTAATATGTATTTACATTAAAGTATATAATAATTTATTAACAATGAGAACATAACTATATAGTATAGTAAAAGATTAATAAATACAGTTTTTCATCATTAATGAAGAAGTTTTATACGGACAGTACTTGTAGTGCAGTGGCGGCGCTGTCAGTACAGTCACACAGTGACGCTTTTATTTACGTCTATTTCAGTCCATTTTGCCGCGAAGTTAACATTTGCTTCAAAACCGTGTTTTCATTTCGTTCCATAGATCGTCTTCCATTTGAAAAAGATAATTCATTGAAAAATGTCAGCTACAGCGGCTACAGCGACTACAGCCACCCTCCAAGGTGACGAAGAATTTGAGGAATATGTTCCACAAGTGAAATTAATTAAAACTCTTGAGGTATATGATGTCTTTAACCTTTTTCATACTCTTTTAATTACATTGTTCCCATACGTATTCAAAAAATTGTGTACATTGCTGAAAACGTTTGATTTTATGAACCATTTAATAATTATATTTTTTATTCAGAGGAATGGCATAACAGCTGGAGATATAAAAAAATTGGAGGAAGCAGGTTACCATACAGTTGAAGCTGTAGCTTATGCTCCAAAGAAACATCTGATTACTATTAAAGGTATTAGTGAAGCTAAAGCAGATAAGATACTGCAAGAAGCCTCAAAATTAGTTGTGATGGGATTTAAAAGTGCTACAGAAATTCATCAAATTCGATCGAATATTGTATTTGTAACAACTGGTTCCACTGAATTAGATAGATTGTTGGGAGGTGGTATAGAGACTGGCTCTATCACAGAAATTTTTGGGGAATTTAGAACAGGAAAAACTCAGTTGTGCCATACGCTTGCAGTTAATTGTCAGTTACCTATAGATATGGGTGGTGCAGAAGGAAAGTGTCTTTACATTGATTCAGAAGGAACCTTTAGACCTGAAAGATTAATTGCTGTTGCAGAAAGGTATAAGATTGCAGGGGATTCTGTTTTAGACAATGTAGCTTGTGCCAGAGCTTACAATACAGATCATCAAACTCAATTATTAATTAATGCTAGTGCTATGATGATAGAATCTAGATATGCCTTACTGATAGTAGATAGCGCAACTGGTCTCTACCGGACTGATTATTCTGGAAGAGGTGAATTAAGTGCTAGGCAAATGCATTTAGCTAGGTTTCTTAGAATGCTATTGAGAATAGCTGATGAATATGGTGTTGCTGTTGTTATTACCAACCAAGTTGTGGCACAAGTTGATGGTGCAGCAAGCATGTTTGGTGGAGATCAAAAAAAACCAATTGGTGGTAACATTCTAGCACATGCAAGCACCACAAGGCTTTATTTACGCAAAGGAAGAGGAGAAACTAGAATATGCAAAATTTATGATTCACCTTGTTTGCCTGAGAGTGAAGCTATGTTTGCCATAAATGCAGATGGAATTGGGGATGTTAAGGAATAATAGTATACTTGTCTTCTATAAGTAGTATTTGTACCTCAAAAAGTCCTGAAAGTGCCTTATTTTGTATATATAGATGCTATTTGGAGGATATACAGTACCGGACAAATGTTTTCGGACAAAAACCGTTTCCAGTAGTATTTGAATTAAGTTTTAATTCTTGTTTTCTTAGATCGCCTACACTCGATTTATTTTCTAAATGTCCTTTTCGAACAAATTGTTTATTTTGTCGAATATACTATCTATTTAGGGATGTCCACACATTGAAGAAACTATGGATGATTGCGTTCCATTTCAGCCATCTGTGATGTTTCGTTTTCAAATTTTTCCTGAATTTTTACGTCGTACCATCCGAGAATGAATAAAATAAAGGTATAATTATAATGTTCTTGTGAAGTTCTTATTTCAGATTACAATTTATGGTTGTGAATGAAACGTCCGAATACTTTTGTCTAGCTATATACAGATAAAACTTATTTTACACATTGTGGTACGTAAGTAACTCCATGTAACTTTTATGGAAGTTTGCGTCGGAATAATCGTAAACACTCTGCAGGGCAGAACAAACAAATACAACGAAAAATGTACTTGTCTGAATTCCTTCGTCCGATACTGTATATTATTTTTATTACTTAAAAGTATTATTAAATAAACAATTAATTAACTTAGTTTTATAAGTACCATACAATTATCATATAGACAAAAATGAATGATAAGAAAAATAGATAAAAATAATAAAAGTTCTACTGTTTTATATTTGTACCATTTTGTATAAGAATTAACAATGTTCTGTAATATATATATATATACACTAAAAAAAATAAAATATTCGATTTGTCTCGTTGCTTTTAAGTTCGATTCCTTATGCATAAATGTACATGTATAAATTTTAGTATGATAAGAATTGATAAAATTAAAGATAAGATTCGCTACAAGAACAAACAGCATCGCAGAAGAAAGTATCCTAAATTCAAGGTTAACATTAGTTAACGTGAATCGTTATACGTCGGACAACGGTAAAGTTTATATTCATTGCTTCATTGTTAGTTTTAGTACTAGACTATCTAGGAAATTTTAGTATAACCATTAAATTATACATGTATATAGTAACTTCTGTTACTGTAAATTATAATGTTTAATTTGTATAGTTGGAGTTTGTGTCAACAGACTATCATTTTCAGAAAAGTATTTCAGAATTTTACACGTTCTACTTCAGTCGGTATTTATTTAAATAAAAAAACTACTGAGACATTGCTATCAACCAGAAAGATTAAACATTTAAAAAAAAATTATAATTTATGGTGGGTTATGAGTTTAAATGATTTGTGTACCTACACTTGTATATACATTGTGTATATGTGAAATCAAGTCCAATTTAAGTAACTTGCAGACATGTTTGTTGTAAATTAAGTTAACCTTAAATGCGTTAAGATTTTATAAGTAAAGTTACTGCCGTAGAACTAGTGTATTCATTTATATCTGGATAAGAATTATAGAATAGTTTATATTGCATTTGTCAAATATATTGATTATAAATTCCAACTTTACATTCCAGCATAAGACATTTGTGCACGAAAATGAGTGACGACACTTCTTTCTTTACTTTACCGAACAATCAACCGATAATTTCTTTAGAATGCGAAAGTGCATTTAAAGCTCTAACAACAAAAGAAAAACTATACGCACATTATTTAAGTCAAGCTGCATGGAATGGCAGTCTTATTGTATTTATACAAACTTCTCCTGAATCACCATTAATATTTGCTCTTTTACACAAAGTTTTTATATCTGAAAGTATAGATGAATTAAAGAAATCAGCACTTGATGGTGGCATCAGTGAAGATGAATTTACAGTGAGTTGACTATATTAACTTTTAATTTTGCTTTCAAAATCTAATTTTTTTTTTAAATTATGTATTTCTAGGCTTTCCTAGTATATAGTTGTGGAATATTTGCAAATGCTGGTAATTATAAGTCCTTCGGTGATAGTAAGATAATTCCCAAATTGCCTAAAGAAAAATTTGAAACTGTAATAAAAGTTTCAAAAGCATATAAAGATAATTCTAAAAGTACTGATGAAATTTGGAATAAAATTCAAGATGTAGTGTATTCGATAAAAGGAAAATTAAAGTCTTTGGGATTAGGTGATAAGGGTGTCACAACCTATTTCTCTGCCAATTGTACGGATAAAGATGCTGACTTGGTCAATGAATTTATGCAAGAAAAAGGATTAGAATCTTACAATGCAAGATGTTTTAAAACTGTGAATTCAGGCAATATGGATTCATATGAAATCAGATTAGCTTCTGTAAAAACTGATACTGATCCTAATATTACATTGTCAGAAGAAGTCTACAAGAATGCTAAATTCAAGATTGCAAGAGGAGATTATAGTCAGCTGTTAATTCCAGTTGTTGATAATCTACAGAAGGCAAAAGAGTATGCAGCAAATGACAATCAGAAAAATATGTTGAACAAGTATATAGAACATTTCACAGCAGGATTATTGCAGGCCCATAAAGATGGTTCACGATTCTGGATTAAGGATAAAGGACCAGTTATAGAAACCTATATTGGTTTTATTGAAACTTACAGAGATCCTGCTGGCCAGAGAGGAGAATTTGAGGGATTTGTAGCAATGGTAAATAAAGAAATGTCTAAAAAATTTGCTACTTTGGTACACAATGCAGAGAAATTTATACCAAAACTTCCCTGGGGTACAGACTTTGAAAAGGACGAATTCTTAAGACCTGACTTTACTTCTTTAGATGTTTTAACATTTTCTGGATCTGGTATACCTGCTGGAATAAATATTCCGAACTATGATGAAATTAGACAGTCGGAAGGATTTAAGAATGTATCTCTTGGTAATGTAATTCCTGCAAATATGAAGTTAGACGTAATACCATTTTTATCTGAACATGATCAGGCTCTAATGAATACTTATAGAGTTGCAAGTTTTGAAGTACAAGTTGGTTTGCATGAACTTCTTGGTCATGGGACAGGTAAATTGTTGAGGCAGTTAGGACCTGATTCTTATAACTTTGATAAAGTAAATGTAAAAAATCCCTTAACTGGAGAAGTAATAGATAAATTCTTTCTACCGGGTGAAACATATGATTCAAAGTTTGGCCAAATGGGATCATCTTATGAAGAATGTAGAGCAGAAGCTGTTGGGTTATATCTGTCTTTGGAAAAAGATGTATTAAGTATATTTGGGCACGATGGTCCTAAAGCAGATGACATAATATATGTCAATTGGTTATCTCTCTTGTGGAATGGATGTGCGAAAGCTTTAGAAATGTATCAACCATCCACTAAAAAGTGGTTACAAGCTCACTCTCAAGCAAGATACGTTCTACTTAGAGTATGCATTGAGGCTGGCGATGGTTTCGTTAATGTAGTTGAATCTGAGTCTGGAAAGAATTTATTATTCAGTGTAGATAGGTCTAAGATTCTGACTGTTGGCAAGAGAGCAATTGGAGACTTTTTAAATAAGTTACAAATTTATAAAAGTACAGGTGACATTGATGCAGCAAAGGAAATGTATGAAAAATATAGTGAAGTGCCCGAAGCAGGACCACATCCATGGGCACATTGGAGAGATATTGTTCTTGCTCATAAAGAACCTCGAAAAATATTTGTACAATCAAACACATTTATAAATGGTATTTACTTAATCATTATTTTTATTATATAATTTGTCAGTTCTGTATACTAATGCAGTCTTCAATGACACAGGTTCAGATGAAGTACATTTGAAGAACTATGAACCCAGTTTTGCTGGATTAATTCAGTCTTGGATAGAAAGATTTCCTTCTACAGAAATTTCCCAAACTTTCATTAAACTTTGGGAAAAAGATGAAAAATACTTTACGTTAGAACATAAGTAATACAATTATTGAAATAATTATTTTTTCATTATATTTTGAATTATGTATGCTATAATTATGTGGGTATATATGTATAAACAACGTACATTTTTTTATACTTTGATTAACGAAGATTTTGTAAAAATATGAATTATTGTATCCATAGAAAATTAATAAATAAGTGCACTGAAAATTATTTCGATCATTAAATTTGGATAAATTTTAATATATCGTAAGTTTCGTACTTAATTTGTTAATACAAAGATCAGTGGTAACACTGCGCATGTCTATTACATTTGCCGGGTTGGCGGGAAAATCCTGAAGGACGGCGTTTACAGAGCAAAATGGTGTCGGAGGAGACGTTAATTTCGTGCTTCTGTAATTTGGGTTGTGATGTTCCTGATCAATCTGTTGTCGATAGATGTAAGTTATTTAATTATTTTGTTAAATCATCTATTCATCGTATTACATTATTAATAGTGTGATTTTGTATGCGATTAGCCTTATCGGAAGTGTTAATTAAGAGATCCAACGACAAGTAAAAGTTAAAATAAGCTGCAAAAAAGTAGTACATGTTAAGTGTGCTCAGTAATTTATGTCACTCTTTATTCCGTTATGTACATTTTTAAAATGCAATGTACTTAAAAAGTATTAAAAGCAGTTAACTACATCATATAACCTTATATCTAAAGAACAATTTCTATCATAGCATGTTGTCAAGTTATTTAAGTATTAAATTTCATGTATAATCTTAATCCTTTGTAAAATGTAATTGTATATTTATGATTCAGTACAACCATTTTAATATATATGTATATATATTATATATTAAATACTCGTAACTGAGTATGCATTCCAATTTCAATTAGACAGATATATTTTCAATTAGGTCTTCAGCTTTGTCATAATTATGACATCGATGAAGAAACATTTGTTGAATTATGGGTAGCATATAGTGTTCCAAGATCTTTGAATATTGATCCAACACTACATGATCTTGATAAAATGGAACATGAAGAATTACAAAAAAATAAAAAAGATTCTATTGAAAGTGTCGCACATACAGCATCAAATATAGAAATTGATGTGCAAACAAATGAAGAAATCATGTATCCTTTCATATATTACAAGTGAAAACACTAACATTTCATTTCTTATTATCGCTACATACTTTTCTTACATGTAATTGTTTATATTATTATAACAGTAATAATGTGTTAGACATATATAGCACTGGTCAATCTTCATCATCAAGGGTAAGTTTCTATTTTACTTCTAAATTTTTTATCACATTCTAACACATCATCAAAATAATAAATTCTTTTTTATATCTTAATATAAACCAAATTTTTTGTCATACAATAGTTTCTAGTACATTAGATGTTAACATGTTTGAATTATATTTCACCAAGAAATGCTTAAGTAATATTTGGTATTTGTTGATGGTAAAAACAATAGGGAAAATAATTTAACGATTTTAAGTAATAATTATATTTAAACATATTTCGCTAATATTTCGTCATGAGTGTTTACTAAATTTAATTCACTGTAATGTTTCGTATTTTGGTCTATGCAGACCTATTGTTAAACTTCGAACGGGATATTTTGATGATTTCAAAAGCTGCCTGTTCCCCTTATTTCCTTTTACAAGAGGGAAAGGTCTCCACCCCTGTAATGGCCTTCCAACATTGTTGCCAGATTTATGAAACTACTCGTTCTGGATGAATAGTACTCAATTACGTAGGATCCAATTTTGCTACAAGACTATTAATAATTTATAAATAGTTCATTTAATCATCTGTATAGATGTTCATTTTTATTGCATAAAACAGATTATTTAACTTAAACGTTTACGTCGTGCATCGTAAATTCAACGATCAATAGTTTTTATGACAAAAAAAACATTTTCGAACATGATATAATTTCGTTTTTATGTTTAACAATTATCTCTTCGATTTTTTAAGTTCATAATAATAGAACATATAATTTTTACTAACAAAAGCATATTAACAAAATTTCTTACATACCATTACTTGTACATGCGTGTTTAAATAGAAACATACTTATAAAAAAGATAGAGAAAATTGTTAATGATTTATGGGCATCAACAAAAATTGTGAAAGTCTTTTAGTTTTCTGGGGCACTGTACAAATTTTAAAGTCGTTGGCAGAAGGATACGTTTTATCTGGAACCTCAACCTTGGCATTGCAATGATTTACTCGCTTTGGCAACACTGCTTCACATTCTTCATGGTCGATCTATGGTCTATAGTAGTAATGACGTAAGATTTCTACCTGTGCATCTAATTCTTTGTAGAACATCTAGCTTTCTGTGTAATGAAATAGTAGGTAGAACGGAAGGAACATTTTTTAGTGCTATTTTGTCTCGTCGATAAAATAAATTATTCAACCACATTGACGATTCTGTTTTGTTAACCGTGACCGTGAGATCAAGTTTACGGTATACACGACCGAAAATAATTCTCAACATAATTTTGTTAGCTTCGAAAGAAAGTAAAATACTTTGTTACTCGCTTTAGTATCTTTAAATTATATTCTACTACAGTTCGTACCGTTTATTAATAAAATCACTAATTCTTTTATAAACAGCTATGTCACACAACATCATTGATTAATTACAATGGAAAAATTGTTTCAAGAATTTTTTAATTGTGCTTATTTCATAGTAATGATATTTCGTTTACTCTTCGAAATATATTATTTTAACTACATCCCGTAACTAAATTCCAAAATATGTTCTACAAGGTATAACGTCATTAATAATGTAATTTGATAGTTTTTTTTTACACGAAATCCTAAATTTATCATTCTTTATCCATTAATATTTCTCTGTCTGACTTATCTAGTATTTATTGATTAATCTCTTTTGTATGGTATACAATTTTTTTGTCGTAAATCATTAATACTAACAGTTTCAATATAATATCGATAAATATTCAGCATGTATCGGAAAGCTAAGTATTGTGTTGTATCTCGCCAAGCTTACTATGGCCGTTGAACGTTTACGGTACGAGTGAAATTTCCGACGCGATTCCGAGGCAGGTGGCTTCTTATCCCGAAGCAAAGCGTCGTTGTAGGATCTTGTCGAGGCACCGTAATTCCCGCCACAAAAATCGTCCAGGTAGATCGCCGCCATTATCCCCTCCTCGCTCTTTCTCGGTCTCCCACAAAGGACACTCTCTCGTGGAGGGGGATAGTCGGATATGTTCTTATTGGTGGAAAAAAGACAACGTTCCCCTTGGGAATCGTGAAGAGAGGGGTTCTCCTTCCATCCAAGAGAGCTGACCAGATTTCTTCAAAGGGTACGATTTCAGTTTTCAAGGACCCAGACTCCATTATCATCCTGATGCGCGCGTGCGCACATTTAAGATATTTTCGACCGAAGCGTTGTTCTCTTCGCGTATTTCTATTCAGTTTAACGAATTATTTAAAAATTCATGGAGCAACTGTTCGTAGAACGACAATTTTATTTTATGGAGTTAATTATTTACCTGAACTTTTAAAGAAATCGTTACATGTGTTCGAATATCTCGATGGCGTCGAATCGACGACGCCACAGACTGTCAGCGCGTCACGCGGATTTGGAGTATATCGTCGAGTGGTTCGCCGGTTCATTGTGGAGTTTGCTCTCGTCCGTGCAACTTGAAAACTGTGATATTATACTGTTTTGATCGTAGCGAATAATTGGTGCGGAACGGTATATTACAACAGAGAGAAGTGTACGGGGTAGTGTGTTACATCTTGAAAAGGTCGATCGAAGCGTCGGCCATCATGGAATTCGGTTTGAGTGAATTTCATACTCGAAAGTCATTCCGCCAATCGTACAGCGCCTCGCGTCACAGCGACCTGTTGCTACTGCTACTGGTTGTATTACCGCTATATTACTATTGTTCGCGTTTCGATTACATTCGTTTCTTTTTGTTTCTCAGATCGGTATAATAAAATGTAGTAGTACGTATATTGTGTGAACTCGTATCAGATCTAGCTCGTAGAAACAGAATGTACCACGCTGCGGGTAAAGTTGACTCTTTTCAGTCTCTTTTTTTTTTTTTTCTTACGATCGAGTAGATGCCGTCTTAAACGTATTGTCGAATTGTGGAAATATATGCATAAGCGTCAGAAAACTTCACGGATAACTCTACAGTCTCTTGTGCACATGTTTGCACATGCATCCGTGTGTGAGTGAAAATAGTATTGTGTGCGTGAACGAGGAGAAAGAAGCTCAGTCGCATTTGTCTCTCTGTGTATGCGCCCGCGTAAATGTCGTCGACCGTTGTTTCGTCCGAGTCCTGAGCGTCGCGTCGCTACAACCTGTTGCTTCAACCGTGTCGCGTGCTTCTTTCGAGATTTTTCACGCAAAGATTGTTCCTTTGATTACTGAATTAGTTGAATAGAGTACGCAATAAACTCTCAATATTGATATTTTTCTATTTGTTCGAGCTACATAAAGTTGCAGACTGGTAATATTTTATTCGCATAGGACACCTATATCGATACAAACGTACGTCTGTGTCTATCCTCTGTCCTGTGCCCCTGAATTTGCTGCGTGTGTACATGTTACTCTGTTCGTATACGATACGGTCTTTTGAGGCTTCACACAGTGTTTGGTAATCAAGAATTTTTTTCGCATTATGGTTTATTTCACGTTACTTGACAAGCGTGTAGGAGATTTCGTATACTTAAAACAATCACTGAAATTATTTCCATCGGATAGTACCTGAGAAGAAGTATTTTTTGATTCAGGTATATCCTAGTATCATTGCGTTCTCGAAATACATAGCTATTAAACGATTGAAGTTTATTTTTTGAAATTATCGTGTACAATATCAATTATCCTTTCAGTAGCACAGTGCGCAACTAACTGCAATATTCCATGAATAGTCAGTTTCTAAACTGTTAAATACTGTAAAATAGTATTCCCGTAATGTATATTTATTGTTTTAAATTTATAAAACCTTTGAATTTTTTAAGTCCGTTTAAGACTCGGTCGGGAAGATCGGTTCCTTAGGGAGTTGTTCACGACTACCAATTAACTACAATTGACCAACAACGACAGTCCCATCTCTTTCCTCAGTATGTTTGCTTTAACTTCTCACTCCTCATCGTTGTTGTACACGTTATGCGAGAAATTCGAGAAGTTTACTTGAAAAAGAAAAAATATAGTAATCGATTCTGGCGTTGAAAAGTGATTCAAATTCCAACGGATGATTTCCGTTGCTGGTTACAACTGTAGCTGGTAGAAGCTTTGCATTATTTCCCACGGTATCTTTGTGAACAGTGGGGCGAAAGATTGCCAGGGGCGGCTAGTTTGTGGAGAGAGAGAGAGAGAAAGAGAGAGAGGGGGGGGGGAAATAGTCTTCTCGGGTCGGTGTGTTATTTGTCGGGAAAGAGGGGGAAAGGGAACAGAGAGCTAGCTCGCGGTGATCGACCTAAAGTTTTACATGATCTGGTACAGCAAGTATCGTTCCAACGATATATATCCCTAACGTTCTGGTCTGTTTTTGAGCGAGAGGTGTTACTTATGTAACATATGATACCGCGAGTATAGTTGCTAATATGTTTTTTTCGATACGAAGCTACATCCATTGGAATCAGTAATACTCAAATAAATTTGAAATTGAAGAAGAAACTTGATCATTATTGTCAAAGAAAGTTATTTTTAATTCAATGTAATAGTATTGAACGCGAATTACAAGAAATATTCCGAACATAATTGAAAGAATAGGTAATAAAGCGAGCACCGAGAACGGTCAGGTTAACAAGAGTTAACCCATCTCGTTGCGATGAACTCTTGAACGTAAGCCACCATAACTATTTATATTTCCCCATTGAAGCGTTATTAATTCAAGATCTTTCCTGCATATATTTGAGGTTTTTATTTTCTAAAATTGTAGCAGTGATCGAAGGTAACAAAACAAGAAAAATGAAGAGAACAGGACACACAAATTTCCTGAATGTACTAAATGAGTGAAGGTCTAGTGCACAGATGATCGAATTGTGACTAGATCCACACTCATTAAGCACGTTTAGGGTCAAGCATCGCCGCTTCACAGATGAACGTAAAGAAATCGTTTCATTTGAAATTTTTCATGCGTTGCGAAACTTTTTGTATAAACCGAGGACAATGCGAAACAGATGATTCCATAGACGAGTATGAATGTGGTGCACGTTTTATTTATTTCGTGACTAGATACATACTCGTCTACGGTGGTCTGTTTTTCTCTCGGCATATTGTACACCAAAAGTTTCCATGATTTTTCATTTTCAGCAGAATTCCTTTTGTTAATGTTACATTAGTGTATTTTATATTTTGTGTCTCTTTGTTTTCAAGCAAATTAAAAGAGGAAGAAGTCCAACATTAGAAACAGAAAACGACAATAAAATACGAGCAGTGGACCAAACATTTTCACCATCAACCTATACTTCGAAAATGTAAGCACAGCTCATTAATTAGAAGTATGAGGGTGATTCAATTTTCAGAATTTTCAGTGGCAATGAAATGTAATTGAACTTTTTATAATCGTTGTTACAGAAACGTACCCAATCGCGCTCCAAGCATTAATGTTAGAGGTAGAATTCTCTTGTACTTTGGTCCAGATGTACAGTCTTGGAGGAAGCAGGGTGAGTACGATGTATTGGTCGGGAAAATGGATCTTCATGTACCCAAAGATGCGGTGTACATGTATGAAATGTTATCCAAACAAGGGGCCGCTCTTAATGACAATTGTGAGAGTTTTGGCGAGCGACTCTGCCATATTTGGAACGAAATGGGAACTACTAATTCGAATGTACGTTACGTGAGAAATGTGATGTCCGTAAGCCAAGTGGCGTTTAGGACATGGGGCAGAATATCAACCACAATCGATAAATCAGCTGGTAGTAAAGTCGTTATGCTGGAAGGTTGCAGACGATCTAAAGGTGATAACAATGCACCTATCGTCCGGTTGGATCTCGGTGGAATAAAACGTTATTCAGTTTTCCCGGGACAAATAGTTGCGGTTGAAGGTACTAACACCGTGGGCAATTATCTATTGGCAAAAGAGTTGTTTGTAAAGGGCTATGCCCCGATTGCTGAAACACCAAATTTAACAAGGGACTTGAAAGTATACGTTGCGGTTGGACCATTCACACCGTCCGACAATTTAAATTATCAGCCGTTATGGGATTTAATGGAACGTGTCGCGGAAGAAGAACCAAATGTGTTGATATTAATTGGACCCTTTATCGAATACACGCATCCTCAAATTAAAAACTGTACCTTGAAAGATACGTACCAGGAATTTTTCGATAAAATTTTATCCAAAGTCATGCAATGCTTGCAAGGGTACATAACTTGTTATCGAACATCGTGTTAATACCTTTTGATTTTTGTTTACCATTATTCTGTACATTTAGGAAATGTACGCGGGTTGTATTAGTACCTTCTAATCGTGACATCCATCATGAAGCGGTTTTTCCAACCCCAGAGTTTGCCATTTATACGAATAAAATTGGATCAAACTCATCGAATCTGTATACCATGCCGGATCCGTGTGTAGTAAACGTGGAAGGTCTGCAGATAGGGGTTACTTCGGTTGATATTGTCAGACATCTGGGACAACAAGAAGTTTCGTAAGTGTAATATTGTATAGTTTAGATGACGCAATCAAACTTTTAATGTAACGGACAACATTTTAGGAATACGCCTGGCATGGATAGACTCGGTCGTCTAGCCGATCATGTATTGTCGCAAGCTACATTTTACCCTTTATATCCACCGTTCATGGGTTTGAATCTCGATACAACACTTTGGAAAAAGTATGCTTGTTTTGAACGTCAACCACACATAATAATTTTACCCTCCGATATTAAACATTACTGTAAAGTAGTCAACGAATGTCTCGTTTTAAATCCGGAACGACTGCAGAAATATATCTACGCCAAACTGTGCATACGACCGAACGCTAGTGGAAAATGGAATCCAAACAATATATCTTGCGAAATTGCAAAAGTTTAAGGATACGTTATAGTTATTTTCTTTCGCTTTTATAGTTTTCAGCAGAGTGTATCTTTTGTACATTGAAATACAAGAGTTAAATTTCCGGTATTATTAACCTTTATTGAGAAGTGGTATGGTGTTAATAAAAAAACGTTATAAAGCTTATGGTTTGTAATCTTTGATAGTTTTAGAATTCTTGTATTTATTTCATTTCTCTAGTCTCATTCTGAAAGTCTTAAAAATTATAACGGGCTGAGAGTAAGTTGTTTTTCCGTTAGAGGTTAGCACTGACTGCATGTGTGGGATGTAATTTTTATCTGTGCACATAAACGTGTGATGGCGCCACAAGCACAACAATCGGAACATCGAATTTTCTGCTTCTAGTGAGCGTGGAGTCAGCCATTGCTACAATATTTTTCTCGTGTACGAAAATCTATAAACGTCGATGGAGATACGTGAACGATCACATATTACAAGGTAAGTTTTGGAATCTGTTTTTACGTTCGTTCATCTTCTTCTGGAAGTGTGTGTAGATGTAGTAAGCATCGACAATCTGCCAAATTTTGTTCCGCCATCTTTGTTACATTCGTTTACATGTCGCTGTGTATACTGTACGTTTTGCTACCGTTTAATGTGCCGTGTTTTGTTTAAAAATTTTGTCCGATTGTCGTTATGGAGTGTATAATACGAATCTTTTTGGTCTCCTTTTGATTCTTGATTTCGAAATTAGCTGCTGGGTTTCACAACAAGGTTGTTATGGCTTTGGTTTTTTTCATCCAAAAAAACGCGAGTTATGAAATCGAATGTGTGACTATAAATGAGAATTTAAGGTTTTATGTTTACCATGTATTTTATCATTTGTGAATTGATGTATCAATATTTAATGACACAATAAGTTGAGTGATAGGCTTTAACTATTGAATCGATTTATAAGTGAATATGAAATTAATATTAGAAAATAGTTGATATACGTTAAGTGCAAAACATATGGTTCAAGATCCGTTTATACATTCCTGACGTAAATTGTAACACTATTTTGCAACATACATATTATCTCTTACTTCTATTTAATTTCACCGGCTGTTGTAATGACTTAAGTGCATTGCATACAAACAATTATATCAATTTGAAATTTTTAAGTCTCTAACACTGGTGACACCACTACATTTGATCCTTAAATATGTATTGGATTTTTTTACTCTAAATTTAAATAAACACGTAAATTTTAATACCTCCCACAATACCGACGCATGTAATTATAAATTTCTTTATTACCGACACTCTGCTTTTCATTTTGGAGCACACATAGTTATCATGAAACTTTCGTCTGTGATGATACATGCATCGAATGTATACTTCAACTGTATACGTTTGACGAAACATGTACAAAAAAAAAATAAAAGTTACTTTGAAGAAACTTCTAGGGCTCCTACAACTGGGTATTCTAAAGTGTAGTACAGTTTGAGAATGTCTGGAATATATCAAAGTTCTCTTAAGGAAATGTGTCAGGCTAGGTATACAGTGTGCTCGTAAATGAAACACGAATAGGCATATCGAGAAAGTGAGAGTGTTTACCATGTCGATCTATTTAGTTTGCAATCTGCTTACATGAGTTATCGTTGCCCTTTTACAGGCTGTTTCAGGCCCATAAGTTCTTTTACCCTTTTTTACGGATCACAATTTGTTTTAAGAAATAAGTCTTTTCTCTAAACAAAATAGCTAGTCGGCGAGTTATTCAAACATTTGACGTTTTGTATGTATCTCTCTTTTGATCTCAACGTTTGTTTTGCGTATCAAGTGTTTCAGAAAATATCGAAAATACGCAACACAATGTTATGTAATGGTTCTCCCAGCGGATAATCCATTCGAAAACAATCGTCGAACAATAAGTGCGATAGTAATGTTGTTGTACAGGTTTGTATATTACACTCGTAATGAATACGTATTATTCGATTCAGACCCATCTTTGAAATTGAAATGATTCACTATAACCGGCCTGTTGCGTTTATTATTCACGTTGCTTTTCATTCACGTTTAATTTCATTCAAACCCTTTACCTATCTGGCAAAAACAATTGTGTAAGCTCCAAGTGATTCTACATGCTTTTGAGTAAAGTGAAAGGAATGGAAAGGTTGATTTTTCGTTTAGCGTCATAACTTCAGTCAGTAATGTCATTCTGTTGAATAACTTGTACTAAAGTAAAGACATTTCGGGTGGGAGTTATATTTTTTTTATTTCTACGAAGAAATTACGTTCAACGAGACCCGTTAAAAACTGTATAGCGTTGTATTCGATGTGTGGTTATGTTGGAGATTGGTATGGTCAGTTTGGTGCGTTGGTAGATGAAATCGCCGGTGTCTACGCTGGTGGGCTGTTTTGGGCGTGCGACGACTGTGTGCAAAAACGGCGGCAGTCAAGTTCAAGGCCACCGGCTATCTCTCCTTCCCCTTCGCATCGACGGCTGACTAGCCACCGCCGCCGCCTCCTCCTCCAGTGCCACCGCCGCCGCCGCCGCGACACTACCACCACCGTCACTGCTCCTACCATCGTAGCCACCGCCCCCGTCTCTCACCCACACACCCCACCATTCTGATGTACACATAGCACGCATATCGCCAGTAGCGTATCAACGCAGAGCCGAGTACTGGACAACCATGCCGAGTACAGGGAAAGGGAGTGTTTTGGGGCTCGATCGATCTACCTGCCTTTGAAAATTCAGTTCCTTCAATTTGCCCGCGTAATTTTACTTCCTGTTTCTATATGAGTATCCTGGAGACCATGCCTAATCATTGTGTTACTAATTCAACCAATTTGTTGTTTGTACGACTCGAAGAGTAATTGAAAACCACTTTGAAACGTTTCAGAGTGACTCGAGAGTACAGAGTTAATGACCGATTGTTCATGACCACGATGTTCCAACGATATTTTGTAATTAGTCGCGATGAAATAGTAACAGCTGTGCTCAGATTAGAGTGATCGATGATTTAATCGTTGATAAGCACGGTAAGATCTAATATCGACACTTTAGAAATGCATCGCGTTTTTCATACGATATTTCGATCCAGCGGTAACGTAGCGTTCGAGAAGAGAGAAATTCTGAAAACTTTCACAAGCGATCCTTAAATAAAGGATTTCATGGTAAATGTTCATTCGTGAGTTTTTCGTTCATTCTTCAAATGTTTTACTCTAATTTCAGTTTATCGCAAAGTATTACAAGGGGTCTTTGTATTTTGTATTTCCGATAAGGTAATTAGTGAAATAAAAGTGTTTCGCGGATTTGCAGTAGGCAGTGTTAAGATCGGCTGGCACCGCGTATTGCCGTATCCTCGGCGTATCGGCCGTCAGTCGCGTACGGCTCGTCGCACCGTGAACGGCGTGTAGGAAGTGGTGTGTACATACGCGTGTGCGCGCGCGTGTCTACCCGCGTTACCCACTTGTACTCTGGGATTCTTAAGAGTTCGGGATCGTTTCCGCTTTTCGTAGTGGAAAAGTGCGAGGAACAATAACGCGGCGACCTCGTGCCATTGAGAAATCAAACGACAGATGCCATGGATGCCTGGATGTACGATGTGGTAAGTGTGGTCGTCACATAACCTCCCTCTTCTGGTCGATCTCGTGGCTTTGTTTACGTGCTGCGCGCGCGCGTTCTCCGTCTCTTTCCATTTTTAATCCGCCTCGATCGAATTTCCATAAGAATTTTTTACAATTTCGAACAAAATATCTGTTTAACGTGAAAAAGTTATTTCTGGAGTTCGCTGTCACGCGTATCTAAACACAAGAGATGTATTTTGCACCGTATCAGCTAGCTTCTCCTTCGAACGAATGCGTCTAGAAAGATTTGTTTTTATGTATATCGTGAAATTCTTTCGGTTTTCAAGTTCCCGATGTGCACGAATTCTGACAGTTTCGCACGTACATTTCGTCGATTAAGTACACCTGCGCTGCTGTAAGCTCGAGGCTCGTTTGTTTTCCGATCGTATTGGAATATATATTATCTTTGTTCGCCTATCGTCAGTCAGCTTTAGCGACAACTCGGTTATTACGTTACGACGTGTCTGTTAGGTAATCTATCGTCTGGCTCGCCGATCGTTTTTTCCAGGCCTGTTCATTTTTAATATTGCCGACGACTCGATTTTGAAATCTATGTCTTCGTATGAAGTTATTTTGCCACCCGTAAACTAGTAAAATTGATCGATTAAGTGTAGCGGACACGACTATGTACGTTTCACAACCTGTACCTTAAAATGCGAGGGTATAGGCTAGAAGCTGAAATATTTTGCACGCATGAGACACACGAATACCGAGATGAAAAACTTGTTTGTTTTGATGACTGTCAGCAGCTACCTACACGGACGACTCGAGCCATGAGACTTTTACAAATACTTCTTTTGACACTGTTCTCGCAGCATAGTCGGTCCCTGCAGAATTTATTAAATTTTTCAATCGTTTATTACCAAATGTAGGAGATCCTTACGGGAAATACGGTTCATTTGCAGCGACTGGATACAACGGCTTCGGCATTGATTAATTTGCCGTTAAACAATTGTGTACTGGAATGCAAAACGGTTATCTGTGCTCCATGTGTAATAATTTTGATTATTTTGCGAGAGTTGACTTTTGCACACGGCGATACATATACGATTGTCCACGATAACGAATATAATAATAATTTTACGTGGGACTTCAGATTTCCTTGATTGTTCAACATTTCTCAAATTCTTTATCGTCATTTTTTCGATTCAGTGATCATCAGCAATACCAATTAATCTTAACATTAATATATCTGCGTATTCAGTACGCTCGTAGGGTATGTACGTTTTTTTCTTTTCTTTTTTTGGAGTAATGAGTATTCATTAGTTATTCGGGTAGGGGTAACGATAATCGTGCGATAGCGTATTTCATGGCCTGTGTGCATGGTGTCTGACCGGTTGAACGCATTAGAGCGTTCTCACAAACACCTACACCCACGCGACTCTTCTCTTACGCAATTCCACGTGCGTAAGACATAGAGTAACGTGGAATTTCATCTGGTTCTGACTTTATTCAATGCCATTCGTGTATCGGAGACCCTCATTGACACGGTCTTGAACTCCATCGATGTCAATGTCGATAATACGATTTCTCCTGCGGGAATAAATGTTGGTCAGTTTTATCGTCTCCGGCCTTGTGATTGATAACCGCACGAAACATGAAGTACCGCTAGAGCACACGAAATTTAGGAATCGAACGGAACGGGGTTAGGTGGTAGCTTTGACACTGCAACGGAAATAAAATGCTGGATTTTGATGGGGAGGCTTCCCAGAGGAGAAAGACCGGCCGTCGGAAAGATGATAAAAAAAATATTCGTCGCGTGGATGCGTCAGACCGATATTTTCGGACCCTTGACTTACCTTGAGATAGAGAAGCTTTCAAATCGCTTCGAGTCGAAGGCTCGACCTCCGTTTAACCACGGATACTTGGACCTTTATGGATTCCCATTTACGATGGCGGAGATGAATTTATTTTCGCGACTAACACGCCTCTCTTTCGAGCTATTTTCGTCGCTAAAAATGTTGGAATCATTTTGGTGCTCCGTTACGAATATTTCGAACATAATAATCAGAAATATCTTTGGGATGAGCTAGAAATTGCAAATGTTAAGCACCAGATTTGTTATTGTTGATTCGTCTGTTTTTTTTTTTGGAAATTACGTCAGAAAGAAAGTAAAAAGGAGTTCGCAGCAGATGATGATCCGACACTTTTGAATGGTGGTGTAAAAAAAAAAAAAGCGTCGATCGACTTCTTATCTAATGATGAACACGGCGGGGCGCCTGCCGATAGGCCAGCACGATCGTCGATTGGTCGCGCTGTGTCGGTGTGCGTCTGGTTTTGCGAGATCTCACACTGGGTAATCATCGGCTTTCGGAACCTTGTCCCGTAGTGGGGGAGCGAAGTTTGAGGCTACGAAACACGTCGGTGACGTCATCCAAAAGTCGGGCTGGTCCTAACCTTGGACAATGCACGAAACAGCCCATAATCTCTTACGTGAGATTTTTGTTTCGCAAACCTATACATACGTATCTCGTGTGGATTATTTCTTGTTTTTTATCGTATTAATTAACCGTGGTGGTTAATAACGCCAATTCGTTATCAGAAAAAAATATTTTGTATTTTCACAAAGAGACCAGATAAAGAGGAAGAGAAATTATTAGTCCGAATTAGCCGATAGTTGCGACGTTATTATTGCACTTTCTTGTTTGCGGTGAAAACTGAGAGCGTATTTGTTACCGAAGATCTGGCCTTGACCGCGACCCAGGGTCTTCATCCTCGGGGAATCGATTCGTTCTCTGAACTTCTAATTTTGTAACCGCCTACGCGTGTTCGTGTAATATTCCAACTTCAGGGCGATTGTAATAATTCAGGGTCACGACGTCGATCGACTTGTTGCGAAAGTGTCGTGTGGCTACCGCGTAACCAGCCGCGATGTTCTCCTTTCTTTTTTTTATCGCGAATTAATCCGAAGGAAGTAAACACACGTCGTAACACGTAAGAAAACACGACGTCGTCGGTGTTCGGTTCTCGATGGTGTGGTAGCCTCCTTCGATTTCGCGTTGGTGCTTGCGAGTGATCGGGATAAGAGTTGCGTAACTCGAAACGGAATCAGTGAAAGTATATTGGTTCACTCGATTTTGGTCATGATTTGGGTGCACCAATATACATACGTTGTCAGTGCATGAAATATTATATGTACATATAGCTCTGGTGGAATTTCTTCATCGTTCGAGTTAGAAAGAAGCTAACCTAATTTAATTGATTTTTCGCAATTTCGATCGCACACGCTTTTTTCCCGCGAATTTTCCTTGCGTTCATTTGTACACGTATCTATTGCTTATGTCCGAGGTAAAGCGAACGTTTCCCAGTTCATGCGAAACTCGAAGCGATCATCGGTGTCGTCTTTTTTATCGAAGACACCCCGGGACGAGTCTAATTTCCAATAAGGACTCGCGATCGAGCGGCCACCAGTTAAAATAAAGTAACCGCTGCGAGCAAGCGGCTGTTTCTTTTTCTTTACCTCGCTTGTGCCGGCCAGACTTTTTTTCTTGCTTACATAATCGACCTGTTTAAAAAGAGGTTGGACGAGTCTCGCGCGCGCACCTTGAGATTTTCGATGTCACATAGGTAGCGCAGATTCGACTCGAAGGGGAACCCGTCCGCAGTAGGAAGCGCCTATAAGCTTCCGCCACGTCAGAATTGCATTTCCCTTTCTCGATACTTCATTCTACTAGACTCACGTAAACGAGACGCTTTTTCTTGAAGTTTGAATTCTTCACATAGGTTAATGTGTGGTCGATTCGAAAGAGGGAATTTCCTGTTGACGCAACGGGGCCGTTGCAATTTAGTGAAAAAAAAAGATCGAGGAAAGAAATGTTTACTCTGAACGACCACAACCTTTAAAATTTTAATGTCAATGGAAGAGAGAATGCGAAGAACACAAGACGGGTCTGGATACGTTGTGCGGGCTTAAAGTGGACCGTTGCACGCAACGAACCGCGAACACCACACTGGTTCTGAAAAAGTAGTGCGAACGGGGGATGCTAGCAGAAGGAGCTGCCACGTCCAACATCGTTTAAATAATGTAATATATGGAATCGTTATGAGAAGACACGCTCGATTCGTCATTAAGCCGTGATATCGCGATGGAACTATAATTACGGGTGCAATCAATATTTGGGTCACGGCCTCCTCTAAAACCGGACGCCTGATCACGGGCACGCTTTTTTTTCGGAGCAATGCGCGCGCGAGTGATCACGAAACCACCACGAAAACCTTATTCGACACAGCGCGGCGTGGTACGGCGACCTTGATTCGCTGACGAATTGTATGCAGAGGTCGCTCGCGCTGTGCTAAATAATACAGTCAACGATTTCGCGGCAACTTTCAAGGCATGCGGGTCTTACGGATTCAGCGATTCAAGGATCGATATCGTTGGATCTCGCGATCCCGCTGGATCCTGTGTAATAACGTTGCGGTTAAAAGGGAAACTGAGCGAATTCCGCTCGATCCCTCAGGATTTACGCTACGGTTCCTCGTGCAGGACTGTCAAAAGCTGTGGACGATGCGAAATAGGGAATGCGTGAACCGACGCGACGCGGAGTAACTGAACACGAGGAAGCTGAAACAAAGGAAGATGGATGGAACGAACGATAGAGACCGAGACAGCGTGTGTGTCTGCTGCGGTGTCGAAGCGGGAAGGGTGTACCGTTGTGCGACAGAGAAAGAAAATCAGAAACGGAGCAAGATAGGAGTCGTTGGGAGGGACTCAAGGTCGCCGTAGTCGGCTGTTTCCGTCAGAGTTCGGCCGCTAAAATTGTATTGGCGCGTTCTGCGGCCTTCACGAACGCGGCCGCTTCTCTGTCTCTCTCTCTCTCTCTCCCTCTCTCTCTAGAATACGCGCGCTCTTTCTTTCTTTCTCTCCCTCTAGCTAGCAGAAAAGTCAAGTTCAAGGCTAGCCAGATAGCAACGCCGCGATACGTTCCTCTTTCTTTTTCCATTCCACGGCCGTTCCTTCCGTCTGGGTTTCGGTAACTGCTTAATCGAACGGGGATAGGTTAGGGGTGAGACAAGGCGGGAAAAACGAGAGTCTGCAAATGGGAGGTGTCTGCTTACGCAATCTCTTCCTTTCTTCGTCGTTTTTAACTTTCATTTTTTTCAGGAGAGACGCATATATCGTTTGCGTGGCTATAGTCTCGTTACCGGGAGAAAGGTGGCGAAAATGACTGGTTATTGTTATCCTTTGATCTCGGTGGAATCAACGGTGTTCATCTTCATGCGCGCGTTCTTATTTCATTAAATTGAACGCGAGAGAACCACGCGCGACCAGACAAATTCAGACAAGTCAATTAGTCAAAGTTTTACTCGCTGTATTGATGGAAGAAGGTGCGTTAACGCGACAGGACGCGGACTTTAATAAAATCGATACACGCGTGGTGTGTTCGCCTTCTCTAGGTGGCGACTTTCGCCATTATTCTTCTCGGTAAATGATTGTGCCGTCGTTTCACGCGGAATTACAATGAAACGAGTGGCGATATCGTTTTCGAATATGATCAGTACCGGCGCAAAAACAGTTGTCCGTTTGTGACGAAAGATCAGTTCTTTTCCGGCTACCGTATGTAAATCTATATATCTCTCTCTCTGCAACTACCTTTCGTATTACTCGTAGACGATTACAACTGCATCCCGCAGAAAAGTCAGGTTCAAGGCTAACCAGATACTTCGCGCTCCTTCCTCTTCCTCTCGCCTCCTCGCCTCCTGCCTCTATCTACGTGCATTTAATATACGCCATCGGGAGGAGAGAAGAGGACGGGAGAGGAACAAGCTTACGCAATCCTTTCACCGTTACTTTGTTCGCCGTCACCCTACCTATCCGTTCGTTTAAGGACGTTTCTCGCGAGGATCTCTCCTTCGGCTCACGGCCCTACTCTGTTCGAGAACCAATCGATCCAGGACTCGCCAATGGTAGAATTTTTGCGATAATTTCGATCCATTTTATGCTTAAATATTATGAATCATCCTTCGTTCTCGTTTAACTGCCAAACATCGTCTTAATCGCTGCACGCGACTGTCCCATATCATCGTTCGTCTTTCCAGGTTTAAGTTTTTACGGTAAGACTTTTTTTAAAGTATTTTCGCGATTATCTGCGCCTAACGCGCGCGCCTCCATATTCCACGAACATCGACAGCCTGGACCACGTAGCGAGTGTTTTCTGAAGTTGATTCTAAAAATGCTTGTGGCGTTGGTCTCGCTTAAAAATAGCAACGAGAAAAAAGTGCAGCCGACTGCATGGCAGACCGTGTCCTCGGTTTTCGGAACGATACGAGGATATACGAATCCGGCTAGACTCGCGTTTACTGACCGGCGTTTCGTAGAAACACCGAAAGCCCATTCTTTGGACGACATGATCGATTAACAGCAGGATATTTTCTTGATTTTTACAGGTCTGTATGATGTCTGGTGCCGGTGCCGAAAATATGATCGGTAACAACCGGACGATGGCGAACATCAAGCAAGAAATTGACAATCCCACAACGCCCACGCAGAACTATCAAGTCTGTTCACCGACTACGACTCTTCAACATCAAGAGGTATTTATATAGATTTTACAATCGATCGAACGTAATGTCGAAATGTATAGCTATATATATATACGACATATACGATCAAATGGTACTTCGACGGATTTTCAAGGAAAATTCAATTTATACTTCAGGTAATCTGTAGCAAGATTGAAGTGTCGGCCGATTATGGAGGAGGTGGGGCAAGTCCTGGAAGTCCGGAAATGCATCATTGTTCGTCGACGACGCAGCCCTTAGGAACACCCGAGGTATATGTGTTTCCAATTATCGTAGGAGCTTAAACAATAATCGCCGTGAAATTCTTATAGTTTTAAAGCTAGAACGAATATTTCTTTTGAGTTAGGGTGTCAAGGAGGAAGATATGATACCTAGAAGGCTTTGCTTGGTGTGCGGCGATGTGGCTAGCGGATTTCATTATGGGGTCGCATCTTGCGAAGCGTGCAAAGCCTTCTTCAAGAGAACTATACAAGGTAAGGAGAGCTCCTTCGTGTTTATAAATATTTTTCTTTTGAACCGTTTTCCAGGTAGCACCACTCAATTAATTATAATTACCCGACGTCTCGATTCACCTATGCAACACTCCAGCGTTTTTATTCACGACGTTGCCATGCTAAAAGTTGTTGAATAAGTTAATTTTAAAGCTACCTTACAACTTTTTTGATCAATAGTGCTTGTTGAATCAGGAACGTCTTTTCCATTGATAAATTGTATAAGATCGGAACATGTTTGTTCGACAACCTGAGGATGTGTGTCGCTGTTCGTACAACTGTCTTTGGTGCTACCTGGACGAGGACCACGTATATTACGATAAAATAGCGAGTAATTTCACAGGTAATATCGAGTATACCTGTCCGGCGAACGGCGAGTGCGAAATAAACAAGCGCAGGAGGAAAGCATGTCAAGCGTGCAGATTTCAGAAGTGCCTTCGACAAGGCATTCCCTACACGCCGATCAAGACGGCTCCGTTGGAAGGTGATGCTTTTTAATAATTGTCATACTTACGAGAGTATCTCATTTCTTTGTTATCTTAATACATTCATATAGAATACGAGTGAACTACATCACGGTAGATAAAATTAAATCTGAATTTTTTATTGTTTCTAGCAAACATAGGAACAGGAACTTCTAACGAAATAATAAGTAAGCTGTCGGCTTCTTTGAATTTGCTTTATTGGATGGTCAGACCGCGAATTTGTTAGTCGTGTCATAAAATTGTTCGATTTAACGCGTTTCTCAATATTCATGTCCAAATATGACGAAATCAAAACGATAAATGGTTTTATCTGTTGGTAGATAATAAAATGTTGGAAGCTCTGGCCGCTTGCGAACCCGACATGTTGCAAGTCTCTAATCTCTCTCATACCCTTGATACGGATCAAAGAATCCTTGGGCAACTGTCGGATTTGTACGATCGAGAATTAGTTGGAATAATTGGTAATACGGTTGTTCACTATACTTCGGTTCTGATTTAAATAATTACTCTGTAATTTATACGTGGTATCGTTGTTTGATAGGTTGGGCGAAACAGATTCCTGGATTCAGTACACTGGCTCTGAACGATCAGATGCGACTATTACAAAGCACGTGGGCAGAGATCTTGACGTTTAGTCTTGCATGGAGGAGTATGCCAAACAACGGTAGATTAAGGTTTGCCCAAGAGTTTACTCTCGATGAGCGACTCGCGCGTGAATGCCATTGCACAGAATTGTACACGCATGTAAGTGCCGTTTCACAACGTTCGTACATGAAATCATACATTAAATTCGGTATAAAAATATAACATATGGTACCTGTTTGTTTTCGTGTAGTGCATTCAGATCGTTGAGAGGCTTCAACGATTGGGATTAACTAGAGAAGAGTATTACATGTTGAAAGCGTTAATACTGGCGAACAGCGACGCCAGGTCCGATGAGCCACAGGCGCTTTATCGTTTTCGAGACACTATCCTGAACTCTCTCTCGGATTGCGTGGCAGCAGTAAGACCTGGGCAAGCGCTCCGTGCTACACAAAACATGTTCCTAGTGTTGCCTAGTCTTAGGCAGGTAGATGGCATTGTTCGGAGATTTTGGTCTAGTGTCTATCGAACGGGAAAAGTACCTATGAACAAGCTGTTCGTAGAAATGTTAGAAGCCGCATATTACCGATGAAGTGCTGAGTCGAACTCAATTAAAAAAAAAATAAAAAAAAAATGAAAAAAAAAAAGAAACATGAACACATGTTAAAAGGACTTTGCAAGAAGCGGTGATCGTTCATCGATGAACGATCAGCGTTCTACTTACAACACTCTGGCAGTGAGTAGGGTACATTTCGTCGTATCCCAATGAGTGTAAGCGATTGACAGTGAGTGACAGTGAGAAAGCAAAGAAAGGAAAAAGGGAGACTGTGCAGTTTTATTCAGTTTCGTTAAGAAGAAAGACTCACGAACAAAAAAGAAACAAAGGGCTTTATTTTTCACGGAATGAATGCGTGGAAGTGTGGAGGTTTGGCCAGTGATTCCAGCAGTCGTTGAAACTAATACGGTAGCGATGAAAACTCTTTCGTGGGAATAACCAAAACTTTCCTTTTCGAGTACCCCTTTTACAGGTACAGAGAAAACTAAAACGAATGTTATTTCAGGATAGGGTACGGTACCTAGTACAAGACGCGAGACGCTTTTTTCCGGAGCTCTCAGTTTAGGATAGTCTATACGAAAATCTGTCGATGGACAGAGCAACCTACCAAATAAAATATATAAAAACGTTTTCATTTACGTGTATTGATCAGAACGATCGTGTGAGACACCGACATACACCGGTGATCATAGAAATCAAATGCAAAATGTAACTAACTGTGGGTGTTTGATGTTACATAGTTGGCATCGTGTTACCAAACGACTACCAGTTCAATCAAAATTATACGCGTAGCCGCGGTTACTTTAGTTACGTCTTTTCTCCGGCGGGGGGGGAAGAAAAACCCGTCAATTTGGAAAATTCGGATCAAAGACGCGAACTCTATATTTTTATTAGTATCCATGAGAAAAGTACGTCTTTTTATATGTCGAGTAACTGCACATTTTACTACTATTGAACCGTGTTGACCGATGTAAGTGTAAATCGATGTATGTATTGTATTGAACATCCATAGTTCTAGTTCAACGAAATGAATGTAGTATGAGCCGTTGTACAAAGTGAACCAATTACGCGAAACAAGAGCTAAGCTGGCCAGTGAACAAGGAAAGGCGAAAGAATGGCTGGATCGTTCTCCATTTAGGGCCATGCTGGTGTTTTGTTTTTTTTTTTCCTTTTTTATGAGATACCATGGAAAAGAATCGTTTCGGAAACGAACCTTTGGCCTGGTTGCCAAGTTCTTAGAAAAGAGCAGAAAAAGAAATCTAATCGATTGTTGAAGTGATTGCGAAAAAAAATGTTATTCGCGCGTGCCACACAGAGAGCGTAGGAGAATATATATATTATATTATTATTATATGTATTCAGGGATCTTTATTATCTAGTTATTACTGTTATCTGAGATCTGTGCTTGGGATCTTGCGCATAATATATCGCTTTTCTCGAAGCGTGAAACAAATTGAAATCGATGAATATCGTTTTGGCAACTGCAACTCACACGCAAAAGGTTTATTTATCTAAATGAAGAGACATGCTTTTATAAACAAATTAAGCGATGTTTTTCTTTGTCATTTTGTTAGCGTTTAATCGCGACAGGGTTCTCGCTGATTCGATCGGTCAGTCTTTTGTTGTTTCGTGGTGGGTAAGTCGGTGTTTAATAAAGAATATAAATTATTTACTGGGAACGTTGTAAATGAATATTTTATTATAATTAATCGTTGAAATTGGGCCGAAATACAAGTGTTTGGCCAACGATCGATCGAAGCGGCCAGAACCACACAATTTCTATATGCGGGAATAGTCATGTAAATGTTTTAGAGTGCAATAATATTAGGACATACGCGATTGGATGTATTTTTCTCTCGATCGATCGATCGCAAAATCCTTTTCAGTTTCCTTTGTTTCTGTACTTCTTCTTCGATTTTTCTAACGTTCGAAACTTTGTTTAATTCTCCCTGCATTTAAATATACGATGCAAAATAGTTGACGTGACACGTCGCGTATTGCGTATCTTTTATTTAGTCAGTGGAGACAATCGTAGATGGAAAAATTTAGAAAAAAAAATCTGACCATCCTTATATTTTTCTCCGATAAATTCGCTAAAAAGTAAACTTGAAACACCGTTCGCGGAAAAGTTTTTGATTTGACTGTTCCATCTGCGCGTGTCGTCGATTTAAGATTTATTTATTTTATGTTACAACATTTAACTTAGCGTTATAAGGTGAGAAAATCATCCTAAACTCGAGGAACTGCAAACGACGACTAAATAAAATCGTGGCAGGTGTACGTTTAAATAAAATTTCGAACGCATCGTGTTAACGTGTCCATTGTTCTAGTTTTTTTTTTCTTCGATGATCATTCAAAATTGATCTTCTCGCGATTGGATTTTCGCGCAAGATACAAATCATCGCATTGAAATGTTACCTACGTTTCGTAAACGGTACCAAAACAGTACACGGTTCGCCTCAATTAATATTTGCTATCGAGTGCAACGCGCAATTAACTAAGAACGGCCAGCGGAGAAGAGAGAAACAGAGGGGGGCGGGGAAAGAAAGTGAAAGAGAGGGAGAGAGAGAAGGCGAGAGTGAGAGAGAGAGAGAGAGAGAGAAAAAAGAAATGTGTTTACTGACAAGAACGTGTCGGTTATCAATTTTTAACGAGCATTTTCTTCGTGTACGTTCATCGATTCGCCGAGGGGGGTAGAATCGTAGTCTCAGGGTTTCAAACAAATAAACAAACAACCAACAAATGATACAAATTTAGACACGTATAAATAGATAAGGCGCGTGAGTATAATTGTGGAGCAAAATATTATAATAGTAATGGTAACGATGATGATGACCACGACGATGACGATGGTAACAATAATGATAAAGAATATTAATATTAATATTAATGAATGATCGTGATGATAATAAAGATAACATGAAATATTAGTCGGTGATTTATTAAATCTTCGGTTTACTGCAAATTGCTTTTCACGTACAGTATGAAAGTGACGAATAACTATTACAGAGAAATCACTTGAGGCGAAAGTGAAGTTATCACTGGGAAGCAATCGTTCTTCAACGACTAATGGTCACTTCCGTTCGAACACGTTCACGTGTCGCACGAATCTGCGAACATTCACGGAGTGCAATGTGCCGATCCAGACGAAATCGAATATACCTACACTGGCTCAGTTGGCGGAGTAATCATGTCGCGTGAGGTGATACCGCGGGTGCACGTCTATTCATTAGCCCTGTTTCTTTCTACATTCTGCAGTAAGTGCCACATTCTCCTTTACAGAAAGAAAATAATTACATAGATACGTGTGCGCCGATAAAGAATTAAAAATGGAACACGGAATTGTCTCGTAGAAGCAAGCTCCATCTCCTCGGTGTTGCCGGCCGATTGTTTGGAGTACGATATTGCCGAGCTCGAGGGCTATCTGTCCGAGTTCCACCTCGAGAACGTGCCGACAATCAATATGATGATTGGTGGGTTTGAATGTCCGCCGACTGCGTTACCCTTTGGTGCCCTGAAGTCCGACTGGGCAAGACTGTTGCTGCTGCAAAAGGCTCTGCCAGACAAGTCAGTCTTACGAGAAAAATTGGGTCGTCTTTTCAGGATTTTGACCATCGCCTATTTTCAAATCGAGGAGCATTTCGACGTTACGAAATCTATCCCTACGACATTCAGCAGGTTAGTATCAAGAAATACAGATTGTTCGACATGAGATAAATTCCCCTCGCGTTGTGAAAACGGTTTTAAACGCGAAGTAATCTTAACGGTGAGTTCGAAACAGTTCCTGTGCAGCCCATCTTCCAGTAATTAGTTGTTTTGTTTTTTTGTTTTATTTCTCTCGATTGATTGTCACGCCAGTCTTTATTCGTTGGTATATTTCGATAGTCTGAACGCTTCGTCTACACAAGAAAGCACCATCAGCACTAACTCGAAGGAAGAAACTAAGAAGAACCTGGTAACCGACTCAAGAGAAACAAATGAAATCTCTGAAAGTTTGGTTTCAACCACCGTCTTCGGCAGCGAAGAATCCTTCGACGGGAGTGGAAACGAACGAACTACCATTACGAGTTGGGATGTAACGGGAAATAGTAGTGAACGTAACAATTCTGGCGGACTGGGTAACAATGCTCTTTCAACTGACGTTGCGTTTTCACCTGTCGGCGTAGAGACAACGTCGACGATCCGTTTGACGAGCGAAGAAGTCGTAGGAGATAAGAAGAATTTGATAGATTCGGTATTAAATCGGAACGACTCGGTCGACGTAACCGGATCCATGGATTCAATTAAACCAGTGACATTTCCGGTATCGGAATCCAACCAAGTAATTACACCTTTAACGAGTAATGTTTCAATATTATCTGTTGAATACAAATCAACAACGAAGAATGTTGAGAAACAAGAAGAAGGAATAACGGAATCAGATTTTGTGGGTAATACACAAACGACAGTTTTCGAGGTTGTCGAAGATGGTTTCAAGGCTGTGAGGGGTAGAGGTGATTCCCCTGTATTTTACACTCTCGTGAATTTCGAGGATCAAGAGAACACGATTGGCAAAAAAGGGGGATCCAGGTTCACCACGGAACTTAGTAGTAGCCCTGAGATATTCGATGTAAAACATACGACCAAACAAAATTACATTCATACAGATAGATTTTCTGGGAACGATGACACTAGCTCGACCAAGAGTTTTCCTCGAAAGCAATCCGGCCATCGAAAGGATAAAGTTTTCGAAAAGACCTCTTCCGGGAATTTCCCAAACTCTGCTGTCTATCGTAATAAGATAAGGAAACCCTCGATTTTGCGGAAACCTCCGGCAGACAAGGAATTCTGGAAATATATGGTAATTTCGCGAGATGTTACGTTGGCTACTCCTACCACGCGGAGATCGATTTCAAAGGATTCCGATCGAGAGCAAAATATGAACAAGTGGTCCAGGAGAGGATCGGGAATGTCGAAGAAACGTGGAAGTTTAAATACGAACGTACAGAATAATTTCAGATGGTTCTATAACATTGGACGGGAGGAGAAAGAATATGCCAGGTAAACAGCTAAGTACATACAGGGTGTCTCAACTAACTCGATCACCTCGAATGATGACTGGACGGTGCGCTTTATGTAAATTTTGAGGCGTGGAACTTAATTCAGAGATTTCAAGGTCACCTTGATTTTTTTTAACGGAATGATCTATTGTTTGTACTATAGACTGATAGAGTATCAAATTCTGAGTAAAAATGTGTTGACCTTCATATGTCCTAAATTTAATAGTTAATAAGATATTTACTAAATAATCACTGTATTGAAGTTGGGGGGCATCAATTCAAGTACCCATAGCTTCCTAAATATCTCGTTAACCATTAGGCTTAGGACATATGAAGGTCGACACATTTTTACTCCGAATTTCATACTCCATCGAACTAAGGTACAAAAAGTAGGTGATTCCGTTAAAAAAAATCAATGTTCCCGTGATATTTCTGAAATACTTCCACCCACAAAAAACAACACGTACCTTATAAGATGTGCCTCTTGATGTCATTTAAGTTCCACGCTTCAAAATTTGTATAAAGTGTACCTTAATACAAAATTTGTACTAAGTCGTTATTCGAGGTGATCAAGTTAGTTGTATATCTATGTATATCTAATGATTTTTTCTGTCAACATTATCGAATATTTTTCAAATATTACAGTGACGACCAACGAGGAATTCGTATCGAGTGCAACGGGAACGGAGGCGATAATGGACAATGAACCTTGTCAAATGGTATAATAATAATACGATAATTGTTTCTGTCGTACGAGTGTTTTATAATCTTTACTGTTCATCGTCACAGGAAGAAAGACGATCGGCGGCAGTGATCGGGGGAGATATGCTGTATATCTTTAGACACGAACGACGAGTCGAATCGATGAAATAAAGTTCTTGAAATTTCATCTTTCCGCTTCTTCCTGTTCTTGTTACGACGCTCCGTTGCGCTTGCACGAGGAATACGAGGCGATGACTGGTCACTTGCCGATTCTTATCAGCGATATCGCGGACCAGTCCATAAATTCATGGAGCCGGGACACCGCCGACTGTTATTTACGAGGTCTGCAGCTGGTAACGTACGTCGTGCTTTACGACGCGTCGTAAACGAATCCTCTTATTATCCACCCCCCCTTTATGTCGGGGGGTGTTTTTTTCTTTTTTTTTTTTCAAAATCGTCTGCAATCATTTTCGCCAGAACCGTCGATGCAATTTACGCCCGCAACGATTGTTGAACGGTTAACACGGTGTTGTATCGGTCGCGATTAATATCATGAACGGTTTAGAATTACACGGGAAACAGATACGATGGGCTCGGTTTGCCTTTTTTTTTTTTCAATAAACTTTCCCAATTTCCGGGAAAAGGGAATGAAATTGGCCGTGTCGAGTTCATAATTGGGTTTACTCGAACTCTCGGTGATTCGATGGTTTTAATAACGATTTTTCCAGATACATACCGCCGACCGGAGTCAGTTTCATTTGCAACGGTAGCATATCGCCAGCGCGGTTAATAACGCATCGATATATCGAAACTAAATAGTTGAATCGACAAGGTTTCGGCATTTCAAAAATAGGGTCTGCGTTGTTTTGAAATCTGTGCTAAAATATCCGAAGTTGTATATGCGCGACTGTTCCACGGGGACCGTACGAATTCGTTTCGAAGGACTTCAATAGGTATCTCCCATTCGCTGTATTCAAAGAAGACGCGAAAGAGGCGATGGAGGGGGCACGAGTTACGGGAGGGCGTAGTCGAAACTCCGATATTAATTTCGATCTGCATAAATGCATAATAATAAATTCACCGTTACGTCTCGAATTCCAGCAATGTTGCTGAATCAGAGCATCGCGACGGGATGCGGTGCCCCCCGTCAACTTCTTTGAGAGTTCAACGCGCCGCGGGCTCTTTTCTACGAACGGTTTCCTTGCAGTTTACCATTGTTTTTTCAGGGGCCATCGTCGCGACTAATAATAGAAATTAATTAAAGCACTCTCTGTAATTCAGATTCTCGGCGCATTGCGTCGCTGCCGGGAAGTTGGTCGACTGGTGGCTGACTGTGCGGTCGAAGTCGAAACCTTATCCGACTTTCAGAGATCGGGTCGTTAGCATACAATTAAGAACGATTTTGTTCCGTGCTTGTTTGTACAGTCGGCGAATTCTCTCTCAGCTTGACTTTAACCCTTCCCATCCGTTTGCATTTCGCTTGCTACAGCAGCGTATCGAGCTAAGTATTGTGGGTACATGATTGTGTAATTGAAAAGATGTAAGACACAATTTTTTTATTTTCTTTTCGCGGTAAACAGAGCTCTCCTCATCCTTTCTATTATTCTTTTTTTTTTTCCCCAGTGGTTCCTGTTCGAGGTTTCCGTCTCGTGGACGAAAACTGTCTAAGTCGAACGATTACTTCGCTACATTTCCTCGACGGTTATATCGAACCGTGTTCGCGGCGAGGGCTTGTGTGTAGCTTGCGGAGCCGGCAACAAAGCGACTCGCATTTATTAGAGTCAACAATTTCGCCGGCTGTGGAACGGATTAGCGGTACATCCAGAGGGAACAAATTACCCGTTTCGTCTTAGACGCGAGGGGAAACGGGCTTCACCGATTTCCCTCTGTACACGGTTTTCCCTTGTTTCTTTCTTTCGCGTCGCCACGAAAGGGTTGCAGTACGATCTCAGGTTTCGTTCTTAGTACACCACCGTGGGGGTATCGTTTTACACGTTTAATCGACGCGAGAACTACGTCCGAGAATGGAAAGGGTGGATGTAATATGTAACGTCCATAGTACCGTTCGTTCGCTGGTGGGAAGAGCCGGAGGATCGACAAATAACGGCGATCAATCCTGTGCAGATGGTAAATTTTCCGAAACAAATACACCCTCATTACTTATCATTTCTTCGCGATTACTCGAGACTCGGATTAACCGTGCATTGTTCCGCGAAGGGATACAAATTAGCCGCTCTTCACCTGGCGGAATGCTTGGCGTTTGTGGAAGGGGTGGATTGGGGTGTACCATCGGGCGTGCGCCAGCCCCGTTCTCCATGGTCTCTTCGTGTCGAGAATACGGGAATACACAGGAACGTTTCGCCGGTTTCTGACCGTTCGTCAGGATTACTTTAGCTTCTCGAGTTGCTTCGGAAGTGGAGACGCTGGCAGCCGGAGTAGCAGCTAGACTGGCGGCGTGGCTAGTACCCACCATCTTGCAGAAAGCTCACGGAATGGAGGGGGGGGGGGGAGGGAGGAACCGAGTGAAGAGATGCTCGGTAATTATTTTACCGGCAACGGCGAAGGGTTGAGGGAATCCAACTTGCCCCCCTCAATCTTCTCGACCCTCCTCCCGGCCCAGCTGCTCGATGCTAATTCTAACTAATTGGTTGCATTACTCTCGTTTCATTCACCTGCCGCGGTTGCTTCCATTTCTTCGAAACCTCCGTCTCGAAACCTACTCCTCGCTTCTTCGCTCGCCCGTCCGTCGATTGCACCCTCGAACCCTCGGTTACATTCGTCGGTCCACGAGACATATCCGACACCTTTCGCAGATTCAACTTCGATTGTCCGTTTCTAATCATTGATCTTGGTGGGTCTTTGAATTATTCGAAATTTCCCGCGAAGAATCGATTAATTCGATCAACGATGAACGCGTTACGTAGCGAATTAAAATCGATGTTCGTGCGAAGAAACATTGGCGAAACACGATGGAGTAGGTATCGTTGGAACGATTAAAACGGATAGTACACAGAGGCTTCGTTGTCACGGGGTACAGTGGAGTGCTTTGAATTACTGCTAACTGAAATAATGTTGCGTTCTCTAGACAAGGGAGGGGTGGGGGAGGGGTCGTTGTAAATAGACGGCGGGCGCTCTTTGTCTCCGGCAATATGCTCCGTAACAATAAAAATCTCTCGTGAACTCGAAGGATTTCGCGGACCACCTGTACTTTTATGGCACTTGGCCAGCGCACAGGCGTCGAAGGCGTTCCCCCCGTCCAGATTTCTATCCTTTTCACCCACCGTCAAATATCCTTCGAAGTTCGAAGACGCTTCGTCGGGACTGTTCTGTAGGTTTCTCGAAGTGGACGAAGGATGGAAGTGCGTGAGAAACCGTCGAGTCGTTGGACACCCTTCGCGGGGTTGTAATCATCTTTGTTCAGTGTCGTCCGCGGAATATCCATTCTCGTCACGTCTCGAGAAACGGGCGCAGTTGACTCTCCCGTCCCCGTCTAAATCTACCTTCCTCTCTTCGTTCAACCGATCTCTTCTTCGTTCTTCCTTCTTTATTTCGCTGGCACGGATAAGAAATGAAATTAAAATTCTCCAGGAGACTGAAACGTCACGTTCCGTGTCGAGCTTCGTCTCGTCTCGTTCCGCGCGCACCGGAGAAGGTGGGGGGTTGGGGGGTAGTCCGTGTCGTCTCGCGTACGATCGTCTCCGAGTGTTCGGAAGATAAAGGTAAAATGGATCGGGGTCGGCTGCGCGATCTCTTGGAGATCACGAAGCTTTGGTGGCTTGATGAAACTTTGTACGGATAGAAAAATATCCCGAGTAAGTGGTCGAGGAACAGTTGTATTCCTCCGGAAAAACATCATCCTGTATCGTCTCCTATTCCCTGGGGCTTCTATTGTTGTCGAGACTAGAGGAAGCAACGTGCAAGCATCTGAAGCTTCGGTAGTGAATAGATTTCTAGAAAAAGGCTGCACGAAACGAGCCGATCGTTCTCCTCGACGAAGGAGGCTGATTCGGTGGCTGTACAAGAAGAACAAAAAAAAAAAACAGCTCGTTTCTGATTAGTCGGAGTCGTCGGTAAACTTTGCGATTACTCGACTTCGGAAGCATCGATGAAATCTTAGGACCGTGCTACTTTGCCCAGTTTCGATGCATCCGGTAGGGTAGGTCTGGGTATTACAGCGGATATTTATTAAACAAATAATATTTAATGTTGGAAAGTACATAAGCTCTTGAAGATTAATGAGAAAATTATTTTAAACTTTAGTAGATATAATTATTACCCAGTTAGGCAAACCTGCGAAGCCAAATTTTGTCCAATGCCTGTTATAAAGTTTCAAGTTTGATGCAAGATTTGCCATAAACAACTTACTTAAAGGTTAGTAGTTACCACTAATTACATCCTTAAATTTTCCCTTAATATATATTTGTTTTACCACACTCCTCCCCTTCATACCTAAAATGAAATAAATAAGTAAATAGAACAAATCGTCAAAATTATAGCATCTATTGAAGTAAACATAATCATATTAGATACAAAAATGTTAAAGCTGAAAATTTCATATGCATTCCTTGCAAATATGTCTCGAGCATTGTGAGCACACAGGTTTATGGCAAGTTATGCATTCATGCGATGCTTTCATTCTTTTTTTGCAGGACACAAGCAACGAGTCTTACGTTTCGGCAATTGAATGTCTTGATAAGTAGCACGACTACACAACTATAAAATCATCAAATTCATAACTATAAAATTAACCGCGTTTTATAAGTTTTAAATAGCGCTATGGTCAAATTGACCGAATATCAGCAGTGAAGGGATAAAACCAAAAGCATTTAAATCGAGCACACTAAAGTTAACCTACCCCAAAAGTCCGCAGTAATACCCACACCTACCCTATCGTCTCTGTTTCGTTTTAATCGACGACGACGTGATGTCACGAAGCGACTCAATCACGGCGTTCCCGGGACGTCCTAGTTCTCGCCGCTACAACATGCTTCCGTCTTCGACGGAACTCGGTGATTCCCTTTGACTCTTTAAGCCGGCGCGATGTCTAAGTAATTGTTACTCCATCGTGGGAGAGGTTGATTACAGTAATTTTCCTCGCTCCTCGTCCCCACGTACTTTT